TTCTCTCATTTCTCTGTAAATGTGTAGATCTTCTCTTTATCTCTGATGTTCTGAAATTTGACATGGTGTCTTTTTGTGTGTGTGCCCTTTTTCCCCAGTTACTGTGTTGAGGACTAAATGGTCATTTTTGCTAGTCTCTAAAAAATCATGCCTTTCGGTTCTGGTAAATTTTCTTTGGATATTTCAAAGCTTTCTCCCCTCTATTTTTTGGGGGAGTCGAGATGTCTGTTTTTCCTGGTATTTTGGTGCTAAATCTTTTCTTTTAGTTTTTAATTTTTTTTAATGATTGGCTTTGAGCTAACATCTGTTGCCAATCTTCATTTTTTTCCTTCGTCTCTCCAAAGCCCCCCAGTACATAGTTGTATATTCTAGTTGTAGGTCCTTCTAGTTGTGGCATGTGGGACGCCACCTCAGCGTGGCCTGATGAGTGGTGCCGTGTCAGCACCCAGGATCCGAACCGGCGAAACCTTGGGCCGCCAACGCGGAGTGTGCGAACTTAACCGCTCGGCCCCTGGCCGGCCCCTGGCGCTGAATCTTTTTACTTGTTTGATTTGCATGTCTTGTTTTTCTTTTACTTTTTCTTCTTCTTCCTTTCTATTTTTCTTTTTTCTTGGCTTTCTGAAGAATTGCCTCAACTTTATCTTCTATGCTTTCAAGTGAAGATTTCATTTCTGCTATAATGTCGTTAAAGGGAAATTATTCTGACACATGTTAAAACGGCGAGGAAGACTTTATTCGGGACCGTTGCAATCAGGGTGTATTAGTCTGCTTGGGCTGCTGTAACAAAATACCATACAACAGAAACTTATTTCTCACCATTCTGGAGGCTGGAAGTCCGAGATCAGGGTGGCAGCCTGGTTGGGTTCTGGTGAGGGCTCTCTGACTTTCACATGGCCGCTGCCTTGCTGTGCGCTCACATGGCCTTTCCTCAGTGTGTGTGTGGTGGTGGTGGTGGGGGCGGGGGGCGGCATAGATATTTGTCTCTTCCTCTTTTTAGAAGGCTACCAGTCCTTCTGGATTAGAACTCCACCCTTATGAACTCATTTAACCTTAATTAATTCCTTAAAGCTCTATCTCCAAATACAGTCAGAACTGAGGGTTATGGCTTCAACATATGACTTTCTAGAGGGACAAAATTTGGTCCATAGCAGACACACACATTCAATCTATAGCAAGGGATTTTACAACAGGGCAGAGAGACCAGGCTCAACTTCAAATACAGAAAAGACAGCTGCGGACTTAATAGCCCACGAGCAGAGGGAGGGACTTGGTGGATGCACAGTTATTACTGGGAGGAACCAGCAAGGGTTGGGGATTCTTGTTGAAGGCAGGTCAAGGATTCATACATCAAAGGCAGCGGGTGAAGAACTCGATCAGATTTCAGGGGTGGGGGAATTTCTCAAAACCAGCTTAGCAGGATTCTTGCGAGAACTGGCCCATGCAGGCCAATAAGGACAGGATGTCCATGGAAGGCCTAGTTGAGGCCTAGTCAAAAAGAGAGCTAAGAAAAGGAGAGAGTTTTTGTCAGCATGTGGTAATTTTTGTGTGCGCACCCTTAACTGTTCCCGGCCTTTCTCGTTGCAGAGACCCTCCGTCTTCTCCGTTGAGTAACCTCTAGGCTTCTCCTGGGGGTGGAGGTGGGAGTGGGGAGGAGGCATTTCCAGCAGTAAGGCGTCTGTGTGTGGTTGGTGTTAGGAAATCTCTTTTTCAAACAACCTAATTTCACCTAATTTTTTTAATTTTAGACCCCCCTCTCTTAACTCTTGGCTTTAGAAGTGTCTTTTGAGATTCAGTGGTATAATTTGGGTTTTTTGCTTTTTTTTTAGGTTGGCACCCGAGCTAACAACTGTTGCCAATCTTTTTTTCCCCCCCTGCTTTTTTTCTCCCCAAACCCCGCCAGTGCATAGTTTTTGTATTTTAGTTGCAGGTCCTTCTAGTTATAGCATGTGGGACGCCGCCTCAGCATGGCCTGACGAGTGGTGCCATGTCTGCATTCAGGATCTGAACCAGGAAACCCTGGGCCGCCAAAGCCGAGTGCGCAAACTTAACCGCTGGGCCACAGAGCTGGCCTGGGTTGTTTTTTATCTTTCCCTGTTCCTGACTTGGGATTTAGCTCTCTCGGGGTTGCTAATCAATTGCTTCTCAACCATTTGCTTTCCAGCTTCCAAATGTTTTGCTATTGTCTCCTCTTTGGTTCTTCTCATCCATGTGAACTGATGTCTTTTTAAAGAATCTCTTTATTGTGGGTTTAAAGGTTTGGTGAAGGAGCAACATTAGATATGTGCCTTTAGATCTGTTATCTTAACTGGGAAGCTGCAGCAAAGGGTTCAAAATGGAAAAGCAGTTTGAATAGTTCAAGGGAATTTGCCATTCCATTTTTGACTTTGGGGGTTTTGCTTTGCTGTTTTTTCCCCCCGGGTACTTAGTTATTCCTAAGTGATCCCTCCTGACTATTCTGTAATCGCTCTTTGTATTTAGAACTATCACAAGACCATTTTCTTGAAATTTACTGGTGGCTTCAAACAAGGGATATGGGGAATGTTAGGAGAAGAGGGGTTCCTGGCGTCTGTTGGGTACCATTAGAATGTTAATCTCAGTTTTATGTCATTTAATTCTCATAGCGATTCTGTAAGATAAGTAATATCATTTATGAGTAAGGATAAAGGTAATGATCAGAGAGGTTAAGAAACTTGCTTAAGTGCTAGTCACACAGTGGTGGAGCTTAGTTTCAAGCCTAGGTTTGAAGATCTTTCAACTCTTTCTAGTCTGCCGTCTCCTTTTACTCTTCCCAAACTGCATGAGCACTTCATTCATTCACTCGGTGAACGCTGAGTTGCCTGCTCTGTGCTGGGCCTTGGGGACACAGAGAGGACTAGTCCATGCCTTGATGAAATGGGGATGACATGAGCAAATTTGCTTTTCAGTAGAATTTCTGGTGATCTGTGCAGAGTGGCAAGAGCAGGAGTAGGCAGCTAGGTTAATTACAGAAGTCCTGGTAAAAGGCCGTGTTGGTTTTGCCCTAGGGTGGCAGAGGAGATGCAGAGAAGTGGAGAACTTGGGCTACCTCTCAGAGGTCAAGCTGACAGCGTCAGGGAGGTGACAGAGATTTGGAAGGAGCGGGAGGAATTGAGGATGACTCTAGGTTTGATTTGAACTGGATGTTGTTGGTGCCTTTACTGATCTGAGGAAGAGCAGGCTGGGCTGGAGGAAGAGCAGGCTGGGCTGGTGGAACAGAGTCAGAATATAACAACAACAGTGTTACATCTACTAGATATATCCATGAGGCGTTGTCCAGGAGGCGAGTAAACATCTGGGAACTCAGCGGGGTTCTGGCCTGGAGAAATAATTTAGGCATCCCTCACATACAGATGGTATTTACAGCCACGAGAATAGATATGATTATCTAGGCAAAATGTGTAGATGTAGGTGTGGTAATGTAAGTCTGAAGCAGTATGATTGACTTCTGTGGAGAATCCTTATTTAATTTCTTAACTTAGAATAACACTCAAACCGAATAGCATTTGCTCGATGGGAAAAGCAAATCCCACTGCGTAGCCAGTGCACGGAAGACATTAACCAACAAGTCATTGCAAACATGCCAGTACTGGGCTTTTGATTGAAAGAATGCTAAACTTGATTGAACTGTATATTAAACATCCTTGACTTTCATGAGAGACTAGATCTGAGAGCGTGCACATGGGGAACCCCGGACCTGAGAATGTCACACAAGAGATGAGTTATGGCGCATGTGTCAACTCCTCTTTAAGTGCACATATGTAGTAAAAAATAAGTTCTCACTGAGATGCTGAAACTAGAACATCTGGGGTCACTCACCAGCTGGTTCACTGTTACCATGGTCTCATAGCATACACCTTCGTTAGAACTGAATGTTTTACATGTCGTGGACCCTTTGAGATATTCTCCATAGACAGAATTGTAAGTGTTAAATCTGAGAATGCCAAGCATGGAAGAAGCTTTATAGGAACACTTGAAAAATTAGATTAGAATTCACAGTAGGCAAAACCCGGAAAGAATCCAAATGTCCATCAACAGGACTTACAGGTAAACAATTGTGGAATAGTCATTCAGTGTGCTCGTATACACAGCAACTTGAATATCAAAAAAGTTTTGTTGAATGAAAGAAGCCAGACACAAAAACATACATACTGTGATTTCATTTATATAAAGTTAAACTACAGGCAGAAACTAATCTATCATGATAGAAACCAGAACAGTAGATGCCTGTGGGGGATAGGGATTGACCAGAGGAGGCATGAGGGAACTTTCTGGATGATGGAAATGTTCTATATATTGATTGGGGTGTTAGTTAAATGGGTATATCCGTTTGTTGAACCTCATCAGCTTGTCTACTTAGCATTTGTACATTTCACCATACATGAGTTTTACCTCAGTAAAAAAAGTAAGAAAACAACAAAAACAGTATGCTAAGTGGTTTTGTGAGAATGAGTATCGGGAGCACGTGAGTGAGGCATCCCTGTGGTCTCAGATTGTCAGGGAACTTTTCCCAGAGGAAGTAATCTCTCACATTTCTCACTTTTATCCCCTCAGGTCTAAAATGACTTACTGTTCAACTCTTAGCCAGGTCCACACAGTAACATCTATTCTCCTAGGTTGTCTGTTTAATTTATTGTGCAAACCAAATACTTTAGGTAGTAAAAGGGAGTGCTGTTATAAATTACACTGGGACAACACGTACAAACTGTGAGCGTTTCTGTTTCTACTGCTCAAACTGTGCTTCTTGACTGTTTTTACAACTGAAGGTTGGCAGTGGCAGAGCAAGTGTTAGCTGAGGGTGGAGCACCTCTGCTTGGTCCTTGTCTAAGGGTGGATAAAGGTGGCAGGGTGCAGTGAGATGGGGGTGGGGTGGAGAATACCTGTGGTGGGTAGATGTGAGTTGTGATTTACATGTTAACTTTTTAAAAAAGTTGTTTCTTATTTCCAGAGTTATTCATGTTGCTTTATTTGTTCCTTTGGAACAGGAGATAGTGGATAACTCCTTTCAAAAATGGAGGATGGAAAGCCCGTTTGGGCTCCACACCCTACAGATGGATTTCAGATGGGCAATATTGTGGATATTGGCCCTGACAGCTTAACAATTGAACCCTTGAACCAAAACGGCAAGGTGAGTTTCTCAGAAATTTTTCAAAATTTGATTTTTTTTTCTATCGATGTCTTCCTTCATAATAAAGTAGATATTCCTGGCACAGTATAAGGGAAAGCCATTTTCTAGTAAGTGAATCTTAGTTTTCTACTGGGTTATTGTTTGATTAAATCAGAAGTACATACCCTAGGGAAAAAATGGTGTCCTATGATAAAATCAAGCAGAAATTTAGTGAGCCTTTCAGTATTACATTCTTAAGAGGAAAAGCTATATGGTAAAATACAAACAATAACAACATTTTTATTCCTTATAGGATATTAGTAAAGTTACTAGGATACCTGTAATGTACTCAACATGCTACAAAGTAAGAATATGAGGAGTGGATGGGATTATGCTATCAAATTTTGCTTTAGCTTCTAGATAATTTTTTTAAGCTTTTTATTTACTTAAATTTATTAGCATAGGATTAGAGTATATATTGGAAATATTCTCTATTAAGTAAAGATACGTAAGTTTTAAGCATAACCCGTCTGTTATTATTTTTGTTATAATGATGGTTTTTAAAACATAAAAGCATATTTTAATTCTGTACATGTGGTATCTGTTTCCTTTTATGCTTAGGCATAGACGAGACAGTATTACAAAATGGGAGTTTGGGGAAAAAGTCACCTGGAGTTTCTTTGTCTTCATGGGAACTGTAGGGTCCGTTTTTGTGGGACAGCTTCGCAAGTTTCAATTGAATAAATATTCCTGTTAAACAGATTTTCTGACTAAATTAAATTTGTTGGTGTCATTTCTGTTTCCTTTAGACTCTCCTAGTGTTCATGAATAATTTATATTCTGCTGATACATGGTTAACTCATGCCATGTGACTGCCATCCTTCTGGGAACCTTAGAAAAACAAGGTGGATCTCTCAGGAGGCCTTTTCACAGAGAAGGCTATTCTGTTACTGTAAACAACCCAGGAACCTAAATGCATAATATATAATGTACCGTGTTAGAGGAGGCCAATTAAAGATACCCTCAGGAAAGAAAAGGCAAAGTACCTTATTAACAAAGTGCCTTATTAACAAGTACCTATTTGTACTTGCAATGCAGTACATGTTAAAAAATGAATTAAAAAAAGTAAGCTTAATTATTTTTATGTATTTGAAGTTGTAGGGGAGGAAAAATGTTACCTTACCCTTTTGGGTCTCCAGCTGGGCCTAAGAAACAAACTGACATAAGACAGATTACAGTAGAAAAGCATACAAGTTTTATTAAATTTTTAGTTGTACATGGGAGCCTTCACAAGAGAGTGAAGACCCGAAGAAGTGACCAAAGCAGAAATCTTTTATATTTTTAGACAAAGAAACACTACATTTGTGAAGAATTGGTAAAACAAAGGGGTTCAGGCTAGGGGCAGTGGGGAAATGAGCAGGAAGAGAGGGGTTGGTTTAACGAGGTTGGTGTGTGGATTCCTCAGCCTCCACTCCCCATCTCGGTGATGAGATAGTCTTCCTTCCTTCCTTCCGGTACAGGAGGGCACCTTTCACATGTGACTTCCATCTCCTGCTTTCCGATACACAAAGGAGGGAGGGGCGGAGGGCCCTTCTGGCAGCTGCTGTTTCTCAGGTGCCTTTAACTCAAAATAGTCAACCTGCCAAAGGAGCATATTTTGGGATGACGTGCTCTAAACTCCTTCAAAGTCTTTTTTCATTTTTGTTTAACATACTTTATAAGTGGAGTAAATCAAAGGGCCAAAATGAAATTAAAAGTATATTTCCTAGGTATATTTGGTTGTCTCCGCAGTTAACAAAATAATTCAGTTCAAGCATGGAAGAAACTTGATTTATAGGTCTATACTTTTTAATATTTTAAATATTTTGGTGTGCTGTCAACTGTGCCGCCTTAGTATTAATCAGGTACACACATAGAACCAATAAAAACTCTTAAAATTTAAATTTTGAAGTCATGAAAATTTTATGGATTTGTAGATAATTCTGTAAACTAAAATTCTTTTCACAAATATCTTTTTTTGAGAGTTAAATTCTCAGGGATTGCTTTTAATCTTAATTTTTCCTCCACTTTCTGATCGAGGTCTTAATAAATTGTAGTGTCATAATAACCATATGATTAAAAAGATCCATAAGAGAAGCAGTCTTGATAATTCGTCGTCTAGAGATCCCCAGCTTTTATATATTCAGGAGTTCCATGCCTAAGGCGATGGTGCGTGAGACCTGTGTGCGGACGCAGGGGAGGTCGGAAGAGCAGCGATTAGCTCTGAGGAGAAACGTGCCTTTGATGGCAGCAGGGGCTTTGCACGTTTTTAGATTGTGACGTATAGTAAGAAGTAGATTTTACACTGCATTAGTTATGTTTATTGTACATGTGTACATGTGTGTATTTATAAGAAATAGATTTTACTTGTCAACAAGTATGTGTATTGTGTGCATGTATATACTCATAAATGAAACAGAATTAGTCAAATGAAACATCTTTACTACATGCTATGCATTTGGATATTTTCTAATATTTTTTGTTTTGCTAAAAATGCTGTCATGAACCTCCAAATTGATTTCATCTTCATATTTGCAGCAGACTGGCCTTCAGGCTTAAGCCCTAAATAAGGCACATAAGGGTGTACATTTTCTCGTCCCCGTCTGCTTTACTTGTCTTTCGTCACCTGGCATTCTTCCCCTCATACTCTTGCCGGTGCTTGTTCTTGTCTGTTTCTCCTCCTCTTCCATCCTTCCCTTCTGATGTGTATCAAGCCCTCACCGTCAGGTGACATCAGGTCGTGGCGGGGGCTCTGTGTCCTTGCTCACAGCACTCCTTTTGCCTGGGATCCACTCTCCATAGCCCTTTGCTTAGCAAATCTTTCTCTCTCAAGACTCTGATTGAGGTCTCTTCTTGATGAAGTTTTTCCACAGATACCCAATCTCTCCCTCCTCCTCCCAGGCTATAGAATGTACTGCTCATGACTCCTTCCTTCGAGGGGGGTGGAAATTCTTAGTCTTCTGAAATGCTTTACTGGAGATACTTGTTTTCATTTCTCTCCTGCTGCTGACTAGGCCATAATCTTCTCAAATGCAAGGACTGTTTTATTTGTCCATTTTGTCATTGGAGCTTGATGTGCTGTGCCTGACGTATGGTGGATGCTCACTGTGGGTGGTCAGCGTGTGCTGTGCCTGACGTGTGGTGGATGCTCACTGCGGGTGGTCAGCGTGTGCTGTGCCTGACGTGTGGTAGATGATCACTGTTGGTGGTCAGCGTGTGCTTGTGACGTGTGGTGGATGCTCACTGTGGGTGGTCAGCGTGTGCTGTGGCTGACGTGTGGTGGATGCTCACTGCGGGTGGTCAGCGTGTGCTTGTGACGTGTGGTAGATGCTCACTGTGGGTGGTCAGCGTGTGCTTGTGACATGTGGTGGATGCTCACTGCGGGTGGTCAGCGTGAGCTTGTGACATGTGGTGGATGCTCACTGCGGGTGATCAGCCTGAGCTTGACATGTGGTGGATGCTCACTGTGGGTGGTCAGCGTGTGCTGTGGCTGACGTGTGGTGGATGCTCACTGCAGGTGGTCAGCGTGTGCTGTGGCTGACGTGTGGTGGATGCTCACTGCGGGTGGTCAGCGTGTGCTGTGGCTGACGTGTGGTGGATGCTCACTGTGGGTGGTCAGCGTGTGCTGTGGCTGACGTGTGGTGGATGCTCACTGTGGGTGGTCAGCATGTGCTGTGGCTGACGGACGTGTGGTGGATGCTCACTGCGGGTGATCAGCGTGAGCTTGTGATGTGTGGTGGATGCTCACTGCGGGTGGTCAGTGTGTGCTTGTTATGTAGTCTTCTTTTGAGAAGAGAAGAAGCCTCATTCCTTGAAGAGAAAGAGTTGCCTTAAACAAATTTTCTCTTTCTCATTAAGCAGGCGGTAAAGTAGAGAAGATGAGGGCAGGTGATAATTTGGGAGGTGAAGAAGGAGGGAGAGAAACTGTCTTAAGGCCTCAGTACTGGCCTTGCAGCGCAGCTCGTATCCTTCCCTTTCTAGGAAGTCTTTGTTGTCTACCTCTCCCTCTTTTTCTGACCTCCGGAGCCTCTTTTATTTCACATGGCTCTCACCAAGGCACCAGCCCCTGGAGTCTGGGGAGTCCTTACCGCCGTTGTCACGGCTTTGAAGTGGGCATCTAGTCTGTGACATCAGCAGTTATTTCTGAATGCATTTCTCTATCAAATCATTGTTATAAATTATGGATTGGTTTATGTTACCAATATACTTAATATACTTAATGTACATTATGGATTCATTCCGATTTTGTAATCTGTCCTCTAAACCTTTCCATGTTTGTAACATTAAGAACATGTGTACTGTGTTCCAAATAATTAACTTCCAGAATTTTTAGGGCCTGTTTTCTCCATTGGGTACAACTTTGAATTGGGGGGTGCCAGCAGCCTGGATTTTATCCTGTAAGCCATAGCAGCAGGCTTGCGTTATACTCTTGCATATATAGATATATATGGACCTACAAATAGTATTTTACAATAATTGAACAAGTTTTCCGTAGAGGTTTTTTTTTATATTCATGGAAACTTCAACCATGAGTGTTTTTGTAATTGTTTGGGAAATATACATTTATAGATAACTGTTAGAATGACATGGATAAAATTTAATTCTCTTTAAATATAATTTGATATCATTTCTTCTCTCTTACAAGATTCTATCTTAATTCTAGAGTTTCTACCATGCATTTAAGTGATATAATAAAGGCAAACTTAGTCATGGATGCCTGTTATTTTATGGACCAAGTGGTTTTGGATACTGTTGATATTTCTGTACAGGAATTTGTATCTAATATGTTTTACTCAAACAGTAGCAATAATTAAATAATGGTCTTTTCTGTTGGTATATCTGATTGATTGAATGTTACTTTTGCCTTTTTTAAAACAGTAAAATTGCTGTATGTATAAAGCATTAAAATTTATATTTTTTAAAAAGTTGTTAAATAGTATACCTATGTAAGTTTAATATACTTCTTGTTTTTGTCCCATTCTGGGAGTTAGAGCATATAATGTTTTTTATTGATTTCTGTTATTGATTTCATGTTCATGATAATAGTGAATAATATATTTGAGTAAAATTATTATCCTATTTTTGGGTTACTGACTTGTCAGTTAAATAACAAGATCTTATATTATATTTTAATGAAGAGCATATTGTGCCATTACTATAGTGTATGCAACCAATTAGGCTCCTTTATTTTCCTTACTATTTATAAGCCTCTAGTTTAATGAGCTTTTGTTTTGCTTGTTAGACATTTTTGGCTCTCATAAACCAAGTGTTCCCTGCAGAAGAGGACAGTAAAAAAGATGTGGAAGATAACTGTGAGTATCAGGTTAAAAAACAGATCTCCCACAGAAAGGGAAATGGTTCCTCAAAAAATAAATTAGTGGTTACGTTACTAGATGCGCTGTACTGGGTCAGAGGAAGTGCAGCCTTTTGCCTTGAAGTTTCCCGGGAGCGGAGGGCTCGGAAGTCCCGTGCTCGTTACTGTCTCACGTTTGCTCTTTGGCAAAGGATTCTCTCAGAAGTCCTTTTAGTGTTATCTCAGCTGTGTAAAGGTGGGGATTATACTAATTTGCTATGAAGCCTGAACTAAAGATCTCTTGCTAACAGTTTTGAAAGAGTTATTTTGAATCTCATCTAGAATCAGGTGTTTTTACAGTAGTAGTATATGGTTCAGTAATTTGGAAGTTGAGTCAAGAGGAGCCATTTAATCTCACTGTTGAAGGGAGCAAACATTAAAAAACCTACTCTGTTAATAAGTACTAATTGAAAATTGATTTTTGAACATGGTATTAAAGTGCAGTATTAATTTGACTTATAACTATTTTAGCATAAAAAAACTTTATCCAGTGAACAGGCCATGTTCTCACATTTCAATATTGAGCGGTAATCATATTTCCTTATTTATTTGGCAATAGTTAAGAATCATGTCCATTTCTCTGAAGGTATCTGATGTTAAAAACTCTCCTTTTAAAGAAAAAAGGTAAGAGAAAACAACATATTTGTCCTTGTTGATTTTCTCTGGAGTACATATTTGAGTAAGCCTATAAGATGCCCATAGGTAAATGGGGACAGTATGAAATAGTGGAGTAATGGGAGAGCTGTGGACTGAGGGAGAGCCTGAATTCAGGTTCTGACTGTGCTGTTAGGAAGCTGTGTGCCTGTGGGCAATTTGTCTTTCCTCTTTGGGCTTCTGATCTGTAAAATGGGAGTAATGTGTATGTTACATGATTAGAGATGATTTATTTAAAATGCTTGCCATAACCCTCTCTCAATAAATGGTAGCTGTTATTAATAGGTGTAAGAGATTGAGAAATTCCTTTCCAGAATTGCTGGAGAATTTGTCTGATGGGATAATATTTTTCTGAACAGTAATCAGAACAAAGGTTTAAAAAAAAGCAAAAAACATAGGAATGAGATTCTATCATATGCAAAATAAGTAAGATAGTTCTTTTCTGTTAAAACTTGCTGGGGGCCGGCCCCGTGGCTGAGTGGTTAAGTCTGCGCACTCCACTGCTGTGGCCCAGGGTTTCGCTGGTTTGGATCCTGGGCGCAGACATGGCACTGCTCATCAGGCCATGCCAGCATCCCATGTGCCACCACTAGAAGGACCCCAAATTAAAATATACAGCTGTGTACTGGAGGGATTTGGTGAGAAAAAGCAGAAAGGAAAAAAAAAAAGATTGGTAATAGTTGTTAGCTCAGGTGCTAATCTTTAAAAAAAAAAGAAAAAAATCTTGTTGGGGTATTCCGAACTGGGAATTAATCCTTTCCATATACTAAAACAACATTTTTGGTGTATGTATCTATATGTAGCTAAACATAATAAATGATTTAAAATTATTTTTAATCCATTTCTTAAATTAATATTTTAAAACATTCTCCCCCTGGTTATTGCATCTTGATGCGCTTGTCCATCATTTTAATTTTCCTGCCTCAGTGTGGAATCACTGCCTCTTGCGGGTGTTTTCTTTGGTGAGGCCAGACAGCAGCAGTGTCAACGCGTGGATGTTGACTGTCCTCATCATACAGTAGCCCAGCCCTACTTGAAGTCTCTTTTCTGAAACTACGTCATTAACACAGTTTTGGTTGTTGAGTTTAGAATGTAGGTTTTCCAGCTAAAGGGGGTTCCATCACTTACTAGTTCTTTTGCCTGAGGCTTCCCACTGTACCACTGTCACCTGCCGGATGACTCACTGGCCTTGTTTCTTAGGGTCTCACAGGCATCTTTTGAAATCCCTTCTCCTTCTCTATATCATGGTACTCATGTGATGACTAAAGCCTGATGTCCATAGAGCGTTCAGAACTCTGTGATAAAGGTTCTCTCGAAACAGAGACATGAGCTGTTTTGATGGTTTCCTAAAAAATAGAGCAAACCTATTTGTAGCTCTAGGTTTTCTATGCGAAAGGTTTTATATGTGGAGATTATAAATGTTAATTTTGCCTCTTTACTTGACTCTTGGGTATTAATACCAGAATAGGAAAAAAATTCAAGGATTTGAAGTCGGTAGTTAAAGTACCAGCATTTTTTTGTGCTAATTTTAAGCTACTGTTACTTACACAGCATATTTTATTTTTCATGAATTATCACCTTTAGAAGTTGAGGATAATGAAGTATAGACTACAATATTGGAGAAAATCCCAAAAGTTGCCTAGTTCTGTCTCTTTTTCAGTAATGGGCTGACTTCTCCAACACTGTAATTGAAGAGCTGACTGCCTTCTGCTGTGTCACGTTGTTTGTGGGCTCCTCTTTGTCCTTCGGTGAACTAGAACTGTAGTGGCTGAGCATGGTCTTAAACACTCAGATAACTCCCAGCAGAGAGCTCCCTAAATTTAATAATGAAGTCATACCCACTCTTCATTAGAAACTTTTAGTATGTTTGATATGCATTTATTACACCAAAATGCTACTTAAGTAGTTTATAAAGACACAAATGTGTTTATTCTTCTATTATTTATCTTGTTTTTATAATTTTAATATTGAGTATAGTTAAATCTGTGAATAAAAGGCAGACACTTCACATGAAGGAATGCATGGTAAGTAGTCTTAGAGCTGGCTACTAGGAGAGGAGCGTAGGAGGGAGGTGGCTGGAGCTGGGAGTTATTTCTGAGACCCTCAGGAGCATCCCTAGGTCATACCTTTAGGAATGTGTAGGCCATTGGGATACACCGTTTCCCATTCTGGCAAACTGAGAGTCATAAATATTCTCCTCTCTCTCTTTCCCTTTCCATGTCTTCATGAAAATGGGACAGGCTGAGTAGCACAATTTAAGAGGAAGAGCCTCCTGTCCGAATTCTTATTGTCACTGGCAGATATTTCACCAGTTAGGGATGTATTTGGTTTCATTAATGTATATCCCTGAGAAGGCAGGTGGTGAGTGTGGAAGGAGGTAGAGAAATGACAGCAAGCAGTTATTCACACGTCCGTATAGGTTTGTATGATTCGCTTTTCCGGGGGAGCTGTATCGTGGGATTAGGAATCTTACTTAAAGGAAGCAGAGAGTATCATACAACCAGGTAGTTCAGAGGACAGAGAGAGATGAAGGAGTGGTTCAGCATTGTACTTTGGATAAGAAAAGGCAGCATGTAGACCAGGCTCCTGGGAGATGAGGGTGGAAGGAGAGCCAGGGATGTAGAAAGATTGGTGACCCAAAGCCCAAGCTAGATACCCCTCTGCTGCCTGCCTTCGCCACATCTTTCCTCAGTTCAAAGGAAAGCTGCCATTCAACTTTTGGGATGCTCCACCCACTTCTTACTCTGTTTTATTCTGCTGTAAGTGGCATTGGAAAACAGTGAGGTGGGTGTCCTTGGAAAGTGAACTGGCTGCGTTATATGAGTGTAGAAGCATGGGCAGTCCTTGTTGAGATTGGTAAAGTCAGGGGCTCTTGTCTGACAGAGTTGGTTAGGTGTTGAACTGTTTGTTAGACATACATATGGTATAGGTGTGTACATTCACAACTTCAGTGAGGGATCAAGCAAATGAGTCAGGGAGGGTCCTGCCCTCAAGGATCTGGCTTAGTAGCCAAAACCAGATATATGAAATTATAATCACAATACTGGCAGTCTGGGTAGGCTCTGTAAAGAACGTACTAAGAAGAAACTTGTGGTGGTGGTGGTAGTGAGAATGAGGAAGCATCACCTATGAGGTAATCTGTGAGCCGACCTTAAAGGATAGGTAGATTTTTGACACTGGAGATGTAGAGGCAGACGCAAATGCGTGAATGATAATTTAGGTTTAATAAATAGTTTAGGCTGCCTGAAAGTTTAGACCATACTAAAGCGAGTTGTGCAAAACTATATGAAGAAGTCAGCTGAATGCAGGTTTAATAAGGGCCTTGAATATCAGACTTGAATATAGACTTTGGTAGTTGGTGGAGACCCTCTAATGTGTTTTCAGGAGGAGAGATATTTCTTTAGGGCTTTATTTTAGCTAAATTAATGTGCTGAGCAGTCTGGATTCATCATATCAGTTGTGAGGCACTGACTGAATGATCTCATGGTCCCTTCCTATGGTAAAATTTTATCTTTTGTGTTTTTTTCTATAAAATTGAGAGTTGGACTGGATTAGTGTCATCACTTTGTTGTGTCAAAAGTGTGTAAAGATCACTGTCTAAAGTGGTACTTTCTTCCCATTTGAATGCTGCTTGACTTTTTAACCAATCTTCATCAAAATGTACTTACCTGGTACTCACTAGATGTACTCACCTGGTTGGAAATTCATTGTTTAAAAATATCACTGTTGGGGGTGGGGCAGCCCAGTGGCACAGTGGTTAAGTTCGCACGTTCCGCTTCGGTGGCCTGAGTTTGCTGGTTCAGATCCTGGGTGTGGGCCTACACACCGCTTGTCAAGCCATGCTGTGGCAGGTGTCCCAAATATAAAGTAGAGGAAGATGGGCACAGATGTTAGCTCAGGGCCAGTCTTCCTCAGCAAAAAGAGGAGGATTGGTGACAGATGTTGCTCAGGGCTAATATTCCCTAAAAAAAAAAAATTACCACTGTAGGGCCAGCCCTGTGGCCATGTGGTCATGCTCCACTTTGGTGGCCTGGGTTTTCCCAGTTCAGATCCTGGGCGTGGACATGGCACCACTCATCAAGCCACGCTGAGGCGGTGTCCCACATAGCACAACCAGAGGCACTCACAACTAGAATGTACAGCTATGTACTGGGGGGGCTTTGGGAAGAAGAAGAGAAAAAAGATTGGCAACAGATGTTAGCTCAGGTGTCAGTCTTAAAAAGGTATCACTGTAACACATGCAAACTGGATATATTTTAAATCAGCCTCTGGGGTTTACATGTAAATAAATCTAACTTAACAGGTGAATTTTAGCTTGGATCACAGTGATTGAGTATTGTTTCATTTTACTTTTTTACTTGAAATATCTAATGATTTATAAATTTTATATCTCAGGTTCACTAATGTATTTAAATGAAGCCACACTCCTGCATAATATCAAAGTTCGATACAGTAAGGACAGAATTTATGTAAGTATTTTACCTTGGTGTAAGTAGTTTAAACTTTTGTGGGGATAATTACTTTACATGCTGCTGTTTGATTTGGTCGAGCTTGAAACTCTCCCAGAGAATCACACTGGATCTGGCCTGTGGGACAGTGTGAGCCCCACGAGGATGAGGGCTTTTCTCTGGTTTTCAGCTCTAACTCCAGGGCTTAGAACACGATGGGACACAGTAGGCACTTAATAAGTGTTTGTGGAATGAAAGAAGGATTCAGAGCATCATCTGATATCTTGCAGACGTAAAAATGTCCAATTTGATTATTTAAAAAAACACTCATTATTTTGGATTTTGTTTCTTATTTTTCCTATGTGTCTGTAGATCTGTTTGATTAATTCACTTTCCACATTGTTCTGCAGAGAATTTAAGGCAGCCTATAAGGAATGTGTATTGAAATGAAAAACTTGGATGAGAAAAAAATGAATAGAGGGCAATACCTGGGGAAATATCAAGAACACCGAAATGCTCATCATCCAGCCTAAATAGCTGCAATATTTCATTAAACCCTAAATTGAACCTCCCTACCTTAAATATCCAGAATATTAGGGTCTGGCCCAGTGGCATAGTGGTTAAGTTCACATGCTGCACTTTGGCTGCCTGGGGTTTGTGGCTTTGGATCCTGGGTGTGGAGCTTCACACTGCTCATCAAGCCATGCTGAGGCAGCATCCCACATACGAAATAGAGGAAGATGGGCACAGATGTTAGCTCAGGGCCAATCTTTCTCACCAAAAAAAAAAAATAAAATAAAAATCCAGAATATTAAAAAATGAGACAATGCTTTTAATGTAAATAGGGTTTGCACAAAATCCGATGGATGCTTAAGTAGTGTGTTTTAATTATAATTATTCATTGGGCACATACGAGGTTTTATTCTAATATGACCTACTTGTAGATTCCTTTGTTGTCTGGAGATAAATTACCCTGCTGTGGTTCTCCTGTTATAAAGATGGGACTGTTCATTATTTTTGAACGAAGAAAACACATGGCTTCTTTGACACTTCCTAGATCAAATGACAGTGTCTTAATCTTTTATATCACTATCAGTTTGCCTGATTGTACTTACTTAATTCTGACTAAACTACCTTTAGCCTTTGCCGTCTGTCCAAGGGGTGACAGCTGGGAAATAGAGCTAGACTTTTCCAAAAAGAGTTCACTTGCTATCTTTTGGTTATATACAGGATTAAGTCTTTACTTTCCTCCTTGATTTTTTTCAAAATCAACTAAATAAAAATTGTATTTAGGTTGAAATAGGGGTATTCTTGATTAGAAATATATTTAGAAGCAAAATTCACTCAATCAGGCTAATATTGAGCATTTGATGTGTGCTAAATGCTGTTTTAGGTATTGAAATAATGCACGTTTTTAAAGTTTGTTTGTTAAAGCAGTTTAACTTGCATTAAGTCAATAAAAGTTGATTTGATATACCCAGGAAACATCATCTTTCAAGTAGAACTGGCCACTATTTTTTATGTATCTTATATCTCTTGGTGTAGGGGTGAAGCAATCATTTGTTTGATCAAATTTTAATTATTTTAATATCTTTTTTCTTGAAGTTTGTAAAGTAAAAAATTTCCAGAGTAATCGGACTTTAAAAAAATTGAGGTACTTTGTTTTTATTTGGGGTGTTTATATGAAAGCTGAACACCCGTGGGACTTTTCCTTGGTCTTTTAACACTCCTGTGTTGCAGTGGTGCTACTCTTGCTGACTCACCATCCATAACCGAAAGTTTACAAGCAGTGTTAATTGTCTTTTCAAAAAAATTAGTTGTCTCTTTTTTTCTGCATTGGGTTGAGTAGACCTTTAAGTCTTTGCTAAATTGCATGACTGACAGAAAAAAGTGGAATTTAAGTCTTTGTTTCTCATGTACAATGTCTGTATCACCCTGGAGAATTGAGTTCTTAGGGTTGTTGCTAGCTTTTTTGATCCTTCTTTTCCTACGATATGTACGCAGTTGGGCACATGACCTCTGTTAGATAGTAGCTGTTTGGCATCCTCAGCTTCTATTTGGAGAACCCGTATTTTCAAAGTTAACTGAAGCCATGATTGGTATGTTTTTTCCTAGCCAATTATGCCTTTTAGTATAAAACCATTAAAAATCAGCAATACATAAATGTCATTATTACTATAGTATATGTAAGAGAAGGAAGCAATTTGGAATAAGAGTTTAAATTTGATATTTTTCTATTTCTCACCAACCAGAAATATCACTATTCTCCCTTAGATTTGAGTAGAACAGTAGGCTAACTCACATTTCGTTTTCATTGGTTACTAAAAGTCTCTGTTACTTTTATTTCCCATAGGAAGATTATTATCTGGAAATTTTTATTTTTTACCCCACTCCAGGTAACATCTTTGGAAGCATTCCCTGAATTTTAGATTAGTAGTCTGAGAGTGCAGGGTTTCCACGTCATTTCCCTTCCACAACTAAAAGCAGAAAAGAGAAAAATATGGTCCTGCATGCCCTACTTTGTGGCCAGTAAACCACAACTAATTGCTAAACCACAGCTTTCTTTCTGCCCACAAGGAATTTTATAAATCCTATTCATGCATTTTTCTGATATTTTAAAGCCATAGTTCAATTCCACATTTAAAAGCAAGCTTCAGTCGCTCATTCAACATTTAACTTGTCAGTATTCTAGGCAATGGTTAGCATATTTTGTTTGCAAAAATCTGGGACCAAGTGGTCAGCACAGAGCTGAATTAATCCTTGGCATTCGGTGATGGGGAGAGGCCCAGAGAGTTTGTCTGCTGTATTAAACTCTTCAGTAGCAGGGTGAGTAAAGTAGTCCAGGTGAGGAATGAAAGTGACCACAGCTGGGGCTGGAGGGATAGAACCAGGAGAGGAGATTGCTTAGGTAGAGTCCAGAGAAGAAGGCCTCTGAGGTAGAGGCACAGAGACTCGGCTCTCTGCCCTGATTTGTTGGGGATGCCATGAATATGGGAGAGCATATGGGAGGAGAATGTTTCCTTTGAGGCAATGAGAGGTCGAGAGATATAATCTTGACTTTGGACATGGTGAGTTTGAGATGCCTATGGGATGAGAAGATATAAATATTTAAGTGCTAGAAAAATGTGCGTCCTGTAGAGATCAGGAAATGTTTTGGGCAGAAATGTACATTTAGTAGTCCTGCTTATACAGAGAATTGAAGGTATCTGTTTGCTGCATTTTCTTTCTCCTATGAACCTTATTTAGTTTTAAGTGAAAATAATAATTGGAAAATTTCATGTTTTTGCTTTTCCTGTTTAGACATATGTCGCCAACATTCTGATTGCAGTGAACCCATACTTTGACATACCTAAAATATATTCTTCAGAAACAATAAAGTCGTACCAGGGAAAATCTCTTGGGACAATGCCACCTCACGTCTTTGCAATTGGTGAGTAATTTAATTGTTTCTTAATTTTTGTTTTCCTTATATTGTACAAATTTAGTCAGTTTTTCTTTTGGATTAGTGAAAGGCACTGTGACTTACCTGTGTATTTTGAAGGGCCTGACTGCATTTTGAATGTGTCCTCATTGTTAGGAGCATGTATCTTACACTGGGTGGGGAAGAATGCTTTTGCAGCCAACACATAGGGTAGTCATACATCATTAGCTTTGTTAAATGCCTGTGTCCACTTAAGTGTGTCCACCCAGTTGAATATAGGACATAATAAAAGAGCTGACCTAATGATTCTTTTTAACTCCTCAACACAATCAGCTCCATCTTAAAAGTGTCCTCCTTCATAGCATCGAGGTCCAGGCCTCCCACTGTTGCCACGTCCTCACTTGTGTGTGTCACATGGGCTGGAGATAAGCTGTGAGAACAGACTTCTGTGTCTTCTCTTGCCTCAGGGCTTTACAAAATTTAAAGGATTGAAAATGCTGTATATACTTCACATCTCTGGGGAATTTGTGTGGGAAGACAGCAGTATCTGTCTTTATCTTTGTTGGGCTCTTTCTCATCTTGAAGCACTCTAGCTGTGAGGAACAAGTTCTTTCTTTCTTTTTTTTGCTGAGGAAGATTTGCCCTGAGCTAATCTGTTGCCACTCTTCCTCTGTTTTGTATGTGGGTCACTGCCACAGCATGGTTGCTGACAAGTGGTGTAGGTAAGTGCCCTTGAATCAAACCTGGGCTGTCGAAGCAGAGTGTGCCAAACTTAATCACTAGGCCACGGGGCTGGCCCTGTGTTGGAATTCTTTGACACACACCCTTGGTGACTGCAAGTACAGAGGTGTTAGCTAACCAGATGTCACTGGCAGTTAAACGATGACCTGTTTCGGTGCTAGTTCTTCGTGCAGTCTGTTTCTCTTTGGGCTTCTCTTCATGCCTGACCACAGCTTTTACTTCCAGATTTGGCTGGCTTTATACTGTGTGCTACTAGGCAGAGTGAATATGTCAGCCAAGTCCAGTGCAACAGCAGACTGACTTGATTTTAAGATGCTCTAAGGGGCGTTGTGTGTTTTCTATCAGCTAGCAAAATGTTGCAAAATCCTTCGACCCTGCATGTGAGCAAGCCTACCACTGGGGAATTGCTACCTTTAAAGAAATAAATATATATTTTCTAATGTAAATCAACTTTTGTTTTTAGTTGTTTACTGCTAAAAAAAAATGTTTACAATGGTTCTACAAAAGTGGGCAGAACAGGTTGCTGATAAATTGGTCAAATGGATGGGTATACATTATATGTGGTTTGCATTTGGTCCTTAGAATACAAGCCATTTGTAAAGCTTTCTTCATTGGTATAGGAGTACATGTCTGAGGTAAGAAATAGTTGTCTTGTAGGGCCAAATTGGTCAGGACCTAATTTTGAATTAAAATTGTTTTAATTCCAGACCACTTTAACAGCATTAAATTGTGCTCAGTTTGTCTGTGTAGTCAGTCTCTCTCTTTTTTTTTTGGTGAGGAAGATTGGCCCTGAGCTAACATCTGTTGCCAATTTTCCTCTTTTTCCTTGAGTAAGATTGTCACTGGGCTAACGTCTGTGCCAGTTTTCCACGTACTTTGTATGTGGCATACTGCCACAGCATGGCTTGATGAATGGTATGTAGATCCATGCCCGGGATCCGAACCTGTGGACCCCAGGACACTGAAGTGGAGTGTGTGAATTTAACTGCTATGCCACTGGGCTGTCCACTGTCTGTGTAGTCTTAATGTTTAAGATATTTTATAGCCTCCGTTGTTGGAATATAAAGAAGATAGTTAAAAATTATAAATATAAACAAATGCAAATTAAAAAATTTAAAGCATTTAATTTTGTCTATCTTTGAAATGCTGATAAGTTCTACAAGATATTTAGTAGTAGTACTGCAGAAGAAAACCATGCCGATTTATTTTTGCAGTTACGTATTTTTTTCTCCAGCAGAATTTTTAGTTGCCAGATTTCTTAATTGGTAGCTTGTTACTTCTTGCTTTTCTCCGGGGACTCATTAGTTATGTGTAGCTATCACTCTGCAGATCTGCTCTGGTGTTATTAAGAAGAGCTGAGCCACAGCTCCTAACATGGAGGCATTCCAGGACAAACATAGTTGTTTATTTGGATTTCATATTGCCTAGCTGTCAGGATAATAGAACATTTAAAGTAAATACTTCTAGAGATGTTTGGAACACTTTTGAATGATTTTATTTTAAAATTTTACTATTAACGCACATTTATAATTTCTTTAGGAGCAAATGCTCTTTGATAGTAAATGAACTTTGGACATTTGATGAATTTGTATTTAATGCATCGTTCATTATTATTGTGTTATTTTGACCCTAGCTGATAAGGCTTTTCGAGACATGAAGGTGCTCAAGATGAGTCAGTCTATCATTGTATCTGGTGAATCAGGAGCTGGCAAAACGGAAAATACAAAATTTATTCTAAGGTGAGGAGTATTTAGGCAATCTGGAATATTTTGAACAGGTTGATTTTTGTTTTTTATTGTGGTAAAAAATATATAACATAAAATTAACTATCTTAACCATTTCTAAGCATGCATTTCGGTAGTGTTAAGTACACTCACATTGTCGTTCAGCCCATCCCCAGAACTTTTCATTTTGCAAAACTGAAACTCTACACTCATTAAACAGCTCCCCTACCCTGGCCCCTCATAACCACCATTCTGCTTTCTACTTCTGTGATTTTGATGACTCTAAATACTTCATATGAGTGAATCATACAGTGTTTGTCTTTCTGTGACTTATTTCACTTAGTATAATGTCCTCAAGTTTCTTCCATGTTGTAGCATGTGTTAGAATTTCCTTCCTTTCTAAGGCTGAATAATACTCCATTGTATGTACACGCCACATTTTGTTTACCCATTCATTCGTCATTGGGCACTTGGGTTGCTTCCTCCTCTTGGCTGTTGCAGACTAGTGCTGCTGTGAGCATGCTAATGAATGAAGAGATGCAAGTATCTCTTTGAGATTTGAACAGGTGGGCTTTGAATACTTCTGCATGCTTTAGGACCTAGTTTGAAATGATAGACTCTATCCCTTTTAAAAAACAGAAACCTTATGTGGAAACTAAGCTGTAGATTGTTGGAAGCCAGCTCTGACACATTATTCTCATGAGGATCCTGGAGGAGACCAGTGCTGATTAGGCAGAGGGAAATCAAGGAATGTTCCTCCAAAATCTCACCTTTACATTCTGTTCTCAAAATTCCTGCTGTTAAAGCCATTTTTTACCTTACACTTATGACAATTGGCCTTATTTCAGCCTCCCCACAATCCTCCTCCTAGTGTATCCCCTTTGCTGCCATCAAATTAAGCTGTACACTTTGTTTAGAATTACAGCATTTTAAATATGGAAGGAACCATAGTACTCATTATAGTTTAGTTCTTTCAATTTACATAGCCAGCGATGTTAAGTCTGGTTGGTTGTGAAGCTACTGCTAGGACCAGCGCATTCTGAATCCTTCCCACTGTCCTTCCCACTGTATTGTAGTTCTTAGTTGAGTGCTGATTGGTAGGTCCCATGTTGAAATTTTGCTATCTGTTATGCAAATGTATATGCTATTTAGAGTTATTTGTATAAAACCACCTCAGGAGTTTGTTATTGGCTGCTACATATATGCAATTCTGGTTAAATGAATACTTCCCAATACTTTTGGAATTCTAAGTGGTTCAATTTCTTATTCTTTCTCTCCTGTATGTAATAGTCGTATGATGAGTCTTTGGTTAATGTACACCTTTGAAAATGAACAAATAATAAAGAAACTATAAACTTATAGATTAAAGATTGCTCTTTGTTTTGAAATGTGTCAGGCAAGTAGTCGTTCCATCATGTTTTGTCTTTCATTGTAACAACTTGAAGAGAGCGGTAACTTCCTAGTTGTCCTTTGGCAGAGCACCTCATTTTCTTTAGCCATAAAGATTGAATTAATAGGCTATTGCAGAAGACTTTGGGATCTCATGTACAAGATGAATATTACTGTGTGAAATGTGTGGCATGTTTAAAACCAAATAGTCGGTTACAATCAGATTATTCCCAAAGACAATTTTAAAAAATAAGGCTGATTTAGATGTTAAAGGCAATCTAAGTAGAATCTTAAATGTTTAAAAAGCTGCAACAGAATAGTTACATTTAAAGATAAATTTGTAATTTTTAAATAAACAGTTATAGTGATGATCCAGGTTTAAGATTTACATGTATTAAATAATATTAAAATTATAGATATATGTAGTATTGTTATCTAAATTTTTTTTCCTATATTTTGAAACAGATATCTGACTGAATCCTATGGAACAGGTCAAGATATTGATGATAGAATTGTTGAAGGTATTGTTAATTTTTAAAATTCTTATTTTGTATTGTTAGGTATGTCCTGAAATTAATTTACAAGAATTCTCTCAGTGATCTGGACTATTCTTCCAGAAATCCAAAAGACTATCTCCTACAAATCTTTGCCCAGCTACCATCTTCTCACTTACTTAATGTCTTTTGTCTTCTCCTCCACCCCATGTAAGTGCTAAGGGGGCAGAGATCTTTGTATATTCCAAACCCCTGGAATAGTGCCTAATATATAGCCTATGCTCCATAAGTGTCTGTTGGATGAAAGAAATAGAGGAAGCTATCTGGCCTCCTGTTTGTTTTGTTGATGTTGTTTTTTTGTAAAGGAGAGAGGGAAAGGGTTATTGGAACTGAGTGCCTTTTTGGGGAAATCATGAAGAAAAGAGTACACTTGGAAGGCCAGTGTCTGTAAATTGATTTCCTTAAGCTGTCAGTGCTTGCGTACCTTAGATGGTCGTCTTGTACCTGGTTTGGAGACTGCTGTCGAGGCACCATCCTGTTGAATCTGCACCATCCTCCTGCATCGTAGCCTCCTCTCTGATCTCTCCACTTATGTTCTCACTGCCCTTAATCCATTCTCTGGGTGGAAGGTGGGGTGATCTCTTTTGCTTTAAACCCTTTAACGGTTTCGTGTTGCTGTCAGGATAAAGCCTCAGCGCTGTAACATCCCCTGCAGTCTCTCTGTGGTCTGGCCTCGGCCTGCTCGGGTCTTACCTTGATCCTGTTTCTTCTGTCTCCTAATGCCTTAATCGTGTTGTCTCCCTGTAGTTCTGTGAGGTGTTGTGGGCCTCTCTGGACTCTTTCTCTACCCCCTTCCTCTCTTTTCCCTACTGGGCACTCAGTAACTATTTTAATAATAATGGTGATATTAACATTTGTGGGGGGTGTTAAGCATTGTCTGATTTGCTTAAAATCTGTTACCTAATTTAAATCTTCACAGAATGAGGTAGGTACTGTTGTATCCCTGCCTTACACATACTGAGGTAAAAAGAGTTTGAGTTAAGTTGCCAAAGGGCATATTGGTTCCATCAGTTGTGGAAATGGGATATAAACCCAGGCATCTTAACTATATGCTATACTAAGTATGTATTTTAACACTCTTTTTTTTTTTTTAAGATTTTATTTTTCCTTTTTCTCCCCAAAGCCCCCCGGTACATAGTTGTGTATTTTTTAGTTGTGGGTCCTTCCAGTTGTGGCATGTGGGATGCCGCCTCAGCAGGGCCTGATGAGTGGTGCCATGTCCGCGCCCAGGATTGGAACAGGCGAAACCCTGGGCTGTTGAAGCGGAGCGCACGAACTTAACCACTCGGCCACGGAGCCGGCCCGTGTATTTGAACACTCTTGATATTTTAAAGAAAAATTTCACTTGAACAAAAATTTATTAAGAGGCCTCCTACGTTCATGCATTTTGCTAGATCATAGCTGGTAAATGTTAGGTACTTTTTTCACAATTGTGTAATGTGCGTATAGATGAATCCAAATACAGCTCTAATAAACATTTTTAAAGTTGTCCATCAGTAAAGTTTTCTCTGTTTGTAGATATAAAATTTTCCAGTTTTACTTAGAGTTCTCACTGTGATACTGTGACACTGAGGTGTAAGGATCTCCTCAGTAATGCTTACTCACGGTGAAGCACCTTACGGTAGTGAGGGTCACCCTATAAAGTTGAATAAGTAGGGAGATAGTTACTTCAATAAAAGACTAATTAGTATGTTAATTTGTTTACTTGAGGTGCAGACTTACTTGAGAATTGGATATAAGCCTGGTTTCTTCCATCAGAATGTGCTGTACAATAGGTAGTATGTTATAGTTGAGGAAAGGTGGAAAGTATTGTCTAGATATTTCTGCAGCCCCTTACTGGAGAACAGTAGATGTTAACTGGCAAAACATAGAAATCTTTTGATGCCATCCATAATGGAAGATTGGCTGTTGGTTTTGCAATGAGTTTATCATTAATAGTATTAATGTAATTTTCTGATACGGAGGCTCTTATTCTATTTGGTGATATTTTATTTAATATATTCAATTCTTCAGCACGAACTGATAGCTCATCAGTAAAGGGGCTAGGGGGACCTGTAATTTAGTCCCCTTTTGCCAGTAGCCAGTCTTGTGACCTTCCAAACAGGTCAGTTGACCTTGTTGGGCCTCAGTTTTCTTGCCTATCTGAGGGTGAGATGTATACGCTAACATTTCTTTTAGTTTTAAAACTTTCTTATTTTGGCAAGTGAAACTACTGGGGAATGATCTTTAAAGGGCTTGAGGACCAGTTAAGTTTTCTACTGTGGATAAAATAAGAGAAATAGACTTTGAAAGACTTCTGAGAAATACTCTAGCAGCAAACATTGTGAAGCAGTTTATGAGCGGTAGTTTTATTACTGATGGAGAATACGTGAGTAAGAATGACACTCAGCTGCTGTGTATAGTTGGGACTCTAGTGAGCAGACCCTGGCAACCTCTTTGCAGTCATGTGATGATGATGTGTGTGTGATTATAAAATAGCAATAATTAAAATTTTACTTTTTTTATTGGGATTTTAAAAACTCTTATTCTGAGAACCTTTCTTAGGTAGTTCTATTAGCTCTTAATTTATTAGGTTTTGTTGGATGTGCATGTAAAAATGTTAAATCTGGAGGTTATATTAATATATAAAATATTTTAGAAAAGTAAGTCAACTAATAACTTTCTTGCCTATGTTTTGTCTCAAGAGATTTGCTGTTTTCTGTATTATAATCACTACTCTTTAGGGCTGATGTACTTGTGAAAACCTTAAATTTCTTAGGGAGTAATTTTTAAACTTGAGTTATCAATTTTATAACCTAGTGACTTTTTAAAATTTAGTCTGTCCCATAACATTTAGATTTTCTTTTTATATATTTTGAGTAATTTTTCCATCTCCTGCACTTTTAATAAGGCCTGAACATAGTGGTAGTCAATAAATATTTGTGGAATTTGACATTTTGTGCAGGTTCCTTCATGTTAATATTTTTGAGGATAGTTTTTCTAGCCACATATATTGATTAATAAATGGAAACATACTAGGCATTTTGTTTTGTAGTTTTCCTCCATGCTAATTTTTCGATGGAATATTTTAATTTCTTTGTCAATAGCTAACCCACTCTTAGAAGCCTTTGGAAATGCAAAGACTGTTCGCAACAATAATAGCAGTCGATTTGGAAAATTTGTAGAAATACATTTCAATGAGAAGGTAAGTGAGAGTGAGTTTTGGGATGATATGGTTGGGAGTGTTTCTGAAAAATACGAGTGTTTTGATATAATTGGTGCCGTACTTGAACTTGTAGTAAATCCATTTAAATTTCTCTGTGTTTCTTTAGATGTTTGGGAGCATATGTATGTTCACTATGACCTCTGTAAATACTCCACCTTATGCTTAGTTATCTATTTTTCCCCCTTTATTTGATAAATATTACAAGCTCTTTGATAGACAAATGTTTATTAGAAAAGATGAATAATGTAACGTTGGTAGGTTATACTTGAACACCTTAAAGTCAAAAATATATTTTCTCTCTGTTTTATTTTTTAGAGTTCAGTTGTTGGAGGATTTGTTTCACATTATCTTCTAGAGAAATCTAGGATCTGTGTTCAAGGCAAAGAGGAAAGGAATTATCATATCTTTTATAGGTTGTGCGCTGGTGCTTCCGAAGACATTAGGGAAAAACTTCACTTGAGCTCCCCAGATAATTTTCGGGTAGGTTGGATGAAAAGAAATTTCATACGATTTTTGCAAATTAAATTGCTTTCAATTCTAAAACCTGTTTTGGTGGATTTTGGTATTTAGTTGTATGTAACTTACATTAAATTCAGTGTAGTGTGGAATGACTTCTGTACTAAGTAGGTTTCTATTCAGTTTTACTGCTGAGTTTATAAAGTAATACTATATGAGGGAGTATGTAATGGGATAGGTAAAAGGATAGATGTTAAACCCCTTATCAGTTTAAACTCAGAAATTTATAGTAGTTCTATAATGCCAGCTTTAAAGTTACCTTTCACTTACTTGTAAAAAAAATTTTGACCACTGAATTAGTATTAATAAGGCACCCGTGATTGTCTTCCTTAATTCAATTCTACAACAAATATTTGTTGCTTCTCCATTGGGTGCTAGGCATTCTGCCAGAGTTAAAAAGATAAATGAGACACAGTTCCTGCTCCTTAGCAACTTAGAATCTGGTGGGAAGCACACAGCAGTCTGGCTGATATGTTGAGTGATAAGAAAGAGAAGTAGTCAGAAAAAACAGTATTTTTCCAAGGTTTTAATACTAAATCTGTCTATCCAAAAGTCAAGTGTTTGATAAAACAATTGGAGTGGGAGGATAAAACTCTCGCTAGCAAAGAAAACATTTGTTTTGTTTCTATACGTTTAAACTACTATTTTCTTACTAAATAAAAGATCTCTTTTTTAAAATAATTGAAAATGCTTACCAGTGTTATCCCCCTCCCTTCTCTTTTATTTTTTCCCAAAGATTCTGGAGTAGAAAGAAAAACTCACTGCATTAAATGTTTTGGTTTTAGCTGTATTTAATATTTTGTTATAGTGGAGGGGGAAAGATGGATGCATTCATCATCTAAAATATTAATTTATGCCCAAGTCATTCAGAATTTACTGTGAATATTTTCTTGAAATCTATATGGTGTGGTGTATTTCATCTTGGAATTCATGCCATGATACAGTGGACTCTTAGTGCCTGGTTTAATGGAACAGGAGATGTTTTAAAAATTCCCCCATCCTGACCCCCCAGCCCCTTGACTGTGGTAATAGATTCTCTTTGAGACCAGTGTATTATTCTCTTCTCAACTGCTTCTCTGTTCTATGTTTTGAAAGCACTGAGCCTTTAAAAGGCTTCTGGGCAGCAAGGTAAACATTGAGACAAAAGCTGAAATTGTTATTTGAATAACTATGAAGACTTCATAAAGCCAGTATAATAATTTGTGTATAATCAGTGTTAATTGTCAGTAAATATGGAAGGCATGTTTTGAAGAACTGATTCCAAGAATGAGAAATTAAGAAACTCAAGGATATTTGTTAATTTTTCAGAATTTAAAATATTACTTGAAATATTATACCACAGTGTGTGTGGGTCCCTGTTTGAGACTCTTTACATATTTAGTGGAAGGCGATTTTCGTTATCTGTAGTACTTACCTTATGAACTATATTTTTATCAAGATATTTGACAGTGAGAAGATTTAAAATTGCTGCCCGTTAAAAATAGGAAAGCTTTATGGTATTGACTTTTATGCTACTCACTGAATTTAATCTGCTTTCAGGAATTAGAATTTTCAGTATCCCTGGCTTGATTAGTAGGAGTGAAATGTTTGTAGTATATACAAGGATCGATTTTAGTTGAGAGGTTAAATGACACTCCAGTTATGTTGAGAAATTCTTTATGACTAGCACTATTTGGTAAGTTGTGTTTTCTTCTGTATTATTTTCCTGTGAATCATATTCCTTAATTTTATTTTAACTTTCTTTGTCATAGTATTTAAACCGAGGCTGCACTAGATACTTTGCTACCAAAGAAAGTGACAAACAGATTTTACAGAACCGAAGAAGTCCTGAGGTATAGTAAACTATTTTTTAAAATTAACTTTAATACAAAATAGTCGTGCTGAAAGATATATTTTTTATTTTGGTGCTCAAATAAGATTTCCTACTTTTAGGCTTATACTTTAAAAAACTGAATCCTCCTGCGAGCCTCTCTCCCAGGGTGGTCCTCGATGCCTCTGGTGGTTCTGCTCCGTCAGACCTCCACGTGCTGCTCCCCTCTCTTTCTTGTCCCAGCATGAGAGGATTAAATCGCCTAAGAATTATCCTTTGCTAATATTTTAGAAACTTACTCTAGTATTACCCACTTGAGATTAAGTATGAAATGTGTTCTTTATAATTTGTTGTCTGCTTCAAGACTGAAGTAGACAGTAGACAGTAAATAGAGTAAGCATTCTTGTGAATTAATGCTTATATATTCTTGTATTTCTCTTTAAAACATCATATTTCTGTAATGTATTATGAAAAGTTTTATATATAGATTTTACTAAGTTGTTATATTTCTGAGAGTAACTAGATATAATTGTACCATTATTATTTTTGAAAACTTTAAATCCTTAATCTAAAAATCTCTCATAAATTTTAGTATGCATTGTTTAAGTAATAAGTGCTATTAAGTTATCTACTCAAGGAGCTTAAATTATGAAATACTAAGTCAGGATTAATTATAGGTACTGGTTCATATTGTCTTTCTTAATTTTATTAAAAGATTTGTATTGACTATTTAATTGAATGAGTTTCTATTATACTCAGTTTTTAATGCTCCTGTATTTGTGAGTCAGATGTTTTTGACCCCTTTCAAAATGAGTGAGATGAATTATATCTTTAAGATAGTCATAGAAAAGAACAGAAAGCTTATAAAAATTCCCATTATTTCAAATTCTAAGCAGATGAATATGCAGTTAGTTTTTAAGTTGATGTTTTATTTATCATCATAGACACAGGTATCTGAACTATAAATCATAAACCTCAGATTCTGTTACAGCCATGGGTGGAACTTTAAGAACTGACATTAATATTTATGATGGTATCTTCCTTTGTCATGATAACCTAATTTTTTATAAGGCATCATCAAAATGCGGAAATTGTGTTTTGCCACTAAGGTAATGAAGACATTTCCTAGCGGGACATAGCAGCTATTTTTCCTAAAGGAAAAAAATATATATAAATTTGATCTTTTGGCATGGAGAAAACGGAGTAAAAGGAAACTGTGTTTTACTCTCCAAAGAGTAACAAGTACTCTTTGTTCTCTTTTAAGAAGAAAATGTCCTCTTTCGGATTCTAGAGTCAGCATACTTTCTCAGGGATCTTATTCATGTTATTGAGTGTATATTTAAAAATATATAAGTGAGCAACGGATTAATATGTGTAAATTACTTTTTGTCTCTTCTTTATCAGGAGGATGAGGTGATCATTTTGAGTAATTAGAATCCTTCGCTTGGCTCCATTTGAATGTCTTTAAGCTGTGTGTAGTTTTTAAGAGAATGCAGTATTTTTAGTCTGCCATAATAGCAATGTATTCATTAACATTTATTTAGAAACAGTTTTTAAATGAAATAACCACTTAATTGCAAGACTAAAAATTCTGCATGGTATGTGTTTTCTGTTAACTTTGGCTGCATGTGATTTTTTCTTTTGCTTCTTTTAAGAATAAAATTACATTTCTTTATCTAGACATTTTCCAGAAATTTCACACAAGCATAATTAGACATTTTAAAGAATTTTGTGGAAAGACAATTACAACCTCAACTGAGAAGCAATTGGCAACTGAGAGGGAGAAAACATCTCCTAGAGGTGTCTTTAATGGCCAGTTAATTCTTATGCTATGTTACTTAATGTTTAATTTTACTTATTCATCCTCAGGTTCTGGAAAATTCCTAGTCTAATCTTTCTGTGTCCAGTAACTTTTATTTTTCTCCTTCTAGTTTCTGCAGGCCTCACTTTTGTCATCCCTTTTTCTGAGTTTAAGTTCTAACAAATGAATACTTTAGATGCAAGTTCTTTTAGGAGAGAAATCAGATTTTCTCATAATTTTTTCTGAAATGTTTTCAGTCATCACATAAATTCTTCGAGTAAGCATTATGCTTACTAGTACACTTTTACCTCATATGTACTTATACAGAAAGGTTTAAAAAATAATTCTCAGGCTACAAAAATTGTTATTAGCCTGTCCACTGTTTACTCCTGTTGAATGTTGGTGCAGTTGATGGCAGTTACTATGAAAGAGTAGTGTAAAGCTAAGTATCATAGTTAAATTCTTATTACAGTTTGTTACCTTCGTTCTTTTTGATCTGTGGATTCATTTCAACCACCGATATTCCCTTCTTTTTCACTCAGTTTGTATTTTTATCTGATATCCTAGCATTATAATGCTTTAGAGTTAGAATTGTATAATTGGAAAACATCTCATTCCATTTTTGGTTGAAATTTTTATTGAGATAATTGTAGATTCACATGCAGTTGAAAGAAATAATACTGGGAAATCCTCTTGTACACTTTGCCCATTCAGTTTTTGAATGTGTTGAAGTTTTTCCATTGATCCGTTTTATTTTTGCATGTTATATAATGCGTTAATAGACTTGTGTAGTTGGTTTAGTATACTTAAATAATACAAAGAGTAGTTAATTAATGTCTTCTTGTTTTGTAGTATCTTAAGGCAGGTTCCTTGAAAGATCCTCTGTTAGATGACCATGGAGATTTTATTAGAATGTGCACAGCCATGAAGAAGATTGGTTTGGATGATGGAGAAAAGCTTGATCTGTTCCGGGTCGTAGCTGGTGTCCTGCACCTTGGAAATATTGATTTTGAGGAAGCCGGCAGCACTTCAGGTTTTTTTGTTTATGGTTTTTTGTTTTGTTTTGTTTTAAAGAGGAGTAAAATTAGAAGTGCTGTGATTTCTTTGTCATAAGTAAATTGCATCTGTTTATGTGCTGGTTTGTTAATACCCTGAAATTTCTAGAATATACTGTGTTACATGGTGAAACTTGCAAGTGAAAGACACTGCATTATTAGTCATTATGAGCTCTGTTTTGAACAAACCAGTGATACTGATGAGGAATAAACTTCTCATTTTATGAAGAATAAGTAACTCTGACTACCAGGGTCATATTTAGTTAAATGTTTCAGCTGATATTATACTTTTCTAATAAGTGAACAGAATAATTCTCTGCCTGCTATAGAGGTATTTTGCTATTTTTCTGATTTATCAATCTAAACTTGGATCAGTTAATTAGGGCAATTGAATACATAAAAGCCCATGTACTTTATTACTGGGAAATGAAAATAAGTTAAACTTCATGCAAATTGGAAAGAGCATTTAGATATTTGGATGATAGTAACTTTTCAACCCTAGTGTTTCAGTCTCTGCATAAACAGTAAGACTTTTGTATAATCTTAAGTGTGATCCATGAATACAGGGGTTGGCAGGCTGTGGCCCTTGGCCAAATCTGACCAGCTGCCTGTTTGTAAGTAACGCAGCCACCCATTCCTTTACCTCTTGTCTATGCCAGCTTTCATGCTCAGCGGCAGAGTTGAGTAGTTGTGACAGACTGTATGGCCAGCAAAGCCTAAAATCTGACACTTTAGAGAAAAATACGTTATTCAAAAATTTTATACAAGAATGAGTTAAAAAAAATTGAAAGCACCATTTGATATAATGGTCAATAACATGGGCTTTAGTTCGAGAAGCTGTCTGAGCCTGGTTGTTTTCATTTGTAAAATAATGACAAAAGAATCCATGAGAAGTGCTGTGAAAGCATAGTACGTAGCAGTAGTATGCATATAGGGAAGGGGCACAAGGAGAAGAAAGAGAACATTTAAAAAATGTGTCTGTTGTGTACCAGACTCTTCATATACAGTATTTCATCATAAACTCCATAATCATAATCTAAACTTCATAAAGATAATGAGGTAGGAGATATTGTCTCCCTTTTACAGAAGTGAAACTTGTGCCGAAGTTAAGTAACATGGTTATTAATGAAGCTGTGGATGTGGGAGCCAGGTTCTACCCATTTCTAACCATCTCAGGTGCTTGTGATAATTGGGCCCTCATTGCCTCTGTCACTGAACCCTCCTGAGAGTCCTGGACTGTGAATGAGCAGATTGAAATAGACAGTCTGAATGACTTTCAGGTTTAATGTCCTGTGATGCTGTGAAGTCAGTAACTTCAGATGCAACTTAGTATGGTATTTAAGAGCTCGTGCTCGTGAGCCAGACTGTTCACCCTGGACAACTTGCCTTTGTGACCTTGGGCCAGGACCTGACCTCTCCCTGTCTCAATTTCCTCACCTGTAAACTGGAGATAATAACAGTTCCTACTTCATGTTTTAAAGAGGAATAAATGAGTTAAATATTTGTAAAATGATGCAAATAGTTATGTCTAGCACATAGTGATCACTATAAGTGTTTTAATGAATAAGTAAAATAAAAATATAGATTACTCCCAGTTTAAAATGAAAAAGAAAATCAAGCAAAATCAGGTATGTTCTTAGTATGCATTAAAATTTTTTTATTATTTTTTGAGGGATTTGAAAATTTATTTTGAAAATGTATGTTAGAGTACATTTCATTTGCTCTGTAGCGTTGTTATGCCTTGGAGCACGTGGGGGTTCTAGGTAATGCAAAAAAAGTCCAAAATAACTAATGCACACTTTGGAAATGCTGTTAGAAGTGATAGTGGCATTTCCCACCTTGTACTGTTACCCTGTGGTGGGACATGCAGGTGTGTACAGAGCGTCATAAACGTGGCATGTTCTAGTTAGTTGAAAAGCACTTAAATGATCAAAAGGCACATGGTGCATATTTACATTATCTTTTAATTTTCTTCTCAAACTTCCTTCGTTTGAAGGGAGAATGAACAGAAAGCAGAGAAGGTTGAAATGCGGCAATCAATTAAGAGAATTAATAAACTAGGTTATTTTTATTTTAGTAGCTAAGATTTTATTATATTACTCTTCATCCTTCCTATGACCTTTCCTGTAGATCCAAATGGTTTCTTTCTAATTAGAATTGATTATTTCCCTCTAGAGAGCTCAATTTTGCTGTGTCCTCACAATTTGAAAAAGCTCTAGATATTTTTGTAATTATTTTATCAGAAAATTTATTCTCCAATACATGTTTAGAAGACACTTACTGTTATTGAAAAGTTTTTATGTGTTGGAAATGTGAAAAATACCTATTGAGACTTCCTCCTTTTTTTTTTAAAAGATTTTATTTTTTTTCCTTTTTCTCCCCAAAGCCCCCCTGTACATAGTTGTATATTCTTTAGTTGTGGGTCCTTCTAGTTGTGGCATGTGGGACGCTTCCTCAGCATGGCTTGATGAGTGGTACCGTGTCCACGCCCAGGATTTGAAGCATCGAAACACTGGGCCGCCTGCAGCGGAGCACGTGAACTTAACCACTTGGCCACGGGGCTGGCCCCGAGACGTCCTCTTTTTTTTTTTTAAATTCCATGTAACAAAAATATACATTACTATAAGAACAAATTAAAAAAAAGTTCAAATCAGTTCTTTTCTGGAAGGGAAGTGACAAGAAAACCTTGCGTTATTTTACAGTATTTTGCTTTTTTAAAACTTAAATGTTTTCTTATGTAAGCATTATATAATTCCTGGAGATGTGTGAGAAGCTTTGCAAAATAGTGAAAAAGAAGTATTTAAATGAAGTCATGAATTATTGGGGGTCAATTTTTTGAGAATTATATAATTTTAGATAATGTGTATGCGTGTAGAAACTAGAAATTAGTAGTACACTTACTTTCATAGAATTAAAGGTTTAATACATCTTCTAAGTATTCTCCCCCCTTCTTCTTTTTTTGGTGACAGTTTTATTGAAATATAATTCATACACCATACAATTCACTCATTTAAACTGTACAATTCAGGGGTTTTTGGTATATTTGGAGTTGTGCAACCATTACCATAATCAGTGTTAGAACATTTTCATCACCCCGAAGAGAAACACCATACGCTTCAGCAGTCACCCCTGTTCCCTCCCCAGTCCCTCAGCCGGAGGCAATCACTATTCTACTTTCTGTCTCTGCAAATTTGCCTGTTATGGGCGTTTCATATAGATACAATCATTTAACATGTGGCCTTTTGTGACTGGCTTCTTTCACTTAGCATAACGTTTTCAAGGTTCATCCATGTTGTAGCGTGTATCAGCACTTCATTTCTTTTTATCGCTGAGTAATATTCCATTTTATGGATATATATACATTTTGTTTATTCGTTCATCACTTGACAAACATTTGGGTTGTTTCCACCTTTGGCTATTATGAATAATGCTGGTATAAATATTCGTGTACCAGTTATGGTGCAGACGTTTGTTTTCATTTCTCTTGGGTATATTCCTAGGGGTGGAATTGCTGAGTCATATGGTAACTCTTTGTTTAACCTTTTGAAGTACTGTCAGACCGTTTTCCAAAGTAGCTGACATTTTACTGTCTCATCAGCAGTGTATGAGGCCACATGCGTACCTTTATTCTTCTTCCTAACAACCTTGTTAGGTCAGTACGGTTATTATCTTCATTATACGGATAAGGAAACAGCACAGAGAGAATAAATAACTTGTTCAAGGTCACATAGCTAGTAAGTCATGGAGCCGTGTCAGTCCAGAGTCTCAAGCACTATAGTATACTGTCTTTCTATGTAATGCTTTTTAAAACAGCCTCCCTAAACAGAAATCTCCAGATATGATGGACAGGTAATAGTTGCCTCCTCACTGTCTTCCTCTGTGCCCAAGCAACACGAGCACGTGCAGATGAATTCCCTCTCTCTCTCTCTCTCTCACACACACACACACACACACACACATTGACCTACTAAACTGCCTCACAACATTTGCCATTAAAATTATTCCTTGAAGTTTTCTGGAGTCATAGGAGTTTTAATGATAAGGCACTATATTTCTCCAGAGATTTAATATATTAACAAGGATTATAATCCATCATTAATATATTTTGCTTCCAGGATCATAAAAAATGAAACAGTGGCAGGTTAATATTGATGGGTTGAAAAGACTTATCATGGACTCCCCTGAGTGAGGGTCTCGTTGACCTTGGCAGTATGAATGTCTGAAGGGTGGTGAAAAAGTGAGGTGAAATTAAAAGTCTCAGATAAGCCTTCTCTATTCGCTACTTTTAAATACGTGAAGTGTACTTTTGAGAAATGGATCTTGGAAATCTGGTTTACGTAATGTTTGTTAATTTCAAATTAAAATATATTTTCATTAGGTGGTTGTAATCTGAAGAATAAATCTACTCAGTCATTGGAATATTGTGCTGAATTACTGGGTTTGGATCAAGATGATCTGCGTGTAAGTTTAACTACAAGAGTCATGCTAACAACAGCAGGGGGCACCAAAGGAACGGTGATAAAGTAAGTTCCTTAACGCATTGCTTGTAAAAATCCTGCCTTGTGGTTTGTCAGGAAAAAATCATTTTTTGAGAACGCTGAGATTTAAAGTTGATCTTTATACACGATTCATTCTTTTCATTATAATGTTCCAAAACATGTGCTTGATACATCAGAATTCTGTGCATCTCACCACAGTAATCCACCATGTAAATAAACACTGGCTTCCATAGGTCTTAAAGTCACTCCCTACAGATACATGGCATGGCACAGATTCGGAATTTATGAGGTGAGAGAGAGGTTTACTTTTGCATAACTATGAAAATAGTTGACTATGTTAATCATTATTCGATTTTTAGGTAACATCTCCCCCCCCCCCCCCGCCCCGCCAATAATCAGAACAGTGTGTTTTTTTGAGATATATTTCACTTAAAAGAAATGTACCATTTAGTGGTTTTTAGTGTATTTACAAGGTTGTGCAACGTCACCATTATTAAATTTCAGAAGGTGAGAGATTTCACTTTAAAAGTGATTTTCCTTGCAAATGGTGTGTATTATGACTTCTGTTAAATAGAACTCACTTTAGTAAAACACTCAGCAAATAGAGTTTTCCCTCACCTTTAGGATTCTTCATTTAGAGAAAACCTCAAGTGATAAGAAAAAAAGAGCCTAGCCAAGATTTTTAAAAACATTTTTTTTATTGTGATCTAAATAGTTTATAACATTGTGCAGTTTCAGTTGTGCATTAACATTTGGCAAACACCATATAAATGTGCCCCTGCACCCCTTGTGCTCACCCTCCCCGCCTTCCCCTGGTAACCACTAAATTGTTCTCTTTGTCTGTAAATTTGTTTATATTCCACATATGAATGAAATCGTATGGTGTTTGTCTTTCTCTGTCTGGCTTATTTTGCTTAACATGATGCCCTCAAGGTCCATCCATGTGGTTGTGAATGGGACGATTATGTCTTTTTCTGTGGTTGAGTAGTATGCCACATCTTCTTTATCTAATCATTAGTCATTGGGCACTTGGGTTGCTTCCACATAAGGCTATACTGAATAATGCTGCAATGAACATAGGGGTGCATAAGTCTCTTTGGATTGTTGATTTCAAGTTCTTTGGGTAAATACCCAGCAGTGGGATAGCTGGGTCATATGGTATTTCTATTTTTAGTTTTTTGAGAAATCTCCATACTGTTTTCCAAAGTGGCTGCACCAGTTTGCATTCTGCCATCAGTGGATGAGGCTTCCCTTTTCTCCACATTTATTATTTCTTGTCTTGGTGATTATAACCATTCTAATGGGTATAGGATGATATCTAAGTGTAGTTTTGATTTGCATCTCCCTGATGATTAGTGATGTTGAGCATTTTTTCATGTGCCTGTTGGCCATCTGTATATCATCTTTGGAAAAATATCTCTTCTTATCCTTGGCCTACTTTTTGATTGAGTTGTTTATTTTTTTGTAGTTCAGTTGTGTGAACTCTTTATATATTATGGAGATTAACCCCTTATCAGATATATGATTTGCAAATATTTTCTCCCAGTTGGTGGGTTGTTTTTTCATTTTGATCTTGGTTTCCTTTGCCTTCCAAAAGCTTTTTAGTCTGATGAAGTCCCACTCACTTACTTTTTCTTTTCTTTCCCTTGTCTGAGTGGACATCATATTGTAAAGATTCTTTTAAGACTGATGTCAAAGAGTGTACCGCCTATATTTTCTTCCAGAAGTTTTATGGTTTCAGGTCTTACCTTCAAGTCTTTGGTCCATTTTGAGTCTATTTTTGTGTATGGAGAAAGATAATGGTCTACTTTCATTCTTTTGCATGTGACTGTCCAGTTTTCCCAGCACCATTTATTGAAGAGACTTTCCTTTCTCCATTGTATGTTCTCAGCTCCTTTGTCGAAGATTAGCTGTCCGTATAAGTATGATTTTATTTCTGGGCTTTCAGTTCTGTTTCATTGATCTGTGTGCCTGTTTTTGTACCAGTATCATGCTGTTTTGATTACTACAGCTTTGTAATATGTTTTAAAGTCAGGGATTACGATGCCACCAACTTTGTTCTTGTTTCTCAGGATTGCTTTGGCTATTCAGAGTCTTTTCTTGCCCCATATGAATTTTAAGATTCTTTGTTCTATTTCTGTGAAGAATGTCGTTGGGATTCTGATTAAGATTGCATTGAATCTGTAGATTGCTTTAGGTATTATGGACATTTTAACTGTTTATTCCTCCAATCCATGTACATGGAATATCTTTCCGTTTCTTTATGTCATTATAGATTTCTTTCAGTAACGTTTTATAGTTTTCCTTGTATAGGTCTTTCACCTCCTTGGTTAAATTTAATCCTAGTATTTTATTCTTTTTGTTTCAGTTGTAATGGGGTTGTATTCCCGAGTTCTTGTTCTGTTAGTTCTTTATTAGAGTATAGAAATGCCACTGACTTTTGTACATTGACTTTGTATCCTGTGACTTTGCCGTAGTTGTCAATTATTTCTAATAGCTTTCTGATGGGTAAAAATCATGTCGTCTGCAAAGAGTGAGAGTTTCACTTCTTCAGTGCCTATTTGGATTCCTTTTATTTCTTTTTCCTGCCTAATTGCTCTGGCCAAAACCTCTAGTACCATGTTGAATAAGAGTATAGCCAAGATTTATTTTTTTATTTTTTTATTTTTTTAATTGAGTTGTTGATAGGTTACAATCTTGTGAAATTTCAATTGTACATTAGTGTTTGTCAGTCATGTTGTAGGTGCACCACTTCACCCTTTGTGCCCACCCCCCACCCCACCTTTCCCCTGGTATCCACTAAACTGTTCTTAGTCCATAATTTTAAATTCCTCATATGAGTGGAGTCATACACAGATTATCTTTCTCTCGCTGGCTTATTTCACTTAACATAATTCTCTCAAGGTCCATCCATGTTATTGCAAATGGAATGATTTTGTTCTGTTTTGCAGGTGAGTAGTATTCCATTGTATATATGTACCACATCTTCTTTATCCATTCGTCTGTTGATGGACACTTAGGTTGCTTCCACGTTAGCCAAGATTTTTTAAATCAGCAACCAAGTACCTCTAGGTTGTGTCTGGGTCTGTGTACACTTTTGGGTCAGTATCATATGTTTTATGCATTTCTGTTTCAGTTCTGTAAAATAAAATTGATATTCAGTCATTTTGAGGCGCTGTAAGATCTTTATTTGTGGGGGGAATAGTTAGATCCTCTGTCCCTTGATAAATAAGGCAGGCAGTGAGTTCTAGTGACATATTTCAGAAAAATTTTCAACAAATTAAAACAAGAAGGATTTAAAAAAAAACCTTTTAGCCACTAAGAAAATTTGGTAGCTCTTATACTTTGGGAAATACTAGTAAGGTATGCCTAGCCCAATTGTTTGCTAAGCTAATTCCAAATTATTCTTATTATAAAGAAAGCCTGGCGAGGAGGATGTGTGGTAGTGCTTCGTGGCCGCTTGCTTCCTTGGAGAGATTTCTGGGGGCCACGGAGAGGCCAGTAGAAGCACCGGCCGGTGGTGCCCAGGCGTCATCTCCATCTCGCCTTGTTCCACAGCAGTTCTTTCATGTTTTATGTACGGAGCGTTCACATAAGACTCGCTTCAGGAAAGGGTTCCATTGCGGGAAATAGAAGTTGGAAAACCACTGTTTAAGAGGGATTCAAGTATCTGTCTGACCTGAATGACTTTTAAGGTCACTTCCAAATTTGACAGTTTTTTCTGGTGCTCGCGTGGTGCCCATGCTTACTTTTCTGATGGCATTTAGCATGGCGTTTGGAAATTGTTTTATGGAAGTCCCTCTTTATCAGACTATAATTTTCTTGAGGACAAGGGCTGTGTGTCTGTATCTGCAACATCTCATACCATGTAGTTTACTTATGTTAAATAGTAGAGTTGGACAGTTCAAATTTTAAAATGTAAATATTTTTTCCTACACAATTTTTTTTTTTTTTTCAGGAAGATTAGCCCTGAGCTAACTACTGCTGGTCCTCCTCTTTTTTGCTGGGTAGCCTGGCCCTGAGCTAACATCCGTGCCCATATTCCTCTACTTTATCCGTGGGACGCCTACCATAGCATGGCGTGCCAAGCGGTGCCGTGTCCGCACCCGGGATCCGAACCGGCGAACCCCGGGCCGCTGAGAAGCGGAATGTGCGAACTTAACCGCTGCGCCACTCGGCTGGCCCCTTTCTTACACAATGTTAAACAAGTTACCGACCTTTGAAGTTATCCTGAATTAAAAACAATTTCTTTTGCATTTAGGGAAAGTCAAAAGGAAGATTATTTCTCTGAACAATTTTTTATATATTCAGCATGTACAGTGAAGTATAAATTAAGGTTAAAAAGATGTTTTCAGCCTGAAGCTCTTTGACTCAGTAACAGATTTTTAATCTAATTGTGAATAATTCCTTTAGTTCTTCTCTTGTGGTGTTCTACTTAGCCACATTTGTCTGTACCTATTCACAAATGACCTTTTGTAACTATTTATTTTGCTCCTTACAGTGCAAATGCTTTAATGTACTTTGATCTGGGTGTCTGGCATTATTTTCACAGTATGTTACTGTAAAGGATTTTCATTGGTACGTTCTTCTTTATAGGGTACCCCTGAAAGTGGAGCAAGCAAACAATGCTCGCGATGCCTTGGCAAAGACTGTCTACAGCCACCTTTTTGATCATGTGGTAAACAGAGTAAATCAGTGTTTTCCTTTTGAAACGTCATTCTGTTTTATTGGAGTCCTAGATATTGCTGGTTTTGGTAAGTATAATTTTGTTTGTGAGTTTGTATTTGTTTAATATTTTTCATTCAGTTTTTCACACATTTAAAACAGAAATAACCTCTCTTCCCTTGTTATACCTTTCACTTGATATATTTTCAGTTATATGTCCATACCTACATTACATAATATGATTTAAATAGGAAGTTAGTTTCAAAAAAAGGGGAAGGACTCCTGCGTTATGGTCACATTAATGCTAAAGTTAAAATGTGTTTGTTGAAACCACTGTAGTTAAGAGATGTCTCTATACTCTTAAATGAATGCAACTAAGTAAAGGTTAATCTTGAGTACTACTAATAAAGAGAATTAAGTCATTAAAAGCATTGACTGCAGTGTACAGCTGGGGTACAGGTTGATCTAGCATATGGGCCTAACATTATTATGTGTAAAAATTCATCATTAGTGTTAATTGTCAACAGATAGCTATTTCCAGTTAATTTCCACCAAATGAATATCAAGATAAATATTTGAGAACAACCGCAGAGCTGTGCAACCAGATATGAAATGAGTCGCCAACATCTGAATGCCATGTTATTCCCACTGTGCATGTTGTAAACATCTCAGAGTGAATGTGACCATTTTTCTATTGGGCTTTGTCAGTGTGGGCGTTCCTTCTGGCTGTGCTGGACGGAGTCTTCCTCCTTTGTGGTTTGTTACCTTTGCCGAGGGAAGGTGCGACTGTGGACATTTCAGGGGTGGGGTCAGAGCTTTGGTTTCGATGGGATATTTATTTTAAAATTTATAGTGTCATTACCTTTGTTCCAAAGTAGATTTTGATTTAAGATTTCACAATCTTCAGACCTCGTTTCCTGGTCTGCGCCAGTTTTAGCATCACACACACACACACACACACAGAATCGTAACAGCTGCAGGGACCTTAGAGTAAGACCGTCTCTTAGTTTTAGAAATGAGTTAGTGTCCATCACACTTTTTAATAACTGTAATTGTACAGGTGTCACAGAAGAAAATCTGAAGCACTTGCATTTTAAGCCATTTTTGTTCTTTAGTTAATTTAGATTGCTTTATTACCTCTGCTTAAAACCTTCTGTTACAAGTGGCTTATGTTTTACATATTTGCTATGACATTTATCTCATCTGACAAACATCTTTTTTTGTCAAGTGAAGCAAGGTATTTTTGATACTTAATTTTAAAGCCTAACAAAATCTGTCTTGAAATAAGAGCAATTGGGAAATATAGAACAATTATATGTATTTTTTACCTAATGTTAAATTAAGCATTGATACAATAAAATTTTATCCTAGGATAAATTTATTAATATGAAGTTGATCTGATGATGACTCTTGATTCTGGTTTTATGTTTTCAGAGTACTTTGAACATAACAGTTTTGAACAATTTTGCATCAACTATTGCAATGAAAAACTTCAACAATTTTTTAATGAAAGGATTCTGAAGGAGGTAATTGCCATTACAATTTAAATTTAAGAACTACATTAGGGCTGGCCTGGTGGCACAGCGGTTAAGTTCGCACGATCTGTTTCTCGGAGGCCCGGGGTTCGCCAGTTTGGATCCTGGGTGCAGACATGGCACCGCTTGTCAAGCCATGCTGGGGTAGGCGTCCCACATATAAAGTGGAGGAACATGGGTACGGATGTTCGCTCAGGGCCAGTCTTCCTCAGCAAAAAAAGAGGAGGACTGGCAGTAGTTAGCTCAGGGCTCATCTTCCTCCAAAAAACAAAGAACTGCAGTAAGCTATTTTAAATTTCAAGGAACAGAGACGATGCTGCCGTTACCCTGGTTGGTGGGGTGTCGTGTAGCCATGGCCCAGGGAATCGAAGATGCCCAGCGTACGCCCAGTAGGTCAGCTGTTGCTCAGGCGCATCAGAAGTGCTAATGGTGCAGTTGAAGCTTAGGGACTCCATGAACACTCCAATAGACACCTCCTCAGAAGTGAACAGCTCTTGCTTCTTACTAGTGACTTTTACTAGACTTGAAATTCTGCTTGTTTCTTTTTCTGCTTCTGTCGTCTCTGCCCCTGCCACTACCAAATGACTCTCTTCCTCTCCTCCCTGACTTTGGCGTCTCCCACCCTTCCTCTGGGTCTCTTCTGCCCCCTCTGCTACATGCTCACCTTCTCTGTGTGTGGCAGGAAGGCTACCGAGTCGAGATCTGATGGGTTGGTGGCCTGGAGTGCCCCGGTTACTGCTTTCCCTGCCGTGCTACCCTGTGCACTGCCAGCTGCCTGTGAGTAGCGGACGCCATTCTGGTCCCGTGAGCAATGTCTCGCTGCTGCTCATTGTAAATAACTGTGGGCGTGGCTGCCACGCACAATCCCGAGTCTAGAAAGGTTACTTTTACTTCTTTAGAGTGCAGAGTAAGTCCAGGTAGCTTTGGATCCGTTGATTGGTGTTTAGCTCACCATTTTTTCCCTTGTATTTGACTTGTCCAGTATCTTCTTACCAATACCTTTGACTTTCCTTCCTTTGTGCTGCTTAAGATATGCTTTCCTGAGTGAAGATAGTAGAGTGAAAGGAACTCAGAAGTAATGTAGTCCAGCCCTTTATTTTATAGATGAAGAAACGAATTCCCAGAGCAGCTCAGTGACTTGTGAGGCCGGTCTGAACCCGCCTTCCTGGCTGCTGGCCCACCACACTGTTCTCTTCGCGTTAGCTCTGCTGTTGTCTATGTTCGTCCTCCACTCTGTCTGGGGTTGAAATGTGAAATACCTTCTCTCTTGTTCCCACTCCACCTATCTTTTCCCACATTTTGTATTTTGTTTTTGTCTTTGAATTTCCCAGCACCTTCTACGTTTTGTACATTTTACTTAGTTACTGTGGTTAAACCAAATCTGGCATAAATGGACGGATGAAACAAGTACTTATCAGTTAAGAGAGTTTCTCTGGAAGTATTTCATCCAGCCACATTAGTTCTTCTCTTACTATGTGAAGTTTTACGTGTATGCATCTCCCTTAACAAACCCTAATTCTTCCCTCCTCACGAGCCCCGCAAGCTTCATCTAGAAGCTGCATGAAGGGGAGACAGTGTCTTGACTTATGTTTACTTTTATAACAATTTTTAAAAATAAATATGTGAATTTCAAATTTAGATTGGCTTCAAGTAGACAGTGTCTTCTGCAATGACAGAAGCCTTTTCTAGTATATCTCATGGAAGGAAATATTTAAACATTCAGGAAAAAACGTTAAATGTGAAAGCTAAGCTCATTGCATAGCTCACCCATCTGTGATAAAAATCTGTGATAGGTTTTTTTTTTTTACTTTTGAGAAGAAACCAGATTTATATTTAGGGACTCGACTTTTATTTGTAAATTATTCTTCCAAATTACTTTTATTTTCTCTGAATGATATATTCCTCATATATATCACTGTGTAGATATGAGAACCCATTTGCAGTTAATTGCTGTTGCCTTGATTTTAGTGCCTGTCTGTAAATGTTAAAAATCTGCTCTGCCTGTCTTTGGACAACGATTTAGACTATTGAAGATATAGAAGAGACAAATTTCACCTCAAAAGGGAGCTACTTTGTTTAGCTGTTCTTTAAACTTTAAAAAATTTTCAAAGTAAGTTCTTATGTTCCTCTGTGTATTTCAGGAGTTGGTAAACTATGGCGCTTGGGACAAATCCAGCATGCTGCCTGTTTTTGCAAATGAAGTTTTATTGGAAAACAGGCACGCCTCTTCCTTTCCTGTTGTCTCTGGCTGCTTTGGCTCTGCAATGGCGTAGTTGAGTAGTTGTGACAGGGGCCCACGGCTGACAATATTTACTAGCTGGCTGTTTACGAAAAAGTTTGCTGACCCCTGGTCTAGTCTACTGATAAGTTTGACTTTGAAATTGCTAAAACTATTTCAAAGTCCTGGTCTTTCTTTGGGCTTGAATGGTTAGAAAGAGATCTCTGTATTTGTGTGTAGCTGCTCTGCATATTTCCAGAAAAGTGTCCGTATCTTCAGGAGGGAACATTTCCACATATGTAAATCCTAGGTTATGTTGGCCATTTGGTTTTTGATTTCACATTGCTTTAGGGGCAAGGATTTTTCTTCCCTAATGTTGTGTAAGACTCCTTGGCCCCCAAACTCATTGGTATGAACCTTTGTACTTGACTAGTCAATAAATGTTATAATCAGAAATGGCACAGAACATTCAATCCATGTTATACCATACAATATTTCTACACCTATGATTATGATTATTTCATTCTAGGAACAAGAACTCTATCAAAAAGAAGGTTTAGGCGTTAATGAAGTGCATTATGTGGATAACCAGGACTGTATAGGTATGTATTTTTTTCTTCCACTTTTGGCATAATGGGAAGATGTAGTGAATGCTTTTACTAGTGATTTTTCTGTGCTCTGTGATTGATATTATGGTTATGAGACTTGAAACTCTGGTATTTGAGAGAGGTTTTACTTCTCTAGTATTTTAGGAAGTTCTTTTCCTACTAAGGCGTCAAATTCGGCTATGTTGAGTTTTCCTAAAATTTGTTCTATTTGCTGTGATGAGTATTTTGTTTAAGCAGCTAACATGTGAATAAGTTGAGAAGGAAACTAAGTTGCGTAAGCGGCGAAGGGATTTGTCATCTCGCACAAGGAAGTCCGTAGCTTATCCGGCTCCCGCGAGGCTGGCCAGCGTTTGGCTCTGCTGTCCTGCAGTTCTCCTCTGGCCATTGGTGGCACCCCCTGGCCGCTTGCTCACTGGCTTCAGACGTTCCATGTGTCACATCTGGGTAATGCTGTGCAGCAGGAGAACAGGGTCTTTGCTTTTCTTGTCTGTTTTTATCAGTAAAGAAGCCTTTCCTGTGGCCACCTAGCTAGTGCTCAGTCTTCCTTTTCTTTCCCATCTTATCTCTAAACTCAACTGTTGGGCAAACCTTGTTCTGAAAACCCAATCTGACAATCACATCAGTAACTCATGTGCTAGATTTGGACAGGATACTATTACATTACATTAGTATCACTTTCCAAAGCACTTTCACGTCCTGCCTGGTCCACTCCACATTCCCTTCACACACCATATCCTTTCTCAGTCTTGTGTCCCTAGCCTGTGTGGTTAGATATCTTGGCTGGCTGGAACTCCTCCCCCTCCATTTATGTTTCAGCCCACTTCCACCTCCTTGTACACCTTTCAAAATACTCTCATTCATGGCTTAATTCAACATGCGCCGCCCCCCACCCCCCGGCAGTTGCCCAAGAAGCATCATTCTCTGGGAATGCAGAGAATCTCAATTTCTCTTCCAGGTCCTATAGCTTTTAGAGTCTGCCCCATTTAACAATTCTTATATACTGTATTTAAGCAGTTTACATTTTATAGTTATTTTGGGCAGGCAGGAAATTTGAACAACATGAAAGGAAGGAGCATAAAAATGTGATGTTACTGAAGAGTTTTGCTGGAAAACATTTAAATTGATATCTTTAAGTGATATGAAAAAGCTCTGCATACAAAAGCTTCTGTAGTTTTACTGCATTTTGAGTATAGATGTCCACTGGAAGAGGAGGAATTTCTGGTTCCTTAGCCTTGTAGCCTAGCTTCCAATTGAAGTGATCTATATTAGTCACTTTACTTACAGAGTTGTTTTTCTAAAACATATATTAAATATATCATGCTACTTTCTAGTAAATTGCCAGATTTGAAATAAAATCCATCTGCTCTCTATAGCGTTTGAGAGAATACTTATAGAATCACCTGTTAACGTTGTTTCTGGCCGGTCCTTGAAATTTCTGATCAGTAGATTGTTCACATATCTTCAAGATGTTATATTTTTATCCTATTGTATTTTGATTTTTGAAATAGATTTAATTGAAGCAAAATTAGTGGGAATACTAGATATTCTGGATGAAGAAAATCGCCTTCCCCAGCCAAGTGATCAGCACTTTACATCTGCAGTTCACCAGAAGCACAGAGACCATTTCCGCCTCACTGTAAGCTTACCATTCCTAAATTGAGACTCTGGTGGGAAGAGAAACCTTGAAAAAGGTGTGCTAGGTGTTAGATATTAGATAATTAGAAATTTGAATCATAAGTTATGTAGGGATTAGAGTAACTATAGTTTGCCCAACACATCATCTTCTATAGACGGGCATTTAATTTATATATGTACACACATATATATGTATATAATGATGATCTGTCTAATCAAAGCTCTTTTAGCTAGATAGAAATTGTATTTCACCTATCTAAAATGTACAGAAAGGTTTACCTGCTGTTTTTATGTTCTCCCTTCTGAGCACACTAGTCATCAGTTGCTTTGTTTTGCATTATGTAACCTGTTCACATTCCAGGGGTTAGTATCTAGAGTCCCAAGTGGCCACCTGTCTGCACATTTGTAAGACCAGCAATAAAGGTTATGGCTTAGGTCTCACTGGTGGAAGCAATCCATATTAGCTAGTGATCAGCTAGTTCATTTTGATGTTCTTTCCTAAGGAGTTTTAAATGGAAAATACACTGAGAGAGACGTAGAAGCTGAAGCAGTAGAAGGATTAGCTAAAGGAACAAACAGACACAAAAAGTAGTAGAAATAACTGAGACGTGCACTTCTAAAGGGGCCAGAAGGCCTGCTTCCCTGAGCTGCTGTTGGGTCGTGGAGCTGCGCTTGAACCCTTGTGGTGATGAACGGGAGAGCCGTTCTCCATGAGGCTGGACTCCGCGGCTATTGAGGTATTTCCTGTGTTCACCTAATTCAGTGTATCTTCACATGCAACCGTCATCACCTGAGTAATACAAGCACAGCTCCATCCTTGTGCCCAGAAAGGGCCTGACTAGCGCAGAGAAATATGGATGTTAATTTTCATCCATGAAGCTAGGTACTGCCTCATCCAGAGAGCAAAGGAAGGAAGAAGGAGAAGAAAAGAAAAGCTACTTAGAGTTACAAATGCCCGTGTTCTGGTTATTTTTTGGGGCTGTAGCATAGTGTAACAACTGTTGCTATGATGGATCCAGGAACTTAAGTGGATGGTAAGTGTTCTGATTTCCGTACACCATCAACTGAATCAAGAACATTAGGTAAATAGATTGAATGGATTTACTTGAGAAGCTGATGTAATTTTGTTACCTCTCTCTGTGGACTGGATCCCGCACCACTGACGAAGTTCTCCCGTGTCCCTGAATGTTTCTTGTAATGTGGAGCCTGTTTCCTTACTTCAGTGCAGACAAATAAAATGATGTATGTCCTCGGCAGAGCTTTTGCTAAGATGTAAGATACGTATCGAGTCCTCTTTATTCTCTGCGCGTCCGTCTTTGCTATGACCAGCCTGCGGATGCATGTTCACCTTCTCCAAGAGTACTGATTGGCGCTCAGCAAACGGTCAGCAGGGTCTCAGAGACCTGTAGAGCTAAGGACAGAAAAATGGAGCATCGAGAGTGGCCTTCGGTCGCTTTCCTCAAAAGAGCAAGACCGTAAATCCTAACTTGTGTAGAGCATTACTTTTGTTTATTTGTTTGGAAATAAAACAGATAATCATTTATTAAATGCTTGGCATGTGCCAGGCGCTGTTCTAAGATTTTTAATTGAATTATTTTAGTTAATCCTCACAATAATCCTCTAGGGGTAGATCCTGTTAGTATCCCCAGGCTAGAAATGTAGAAACATGCAGAGAGATTAGGTGACCTGCCATGTGTAGCACAGTAAGGAAGAGGTGGATCAGGCCAGGCGGTTTGACCCCAGGGCCCTCACTCTGATTCGTGCTGGTGTATTGCCTCTCACAGAGGAGAGGCCTGTGGTCTGTCTCTCTGATCTGGATAAGGTTCCCCCATAAGGTTCCCAAGTCTTAGCTTTTTCATTTTTAAATGAGAGTGGATTCTTAACCTTAGGTTATTTTGAGGGTCAGGTGTGTTCTTTTATGTGAAAGTACTTTGGAAACTTTTAAATATGATATAAACATGAGTTATTATAATGAGATAGTGCAGCCTTAAGCACTATCTAATTGTTTCTTTCAGATGGATTCAGGCTCACTGTGTAAACATGTTAGGATGTATGGTGTAAAAGGGTGGGAGAGGCCCGTGCTGATTTCAGGCGTTGTTTTTTAGAGGAATGGCTTCTCAGCTTTGGCTGCACCCAGGAATCCCCTGATGTAAATGGTGTGGGCTTTGGGAGGTGTAAAATTCTCCAGGTGATTCTAATTTGGCAGCCAAGGTCAAGAGCCACTACTCTAGACATAGGCAGTTAACTTTACAGAATGCCCACTATGTTTTGCATGTGCTTCTAGATGGTATTCTTACTTTTTTTCTGTCTTATTCCTTTTTTCTTTCCTAAGAGATTATAACCGAATATTTGCTTGATTTCACTGGCACTTTAAGGCTTACTAGATGTTTAAAAAGCACTATGATTTTGAAAAATGTGAAACTTTCCTTTATAATTTTAAGTATTTTACATTCCAAATGTTTTGTAAAGGAAGTTACGGAATATCTTTTTGATAATGTAATAACTGCTATGTATGTATTATTTTTCAGATCCCCAGGAAATCTAAGCTGGCAGTACATAGGAATGTCCGAGATGACGAAGGCTTCATTGTCCGGCATTTTGCGGGGGCGGTGTGCTATGAGACAGTGAGTGTCACTGTTCCCAGGGGAAAGCCATTTGATTCAAGCTCTGCTGTACTGTGTGATGATCTCCAGTCATATCTGCTATTTAAATTTAAATTAAATTGAATGTAAAATTCCATGCCTCGTAACAGTAGCCGCACATCATGTACTGAATGTCCTCATTGGCTGGTGTGACTGTAGTGGAGAGCACAGATAGAGCATTTCTGTCATCCCAGAAAGTTCTGTTGGGTGGTGCTGTCTTAGGGGATATGATCGTAAGATGGACCGAATCATTCCTGTTTGCTTTATTTTCCAGACCCAGTTTGTGGAGAAAAATAATGATGCTTTACATATGTCTCTTGAATCCTTAATATGTGAATCCAGGGATAAGTTTATACGGGAATTATTTGAATCATCCACAAATAACAACAAAGATACTAAACAAAAAGCAGGAAAACTTAGCTTCATCAGTGTGGGGAACAAGTTTAAGGTATCTGTGTTCAATATATTACTTGAATTTTTTTTTTTTGCTACATCTAAAATAAAATACATTGCTTTATGCTCTGCAGTGAATAATGTGGATCACTGTCAGAACTCTCGTGATCCCATGGGTGAGGTTCAGGAGCGGACCCTGCATTGTTGATACTTGTATGCGAAATAAAACAGGCATAGAGCTAAACTTGCGGAAATTCTTGTAATTTTATGAATGTGTTCTTTCTCGGTGCTTAACATATCTGATTGCTTCTCCTGATGGTCTTGCTTCCGGTTTACTGTCTGGCTGGCCTTCACATCTTCTCTCTCCCACCTGTTTTCTGTCTCCTTCCTCAGTCAGCAGTTTTGTTTGGCTGGAGTAGTCCAGCTCGGGATGGCTAGAGAGGACTAGTTGAGTTGAGAGAGGAAAAGCAGGCACAGCCAGGGGCTTCAGGTAAATGACCACTTCGTGGACTCGTGTTTAGCGTGGCTGCCATGTGAGAAAGAGCCCGTCTCAAGTTAATGATTCAGTTTGTATTTCATTTTCAGCATGTTTTCTCTCACAGTGCATTATGAGTGTGCATTACACTAAAATTTGATTAAAGCTTTTAATTACTTCTGTAAAAGATAAGTGCTATGTGTGGCAAACCCTTCAAATTGCTTTTTTAACATTGAAGAACATTTCATTTGCTTTATTAATTTGGATCAGGAATTTATTCTTTGAGGTCGGACAGGGAATTGTCATTTGATATGTCTTAGAAATGGAATACTACTAATTCATTCTAATTATTGAGTGTTTAGCGTAGAGAAAGATAATTTAAAAACTTTTGTCTCACAAGTTTAATGAATAAAAAATTATAACTAGAATTAATTTCTCTCCTATACATTTCTACAAAATATTGTTACTGTATTTACAAGAAAACTCTACATATGCCTCTCACTATGTATGCTTTAAATATTAAAAGTGATGTAGTTGGAAATAGTATTTAAGCATCAGAGTGCTGTGGCACTAACAGTGTGAGCCCTTTGAGATCCCTTGTGGATTGAAATGGGCTCTCAGTAACTAACTTCGTAAAATTATGTTTATAAAGCTAGGTTTCTTTAAAGCATAAACATAAACATAGGAGAAAAGTTATAATACATTTTCAGGTAACTGAATAGAAAGTCTTTAATTTTGTTATGAGTTGTATTCATTAATTATAAATTCCTAATTCTCTTGAGCAGTATTTTCTCTTTTTGGATATTCTTAAATTCCTGAATAGACATATAATAACAGATTGGTTTAAAATAGTACAATAGCCTATATGAACCAGATATCACTCGCTGATTTTCCTGCTGTAATATTCGAGTAGTGTTGCTGGCAAGAACATAGTTGAAATGTTAGACCACATAAATAAAAACAGAAACATTCTTCAAATTCTTTGGATTAAAATGTTCTTTTATATTGAGACTTGAAATGTCTTAAAATCGCTTATATGCAATAAGATGTATTTTGCACATTAAACTACTGAAAGCTATAACTGAGTGACAATAATAAAACTGCAAATATGTTTTTATGAGATATTTTGAAATGAAATAGTAATACTAATTCTTAATTGTAAATATTGTAGAATAGTTCGTGAAGTTAAATTCAGATTCTGTGCTGCAATGAAACAAAGCAGGCCAGCATTTACAGTGATATTTCAGTTATCCAACATCACGGAGAACCAGCAGTTTCCCACTGAAAAGGGACATTTTTCAGGTTATTCAGTCATAACCCTTTCACTGTTAGTGTTTTAGGAAAAATATTCCTTTTGATGGAAATATTATTCTGTCATTGTATACGTGTGTATTTATATGCTTTAAAATAAAAATAAAATACAAATAAAGCATGAGTTGCAGAAGGCTGTCTGTCCTCCGCCTGGCGGTCCTTGACTGCTGCTCTTTGATCACTGGCCTCCTTCCCTTGTCTCTCAGATGCTGTTAGTTTATTTTTGCTGCTTCTACTCTTCTGACTGACTTTATCTCCTTTTTTGGGAGAATATTGTGCTTAGCCTTTGGATTAAGAAGCATGGACTTTGTGACAGTTGTTTTCTTTGCAAATTAGTAGCTCTTCTGCTTCCTTTTCAGTTGTGTGGTGGTCCAGATTGATTAAGGTTGTGGGTATGACTGTATTTTTTTAATCCAATGACGAATTCATTTCATAGTTGTAACTTAAGCTTGTCATGTCTGAAGTATACTGCAGTGTCACGGGTAAGAGAATGAACTTTAGTGCTAGGCCTGTGTTGGAATCTTGGCTTTGCCATTACTGGCTCTATGATCTCGGGCAAGTGATGTTTCTCTCGGGGCCTCAATGCTTTCGGCTGTAAAATGAGGCTAATAATGTATCTTTAATTAGAATTATTGTATGGATTAAACATGGTAATGCCCATGAAAAGCTTTGAGAAGTGCCTGACTCATAGACAGCATTCAATAAAGTATACCTATTATTATTATTTTTAAATATAGCTACGATTGATCCAATATGTTAATTTAAGAATTAACATCCTAATTTATCTTTTGTAAGTAGTGTAATGAGCATCTTAGTATAAAATTGATATAAGAATTTTACGTGATTTACTTTGCAGAGAACTAAAGCAAATACATGATTTTAACATACTGAACCAGAGTAAATGATAATCACTTAATATTATTAAAAACAGGAAAGCGTAGTAACTTGTAGCGTTCATTGTCAAATTCTTTTTGAGAAAATTGTCCAAGCTTTTAAAAATAATTGAAACGTGAAATGTTTTGAAATAGTAAAGAAGGTTTCCATAGCTAGGCAGGACAATTTCATTTATGATGTGTTATATAAAACAATCCTAATATACCACTAATGCATATTTTAAACGTCTTCATTTTTAATGGAGTGTGACACAAGCTGCACCCGGCGTGCTGCATGCTCAAGTCCTGCTCTGTTGATCTCTGACTGATGCGTCCCCGCCCTTTTGTTTCCTCCCTGCATTGCCTGCACACTTGTCCCTTAGTCACCCCACCTGCAAGTGTGCATGTGTGTTTTTAGTATTGCTGATTTTCAGTCCTCTAATTGCATGAGTAAGATAAGTTATTGTCCTTGGCATTATGTTAGCCATTCATTTTGCATGTTACTGTCAAAGAGTTTATGCACCAGAAGTTGTTAAATTGTAATGGGTTGCATGTTGATGTTATTGCATGTTATTTTATTCTAATGTTGGAGAGCTAATATTAACGTATGACGTTGTGTACTTTGACTTTGTGAAATAATAGAGTGATTCCTTTCTCCTACAGACACAGTTGAATTTGCTACTGGATAAACTTCGAAGTACTGTAAGTAGACTGAAAAAAACCCTGAGTTTTTAAATAGTCCTCTTAAACTATTGTTAGTAATTATTCAAATAAGCAGGGGAAATCTGGAGGAAGTAGAAATTCATTTTAAACCAAATTCCTTCATTAAAAAAAATATCAGTTTTTAAAATGGTTGTCATTTTGTTTAGGTTTGTTCTGAAAGGCAAAATTTTATGTCAGTTATTTTATAAATGTATAGCATTCTCTGAATGTTATGAAATGAGGATTACCCTGTAGTTTGAGGAAAGTGAAAATAATTAGTTACTAGGGAGAAGGAAAATGTACTTTTTTAGGATTAAAGATAATGCGTGTAATTCATTTTCATTTTATTGCTGTAGTAGTAACATTCTCCCATGTGGCAATATTGATATGAGAAAAATGGACATAACATTTCTATGCCTTGTTATGGAAGCATAGCATTCCCTAAGAGCCTTTTTTTTAGCTAGACATTTTAATGATTCACTTCGTTTTTTGATGAAAAATTTACCGTAGAAGTAAATTTGATATGTGGGGTGTGTAAATGGGGCATGACTCCAAGATAAGACTTATTTTTTAAAACAAACCACGGAACTTACCTGAGTGCTCGTCCTTTTCAACTAGTCATTTTGAAAAGCCAAGTATTTAATCTATTGATGCTACTATTGCATAACTTATTGTTAGACTTGCTTTTGGTACCATTAAGAAATTCTTTTACGTATCCTCATTGTTTGCAAATATTTGTCTCTTAAGGACCAAGCATCTTTTAAAACAAAGTCTGATGAGGAGTATATTTTAATCATCCAAATACAGTGCTGCTGTAAAATGATGAGATTACTTTTGTGATTTAAAAAAAGAAGGCATTTCTAAAAAGTGTTCTAGAAGTGTTTGCAGTGAGCGTCACTGTTGAACTAGCTGTTCAGTTTGCAAGGTGACTACTGTGAAGAGAAACAGTTACCTGGGTGTATTGGCTTCTCGTGTGTCCGCGTCAGTGCCCAGCAGTTTCATTCTGCACGTCGGTGTTCTCCCTGCCTCATTCAACGTAACATGAGAACTGATTCCAAACTAATGCCTTTAAGCATCTAAAAATGTTGCTGAACAAACAAAACTTTAAACTGTGCAGTGGTGCAGCTTAGAGACTTACTGTATATTTTGAAAGTAAGGTGATGAAAGAGGTTGATTTTTTTTTTTTATAGTTTTGCCTCAATTTTAAGAGGCATAATTTTATTTACTCCTCTTATCATGGGGCAGTTTTCTTATCACAGAAAAATAACGTATAAATACGTTTAAATGTAGAATAAAATCATGTGTACGTTAGCCTGCAAAATGTGTCATTTAAATATGTTAAAATATCTTACATTGAAAGACTTTTCTTTTTACAATAACACAATTTTGGGCACTCAAATCTAAAATAGAGTATTTTTACAGTACTATTAGTGTTAATGCACAAATTCATTCCAAACTTTAAATTATAAGAGTGTGCTAATAAAGTTTTAAAGTTCCTTAGTGTTTACATTTTAAAAAAGCTTCATATGTTAATGATAATATGTTCTGAAAGTTGCTGGTTTTCGTAGAAATAAGAATGCTATATGTATTGTCTTAAAAAGTACCTTTATCCTCCTAGGGAGCAAGCTTTATTCGTTGTATCAAACCTAATTTAAAGATGACAAGCCATGACTTTGAAGGGGCTCAAATTCTGTCTCAGCTCCAATGTTCAGGTATTTCCCTATTTTTATAATCTCTGTCAGTGTGTGTCAGGAGTCTTTAGCTCACAGACAATTTAATATGTGCAGTGTTTTCAAGTAATTCAGTTATCTTGATTATTTTTAAGTGCAATAAGATTTTTTATCTTATATATCTTTTAATTATAAGAAAAGCATGGGGGTTGGCCCGGTGGCACAGCAGTTGAGTTCACACGTTCCGCTTTGGTGGCCCAGGGTTCGTCAGTTCGGATCCTGGGTGTGGACCTGCACACTGCTTGTTGAGCCAGGCTGTGGCAGGCATCCCACATGTAAAGTAGAGGAAGATGGGCACGGATGTGAGCTCAGGGCTAGTCTTCCTCAGCAGAAAGAGAATTGGCAGCAGATGTTAGCTCAGGGCTTATCTTCCTCAAAAAAACAAAAAAAAGAAAAGCATGGCTGGCAAATTATTTGAGCAATATTGGGGTGTAGTTTATTGTGAAATAAACTTTTACATCATTGAAGTAAAATTTGCAGAAACTCTGACTGCAAACCTAGATCTCCCTTAAGTGGGTGGCTTGCCTATGGCCTGCGCAGTCCAGCAGTTCATGTCTCATTCCCCAGTGACTGGCTCAGGAGTTAGGTTCTGGTGTCCTTGCTTCCCACTCCACCAGTTGTAGAAAAATGAAAACACGGTGCCCTTGGCGTCTGTGGCACTTGCGTGCGCTCGGTTAAGCTGCCGTTCCTGCCTCTCAGCCCGCTGCGTCCTTGCCTGTGCTCCTCGCCTGTGCTCTGTCGCGGGAGTCCTCGGCACCAGGCTCGCTGCTTCCCCGTCCGCCGCCTGCTTTCCCCAAGGGCCGGTCCTCTCCTTCCCTCCTGATCTCGTTCAGGCTTGCGACTCTTCCTTACACTCTTGCCTCTCTGACTCCTTGTTTTGCTCCTCTCGGAGGCGAATTTACTATAAAGCTAAAGTCACTGAAGCTGCAGCTTCCCTCATTTAAATGAGCGCCTTCCAAAGCCCTCACCTGTTTTGTATTCTTTCGTAATTCTGTGCTTTTTCTTAAGAAGCCCTCCCGCAGTTGTATAAGCTTCAGACTCCTGTCCCCCTGAGTCTGCATCTACCCTTGACCCCTCTCACTAGACCTTAGCTGTCGAATCTCCTTCTGTCCTGGCGCCTCATCGGCACAGGTAAGTTCGGCAAGACAGACTGGTGCCCTCATAAGTTCAGGCTCACTCCTCCTCGAAGGGCTCTCCAGCCCGCCCTGCCACGGTGCCCTGGTCAGCATGTTCTGTTTCTCCACAGAGGCCAGTCAGCCCCGCCCTGCTCTCTGCCAGCAGGCAGCCTCCCCTCTGTACTGCAAACGGCAAGCTTCACTTGTCCCTGCCTGCATAACCTTCCCTCTGTTAAGAAAGTGCGAAGTGCCTCTCTTACTGGTTGAGACTGTGGTTCTTTGGAATCCATCCCTTCCTACCTTCTCGTGACTCTTCAGTATTGATTATGTATATTGAACCATTCCCTTTTAAATGGACCTCTCCCATTACTATTTAAACATGCTTTTTTTGTGTGAAGAAGATTGTCCCAGAGCTAACATCCATTGCCAATTTTCCTCTTTTTGCTGAGGAAGATTCGCCCTGAGCTAACATCTGTGCCAGTCTTCTTCTATTTTGTATGTGGGACGCGGCCACAGCATGGCCACTGATGAGTGGTGTAGGCCCACAAGTGGGAACAGAACCCAGGCTGCCAAAGTAAAACCTCAGCTTAAATCCCTCCAACCCACGTGACCCACATTCCCTTTCAGCTACCTCCCCCTCTCTCACTTTACTTTTGGTTCTCCAGTTTTTCCTTTTCTGTTCAAGAAGAGTCTATTCTTGCTTTCTCAGTTTCCTGCCTTCAACTCACTCTTTAACCCAAGAGACTTCAGCCTCCACCTTGATCATCCAAGAAAATAATTCCTGATAAGGTCACCAGTGATTTCCTTGATTCTAAATCACATGTTCATTTTGCGTCCTTATCTTAGTGGACTTCACAGTACGCTGGACTCTGACCAGTCCCTTTAACATAGCCTTTCCTTGGCTTCTGAAACAACATCTGTCCCTGCTTTTCCTTTGAATTCTCTGGCCATTCCTGATTCCTCTCCAGGGTCATCTTCTACCTGGACGTTATTTGTTAGTTTTTCAGGCTTTGGGTTAGGCCTGTTTTCCTTCTCATTTTTTATTTTTTAAAGGTTGGCACCTGAGCTAACATCTGTTGCCAATCTTATTTTCTTTTTTCTTCTTTTCCCCAAAACCCCCCAGTACACAGCCATATATTGTAGTTGTGCTCCTTCTGCTTGTGCTGTGTAGGATGCCGCCTCAGCATGGCCTGATGAACGGTGCCACGTCTGTGCCCAGGATCCAAACCTGTGAAACCTGGGGCCGCAGAAGCAGAGCACACGAACTTAACCACTTGGCAACGGGCTGGCCCTCCTTCTCATTCTTTATCAGTGCTGTCCAATATAACTTGCCATGATGATGGAAATAGTCTGTATCTGTGTTGTCCAATATGGTAGCCACCAGATTCTTGTGGCTATTCAGCACTTGAAATGTGTCTAGAATGACTTAGGTACTGAATTTTAGATTTTATTTAATTTTAATTTTTTAAAATTTAAATAGTCATGTGGCTAGTGGCTACCATATTGGTATGTATATCACATATATATATACAGATATAGCATAAATATATTCTCTAGCTCAGTGTCCCCCAGTCCCTTTGATGTGACCTCCTAAACAGTGTGTCCTACCCAGATTTGTTGAGAAATAATTGACGTATAACATAGAGTAAGTTAAGGTGTACAGTGTGTTGATTTGATACACATATATTGCAGAATGATTGCCGTCATAGCATTAGCTAATACTGCTATCAAGTCACATAATTACTATTTCTTTTTTATGGTAAGAATATTTAAGATTTACTCTCTTAGCGAACAGTGAGTTTTGGTACCTCTAGTCCAAGCTGTCACCATCTTTCACCTGGCTTTTTGCTGTAGCTTCCTAAGTATTCTCCTTGCATTTGCTCGGTCTGTTCTTCACATAAATCCAGAATTACTGCTTTACGATTCAAGTCTGATCGTATCTTTTTACTGCTTAAAATGCTCTAATGGCTTCTGATTATTATTAGGATAAAGAGCAAAATCCTAGTAGCTTATGAGGCCCCTTGTTGTCTGGCCCTATGTGTCCCTGGCTTCATCTCTTTCTACTCTCCCTTCTCTCTGTGCTCCAGCCACACTGGCCTTTATTTTATTTCCTTAAACGCTCCATATTCTTTCCTATCATGGGACCTGTGCACATGCTGCATCCTCTGTTTGAGAAGCTCTTGCCTCACCTTTGTCTTCATCTTTCACATCTCAGCTTGATTGTCAATTCCTTATGAAAGCCTGTTTGATATCCCTAACTGGGAAGGGGGCCTGCCTGGGTAAAGGGTACTGAGCATCTTCATTTCATAGTCATATATTTTACATATATTTGTATAATTATTTAATTTTCCTTCCTCTAATCTATAAACCCCTTGAGTGTAGAAACTGTGTCTGCCTGTATTTCCCTGCCCCCTAGCAGTGCAAGGTGTATACTAACCTCAGTAAATATTTGTTGAACAAAATGCACAGTCTAGCAAATAGGAAGATTTGTTTGTGACTAGTTTTAACAAATACTGGCAAGTTAAATAATTTATGTCTGCTATATTCCTACATATAGTATAGATGTAGTTTTGTAATCTGTTCTTCAGATCATTTTTACTTTATTTTACTTTGTCTTTTTTTTCCATTTAAATTTCTGTTTAGCATTTGTTGAGCCTAATACAGTAAATCATTTGCTTCCTAGGTGAGCATCTGGTGTCTTGGAAAGGCATGTTTAGGCAGGTGAAGCCGTGTATGCCATTAGAGTAGCAGAGTGTGGGCTCACTGATGCTTTAGCTAGGATTCCTCTTTCAGTAAGCAGGGTATTTCGACATATTAAGATATGTTGGCAGTTCAATAGATGACACTGATTCATAATAGTTTGATTTTTTTAAGTATTAATAATAGTAAAGTAGTGTAGATTTGGTTCTAGTCATGTGGCTAGGTAATGAGAAAAAGCAGAAAATACCAATAACTCATAGAAATAAAAATATTTATGAAGCTTTCTAAAATAAAGACAAGTAAGATTGGAGTTCTACTTTGCCTTTCCGTTTCCATTATTCCAGTTTAAGGAGAATGAATTAATTTAGGAAATCTTTTACTAAAATTACTATCTTCTGATCACCCAACACCAGGATAAAGTAGGGGCAGATGAGAGAAGGTAGGTCGTCTTCCTATGTGACTTTGGGGCTGGCTGCTTCTCTGGTGTCAAGAGGGGCTCTGAGTATAACCAGCTGGGGCTCCACCTCAAAGCTCCTCACTAGACTCCCGAGGAAGGCCCAGGTCATGGGAGTTTATAGAAGGAAGATACGTTGTTGGGTGAGTTTTATTTTTGTAGGCGTCAAAAGATCTTTAGAGTAAATTAGCTTCAAGAGCTGAGAAAGCAGCCACAGACTTGGTAATTTGTAAAGCTTCGTGAAATTATTAATGCACTTCTGTGAGACAGTTCAAATGCTGTCTTCTGCTCCAGGGCAAGCAACGGACTCAGAACTGGGGCATGTGTACATTTCCAAGGGTACTTTATTTGATAGAAATGGGCAAAAATTGTGCCAGTACCAACCATACCTTACTTTGACTTCTCTAAGCAGAGCCTAGAACTGAATCTAGTTCTGGAGATTTCTTTCCATAGGAACAATTGCCTTTATGTGTTTCATTAATTAGCATTAGAAATTATAATAGTTATATATGTTCACTGTAACAAAAATGAAATAGTGCAGAATAATATAAATAAAAAGTCTCACTTTTCAGGGTGACTGCTTAATGTCGTGTCTTAGATATACTTTTTATACTGGTTGGATAAAGCTCTGTGCTATTCTTTTAAATTAATACATCATGTTCTATCATATGGTTGTAACATAATTTAATTAATTGATACTTACTTCTGTTTTTTTCCTGTTGTAAACAATGATTCAGTGGACATATGGATGTTCTCTAATCACGTCTTTGCCCACACATGTGACAAGTGGTAGGCTGGAGTCGTAAAAGTAGAAAGTACTGAATCAAAGGGATAAATGTCTCCACGTTGCCATCCAAGTTGGTTGCGCCGGTTGACTGTCCACTAAGCGGGGAGCGTGTTCCCTGTGCTCGCCAACCCCGAAGACTGCCGGTGTTTACGCCTTTGCCAGTCACAGAGGTTAAAATTCACTCTGACTGCCCGGAAAGGCTATCTTTCCTATGAGATTATTTGAAAATAAAGATCCACTCATTTTTAAACATTTTATAGTTTCATTTTGCTAATTTAAATTTTTGACCAGCAAGAATTGATTTTGGTCTAAGGAGTGACGTAAGGATCTGATGTTATTTTTGTTTTCTAAATGGCTAGCCAATTGTCTTAACACTTTTTATGGAATAATCTAGTTTTCTCCATTGATTTGAATAGTCCCTGAGACTCCAATCCAGGTCGTTTTGGTAAACAAAAGTTCTGCCGTTATTTATAGGTATTGAGCCTTTCCCTGGCTCTTTTACTCTTTTCCTGACGTGAAAAGCTCACGTTACTCAAGGCTCAGTTAACCACTTAGAAGAGTTAGACTGAAATGGGATATGCATCCTATAGACTCTTTCCCCTAGAGGCTAGTTTCTTTGAGAGGTGAGTGAAAGGGGCTCTTCACAGGGGATGGTGCGCTCTCCCTTCTTTTTTCCATGTGCTTTGTTTAAGCTGTGGTGAGCACTTGAGAATGTGTGTGCTACTTCCTGGAGACTCTGTCAGGAACCTTACTCTAAAATTAACCTCAGGACTTGGAAAGTGGCCCAGTGCGGGCCTTTGCCTTGTGTACTGGGATTGTGACACAGGTGTCGAGCAGAAAAAAAGATACAAGCTTGATGTGAGCTTTCTGGAGACCAGTAGCTTGTTTCCAGAAAATGGCTAGTCAAGCTAGTTTTAGATGACATTTGGCTATAGTAGTTTTAGGTGAGGGGGTAAGTTGGGACATACTGAGTATAAATATGATATTTCCTATGTAATATTTCATTGCTGATAATTTCTGCAAATTGCCCCTTTCTGAACATTAATTTGTAAAGTTATTTGATCCTGTGAGTTGTCTTGGACTTGTGTGCAGCGATTGGCAGTGACTGTGTTTGTTTGTGAATCCAGGCATGGTGTCTGTCTTGGACTTGATGCAGGGTGGTTTCCCCTCCCGAGCTTCGTTCCATGAACTCTACAACATGTATAAGAAGTATATGCCAGACAAACTTGCAAGATTAGATCCAAGACTATTTTGTAAGGTACAAATACCACCGAAATAGAAGTTTCTTAGCAATAAATTGTCTTTCTTATTAATTACTAGTTGGCATTTAACTTTTTAACTTTTATTTTTCAGGCTCTTTTTAAAGCTTTGGGCTTAAACGAAATTGACTACAAGTTTGGGTTAACAAAAGTATTTTTTAGACCTGGCAAGGTAAATACATTTTTATTTTAGACTTTAACTTGATAGATAGGGATAATTGGGGTCAGTGAATATTTGTAAGTGTTTAGTGATTTGTATTATTACTCAGTTATATGATCACCGACTGCGTGCGTGTGTGTGTGTGTTTCCCTGCGTGGGAAAAGTTTACCGTACGTAATGCTCTCTACAGTTTTTACAGTTTTTTCCAGCTTTGGAAGTATTGGAATCAGAACCTTTTTTAATGTGATTTTTTGCTTAAATAAGGGTTAAACAGAACATACTTCTGTTTTGAACAAGCTGAAAGCTTTTCTAAAACATATTAACTCACTCTTCAGTAATTAAAAATTTCACAGTACTTTGGAGTCTTCGTTGCGAGAACGGGTTCTGTTACAGTATGATAGATGTGTGAGGCATAGGAAATTGGACAGGAGTTTGTGCTGACTTCCATTAAACCTTAGAATGAATGAGTGTATAGATACTTTTGTATATAACATAATTTTCTTAGGCTAACCCTTAGATTTAGTATTTACAGGTTCTTATACTAGGTTCTTGTATAAGACTGAATTATAGAATATTTTGTAACTAAATATATACAATACAGACATAACTAAATGTTATTCCCAGTGTTTTTAATAGTTTCACCATTTGTAACTTCTTCAATATTGATTGAATAATTAATTGTATCCTCATAATTTTAAACACAATTGCTATTATATAATAGCCAACCGTACTTGTGTGATTTAGCAAAATCATTAATAAATGTCTCTAGTGCCTTGAATTCTAAATCACAATAAATAGATCTGATTTCACATTTTGTGGCATGAGATGAAATCTGTGTAATGGATTACCAATGCATGCACTTCCCTGTGAATATTTTTACTGCAGAGGACCCATATCATTTTGTATAAAAGAAAAAAACATGAAGAGAAAATGAATATATAAATATTCATCGTTGGCCTATCTGTAATCATACATATCTATCATAAACTTGACATGTATTTCAGGATTATATAACATAACTATTCTAGAATTAATAGCCTGATAGAGAAAGTACTTGGTTATTTTTGCTTCCAGAAAAATTAATCAGAAGGATATGTTGAAAGCACAAGGCAGATTTTCAAAGATCTTTAATCTCATTATGTTAGCTTCCATTTAATTTTGATTATAAGAGGTCATTATATTGATAGGTGTGTGATACTCTCAATATATTATAGTGGGATATTTGGTAAAGGATAGAAATCATTATGTAATTTGGTAGTAAATTGTGGAAATAATGCATGTTATTTGTTGATAACCTAATAGCTCTTTTATTTGTGTTGTCTCTCTCTTAGTAGCAATTTCTTATCTCTGACCAAAATAGGGATGGGGGTTGAGAGAGACAGATAGTTTTGGTGGTACCTGATGCTGTATTGCCTTATTATATTATATCGACCTTCACCTGTCAGGAGATCCACGTGGATATCTGAGAATGTGGATGAGCCAATTCAGACATATATTAGCCCTTTTTTCGTTCTTTTTTCAATAAAACCTTTTTTGCCAACCATCTGTAATTGTCATTTAAGGTTTCTTTTCTACTTTTATTACTGAATCTGCCAGCTAGCAATGAGTAACCCCCTGTTCCCCTACAGAAAAGGTCCTGAAGGGAGGAAGAAGAGAGCAGTGAAACAAGCCAAGTGTGTCTGGTTTGCTGTGTCCCCGCTGGGACCGGTCTGTGAATTGGCTTGTGACCACTTCCAGAAAGTTAGATTTTGGATTTGAGTTCTGTTTTGGTATCTCTCTGTGTGTTTCCAGGCATTTGTGTTTTGATACTGATATTAAATTATTTTATTTCCTAGTTTGCAGAATTTGATCAGATTATGAAGTCTGACCCTGACCATTTAGCAAAGTTGGTTAAACGAGTCAATCACTGGCTTGTCTGCAGTCGCTGGAAGAAGGTTCAGTGGTGTTCACTCTCCGTCATCAAATGTAGGTGTTTTCTTTCACAGCATGATCTCTAACTATTTTGAAAATGAATTTATTTGTGGAATGTTATAAAGTTCATCTCAGTGGTGAGTGCTGAATGACAGGGGCCGTGTCTTTCTTTCTCAACGCCTGACATGTAGTACGTGATAAATTAGTACTTGTGGACTTTTAATGTTAGTTACCTTCTTTATCTGAATTTGTTGTAGGAGAGGTAATTTCATCATGTTCTCAACAAAACAGAGCTGACTTTCTTGATTCTTTCCCCTCTGTCTCCCCCATTGCCTACACCGTCTCCCAGTCCCAGACTTAAGCCAGAACTTTTCTCTTTCCACCTGCATGACATGACCAGTACACATGTCAAAAATTTCAAGATTGTATTTGTCTCTTTTTTCTTGTCCCTTCATATTTTGTCAGTCAACAAACCCTGTTGGTTCCTCCTAATACGGCAGATTGTTTCCTTTTTGTTGCCAGTGCTTAGTGGAGCTGCACTTGACCTGGTGGCTTCCGTCGCTCCCACACAGGTTTACCTAGCCTTTCAAGTTATCTTCTGAGAATTCTCTCCCTAAACTAAAAGGCTTCTGTTAAGGTTCTCCTTTAATAAGGGCGAAGTCTGAAGTCTAAGAATGCTTTTCAAGACCCTGTAAAGTGGAGTTCCAGCTTTCCTTTCCGGCCTTTTCTCCTGCCACTGCTCTTTTAGACGCTGTTCTCTCACACACTAGACTGAGCTGCTTTTGTGTGTTTTTCTGCCAGATGGCAGCAACTGCTTCTCTCTGACCCAAAATGGATGAGGGGCAGCATATTTTTTGGTTACCTGAGGCTCTGTGGCAAACCTTTAACTGCAGGGAACTATTGTCAGTAACTTGATTATATTTATACTTCCTCTCTCCCCCACCCCCACCCCGTACTCTCCAGGATACCTAGAGCACTGAAGGACGTGAGGGGGAGTCAGTAAACTGTTCCTTATTAATAGAAAAATAAAATTCCTTTGCTCCAATGAAAAGAAACCATGCAAACAGAGATTATTATTGAAGTCTTGTTAGACCATTGTGAATATAGATAAAAAGAAAACTATAATAAAGAAAAAGAGATAAACTCATTTTCCCGTCACTTTCCAAGTAAACTATGCACATATTTGTCCCTGTAGTTCAATTCTTTCAGCCTTATACATTGCATTTTGATAGAAAACACATTATATTAAAATTATACTATACCACTCGTTTGTGGACTGTGTTGCGCAGTGCTGACGTCAGTATCCAGACACGACCTTTGCGGGGTGTTTGTAGTAGGGAATCTGTGAAAACAGCGTCTCCAGGTCAGGTCAGTCTGGGACATACTGGATGACTGACATTAAATACGTTCCTTTACTGTAGGCTTCTCAGGGGCCTCCCTCAGTATGTTCATTGCGAATCTCCTAGAGGAGGTACAGCATATAGCTTTTCCTAAATTCCTTTGACAGGTGTATCTTCGTAATAAGACACCCGGTAACGTTTCATAGACTGGCATCGCCTAGGACAGTTTGCGAAGCAACAGTGTAGCATAGTAAGGAGCTAATACGTTTGAAATGTTAACCTAGCCATATGCATATATACTTTTTATTTTAAGAAGTACAAGGAATTAAAGAAATGTTAAACTTCCTGATTTGGATGTCTAGTATAGCATGTTCATCAAGATTTCACGTTTCTTAAGAGTTGCTTTGTGGAAATTAGTGGTTTTTAAAAATATTATATGTCTGATTTAAACTGAATAATTTTCTATTATTACATAGTGAAAAACAAAATAAAATACCGAGCTGAAGCCTGCATTAAAATGCAAAAAACTGTTCGAATGTGGCTTTGCAAGAGGAGACACCAACCTCGGTAAGATGAATAGTGCCGCAAGACCCCACAAAGCTGTGCCCTCACATCCGGTGATGGCAACGTCACAGTGGGGGCAGCCTGGGCACACACAGTTTTCTCTTTTCTCATGTAAAAAGAGATATTATTTTGTTATTTGCATTATTTATTTGAAATTCATTCATTACTTGCCTCATTATAAAAAGGATTTGAAGTAACTTATGAAACTGTCAATGCTGTAAAAGGTTGAAAGATTCTTTTCGTGACGTGTCAAATTAACATTGTTTTTAAAAACATCTCAATAATGTTTCAACCATAATTTTCAAGATCATCTGTATGAATTATATGGTCTCGCTTTAGTCTTTATTTCTTATTTGAGTCTTTTATTATTACTCTTGACTTTTTAAACTTGGAGGTCTAGTAACTGTTAATCCTTAACACCTTTTCAAAGAGGTTTGTCTGTATATCTTCTTTGGAGAAATGTCTGTTCATATGCTCTGCCCATTTTTTGATCGAGTTGTTTGTTTTTTTTGTTGTTGAGTTGTGTGAGTTCTTTATATGTTATGGAGATTAACCCCTTGTCAGATATATGATTTGCAAATATTTTCTCCCAGTTGGTGAGTTGTCTTTTCATGTTGTTCGTGGTTTCCTTTGCCTTGCACAGGTTCTTAGTCTGATGGAGTCCCGTTTGTTTATTTTTTCTCTTGTTTCCCTTGCCTGAGGAGACTTGGTATTTAAAACGATGCTGCTAAGACCAATGTCAAAGAGCGTACAGCCTATGTTTCTTCAAGGATGTTTTTGGTTACTGGTCTTACATTCAAGTCGCTAATCCATTTTGAGTTAATTTTTGTGTATGGTGTAAGATAATGGTCTACTTTCATTCTTTGCATGTGGCTGTCCAGTTTTCCCAACACCGTTTGTTGAAGAGACTTTCCTTTCTCCATTGTATGTTCTTGGCTTCTTTGTCAAAGATTAGCTGTTCCTAGATGTGTGGTTTTATTTCTGGGCTTTTAATTCTGTTCCATTGATCTGTGTGTTTTTGTGCCAGTACCATGCTGTGTTGATTACTATAGCTTTGTAGTATATTTTGAAGTTAGGAATTGCATTGAGTCTATAGATTGCTTTAGGTAGTATGGACGTTTTAACTATTTATTCTTCCAATCCACATGCATGGAATATCTTTCCATGTCTTTATGTCTTCTTTGATTTCTTTCAATAGTGTCTTATAATTTTTAGTGTGTAGTTCTTTCACCTCTTTGGTTAAATTTATTCCTACATATTTTATTCTTTTTTGTTGCGGTTGTAAATGGGATTATATTCTTGAGTTCTCTTTCTGCTAGTTGATTATTAGTGTATAGAAATGCAACTTATTTTTCTAAGTTGATTTTATACCCTGCAACTTTGCTGTAGTTGTTGATTAGTTAATGGTTTTCTGGTGGATTCTTTAGGATTTTCTATATAGAATCATGTTGTCTGCAAACAGTGAGAGTTTCGCTTGTCCTTTCCAATTTGAATTCTTTTTATTTCTTTTTCTTGCCTAATTGCTCTGGCCAAAACCTTCAGTACTTTGTTGAATAGGAGTGGTGAGAGAGGACACTGTTGTCTTGTTCCTGTTCTTATGGGGATAGTTTTCAGTTTTTCACCATTAAGTATGATGTTGGCTGTGGGTTTGTCATATATGGCCTTTATTATGTTGGGGTACTTTCCTTCTATCCTCATTTTATTGAGAGTTATTATGATAAATGGATGTTGGATCTTGTCAAATGCTCTCTCTGCATCTATTGAAATGATTGTCTGATTTTTGTTCCTCATTTTGTTGATGTGGTATATCGTATTGATTGCTTTGTGGCTGTGGACCATCCCTGTGTCCTGGTATAAATCCCACTTGATCATGGTGTATGATCCTTTTAATGTATTGCTGTATTAGGTCTGCCAATATTTTGTTGAGGACTTTGGCGTCTGTGTTCATCAGTGATACTGGCCTGTAATTTTTCTTTTTTGTGTTGTCTTTGTCTGGTTTTGGTATCAGGGTAACATTGACCTCATAGAATGAGTTAGGAAGCTTTCCATCTTCAATTTTTTGGGATAGTTTGAGAAGGATAGGTATTAAATCTTCTTTCAATGTTCATTGGATTTCTCCAGAGAAGCCATCTGGTCCTGGACTTTTGTTTTTTGGGAGATTTTTGGTTACTGTTTCAATGTCTTTACTTTTGATTGGTCTGTTCAGATTCTCTATTTCTTCTTGACTCAGTTTTGGGAGGTTGTATGAGTCTAAGAATTTATCCATTTCTTCTAGGTTATATCCAATTTGTTGGCATATAGCTTTTCATAGTATTCTCTTATGATCCTTTGTATTTGTGTGGTATCCATTGTAATTTCTCCTCTTTCATTTCTGATTTTGTACATTTGAGCCTTCTTTTTTTCTTAGTGAGTCTGGCTAAGTGTATGTCAATTTTGTTCATCTTCTCACAGAAGCAACTCTTAGTTTCATTGATCCTTTCTACTGTTTTTTTGATCTCTTATTTCATTTATTCCTGCTGTAATTTTTCTTATTTCCCTCCTTCTGCTGACTTGGGGCTTTGTTGTTCTTCTTTCACTATTTCTGTTAGATGTTGTTTAAGATTACTTATTTGAGATTTTTCTTGTTTGCTGAGGTGGACCTGTATTGCTATAAATTTTCCTCTTGGCATTGCTTTTGTTGCATCCCATAAGAGTTGGTATGTTGTGTTTTCATTTTCACTTGTATCCAGGTATTTTTTGATTTCTCCTTTGATTTTTTTCATTGATCCATTGGTTGTTCAGTATCATGCTGTTCAATCTCCACATATTTGTGACTTTCCCAGCTTTTTCTTTTTCTTTTTGGTGAGGAAGATTGGACCTGAGCTAACATTTTTTGCCAGTCTTCCTCTTTTTGCTTGAGGAAGATTGTCCCTGAGCTAACATCTGTGTCAGTCCTCCTCTGTTTTGCATGTGGGATGCTGCCACAGCATGGCCTGATGAGCAGTGTGTAGGTCCATGCTGAGGATCAGAACCCGGAAACCCTGGGCCACAGAAGTGGAGCCTGTGAACTTAACCACTACACCAGTGGGCTGGCCCCCAACTTTTTTCCTGTAGTTGATTTCTAGTTTCATAGCATTGTGGTTGGAAAAGATGCTTGGTATGATTTCAATCTTCTTAAATTTATTGAGGCTTGCCTTGTTTCCCAACATATCGTCTACCTTTGAGAATGTTCCATGTGCACTTGAGAAGAATGTGTACTCTGCTATTTTGGGATGTAATGCTCTTCATATGCCTATTAAGTCCACCTGGTCTAGTGTTTCATTTAAGGTCACTGTTTCCTTGTTGACTTTTTGTCTGGATGATCTACACATTGACGTAAGGGGAGTGTTGAGGTCCCCTACTATTATTGTATTACTGTCAATTTCTCCCTTTATTTTTTTCTGTTAATAGTTGCTTTATATACTTTGGTGCTCCTGTATTAGGTGCATATATATTTATATGTGTTATGTCCTCTTGGTGGAATGTCCCTTTTATAATTATATGCTGCCCCTCTTTGTAGATAACTCTTTTAAATTATTCTGTACTTTGAATTTTCAAATTTTCACTGTAAATATAGAGGGCTTAAATCTTATCGACAGGCATCAGTGTCATTCACACTCATATTTGATTACTTCTTTTTTACTTCAACAAGAGATCTAAGAGAATACTGAATAATATGAAAACAGAAGTGAAACAGCCTTTTTAGCAATATTTTTAGCATTTTATTAAAATGGGAAGTCTATAACATTAAATAGTGAAATTAAGTTCTGATGGAGCATTATCTTTACAGCATTGATGGCCTGGTTAAGGTGGGCACACTGAAAAAAAGACTTGATAGATTTAACGAAGTGGTAAGTGCACTGAAAGATGGAAAACCAGAGGTGAATAAACAGGTCAAAGACCTTGAAGTTTCTATTGATGCTTTGATGGCCAAAATTAAGGTATGTAATTTTAAGCCAAAGGACTTTGACATTTTTTATAATTTAATATCTTTTGTTATTGGTATTGGAATTGCTTGGAAAAATTGCTTATTTTTTTAAAAATGCAAAATGTTGCAAATGTTGAGTCTCAGAGATGGCAAGTGATGCTCATTATATTATCCCTTCTGTGTTTGAAAATTTTCATAGCAAAAAGAAAAAAAGACAATTTTTATGCAGTTTTATCTGTTGCTAGGAAAGATTTTTACCCCCAAAATAGTAATCAAAATACTATACTCTATTGGTAAGCTTTTGCATAATCATTACTGAGAGGGATTAATGCAAGTTATTTTAATTTGTCCATGTTTTTCTCCTTTCAGAAACTAATCTTTAAATTATAAAAGTGATATTGAAAATTTGGAGAAAACCATCAAAAACCCTTAACTCCCCCCACACTAACACATTCAACCACTATGCTACTGCATATTCCCCTTCCAGTCTTATTTTATATGCACGTGTTTTTGCATAGTTCTTATAATGTACATTTAATTTTGTACCTCTATTATGTTATATGCTTTGTCCCTTTTATTACATTATTTTCATATAGCTTTATCACAAATTACTTAACTGTTAAGAAAATAATAATTAATTTTCCCCCAAATTTTGTAGGAAAAAAATGAGGTCTCTTTTTGTTATCTTGATTTTTCATTTATTTGATTACCACTGGGATTGAAATTTTTTTCTGTGTGCTTTTTAATTATATTTTATCTATCTATTCATACCATTTCTGTTATATTTTAGGATCTTAATGTTTTTCTCATCTAGTTTCAGAAGTCAGTGCAATTATGTGAGATATAATACCTTCAGGCAAGCCTTTTACCATATCTTCTGCAGATATTTTATGTAGATTATGTTAAATCTTGGAGGTAGATTGGGGAAAGAAGATCAAAAGAAAAATGAAAATGTTTTAGATAAACTTAACTGACTTTATAAGTTTTTCAGGAGCCATCCCTGTTTATGTGGTATTATCAATTAAAATCAACCCAGCCACATTGTTTGAAGGCTCACTTAGGAAAATAATCCAACAATTTTTGAGCTATTTAATAATTTCTTAAATATTCCTTTGGTACTATTTCACATTATTATTAAAGAGTAGTAAACTCTGGCAAAATCATTCCTTAAAAAGTAACTTTATAGTATGTTACTTTGCCCACACCCTTGGATATATGATTACTTGATTGATAGGACGTAGACTCAAATATTTGTGTGCAAAGATAACTTTTAAAATTTTTTGAATATTATTTAATGTGCAAGCAATATAACAAAGATAACGGGCTTATTGCTTGCACACTTTCCAGTTTTTGCTGTGTATGTACATATTAGTTTTTCTTTTTATTGTGGTACAAGCTTTGAAGCATAACATTCAATTTACCATCTTAACCATTTTTAAATTTACAATTCAGTAGTGTTCAGTATATTCACATTGTTGTGCAACAAAAGAGATAACTTTTTAAGTACATGTTTATCATTTTGTTAAGTCCACTATGATGACAAGGGAACAAATACAGAAAGAATATGATGCACTAGTTAAAAGCTCAGAGGAACTCCTCAGTGCATTACAGAGGAAAAAACAGCAAGAAGAGGAAGCAGAAAGGCTGAGGCGTATTCAAGAAGAAATGGAAAAAGAAAGAAAAAGACGTGAAGAAGATGAGCAGCGTCGAAGGAAGGAAGAGGAAGAAAGGAGGATGTGAGGCGTTTATGTTGTTTTGAATTAGAAGCTAACAAAATAGTGAAGTCTTACTGTTGATGATGGTTCATGAATATTCTTATTTTAAAATACTAATTTTAGAATAAGTTTGAAAATGGAGAAAATAAGCTCATTTTATAATAACATAAAATGATTTTAACCATAATCTGAATTTTGGTTAGACTGTTATATGTGAGGATTTCTTAACTTCTTTTTAAAGCTATCACTTGCGTATTATTTTATAAGCTAGAAAAAAGGCACTTCTACTTTTCTGCAGTTTTAAAACTGAGAACATTTTGAAAGATTGCCATAACGGGGTAGGTAGAAGCAAAGTAAGAGTTGTTTATTGGAGAGGCAGAGGGAAGCACATGCAATTGGGCCTCACAACTAGGTTTTATGACTAAGGTAATCTAGAGATGTTAAAGGTTATAGAATATAATTGTGTTTGTTTTGTTTCAGAAGAATTACTGTCAGTAGAGTTAGATTTTATTTTTTTCAAAATAAGTTGATAATGTGTATGGCCGGAGGTTAATTTGAGTTCCCATTCTGTAGTCTTTGTTTATTAATAGTTAAATTGACTTCTGAAGGATTCATTATTTTCTGTTAAATTTTTGAAGAGTTTCTGTTATTTTGTTAGGAAACTTGAGATGGAAGCCAAGAGAAAACAAGAAGAAGAAGAGAGAAAGAAAAGGGAAGATGATGAGAAACGTATTCAGGTATGTACTTATTAGACAATCAGAATTCTATCAAAATAGAATCTACAGAATTACAAAACAAGAGAAGTGAGAACAAGATGTTGATTTGCCGGATAAGCTGCCACTGGTTTATCTCAGAAACAAAAGGCAGTTTCTGAAGTGGTGGTGGGAAGGAGATTCTGGATCTGGGAGCGCATTCAAGTCCAGGCTGGGTCACGTGCAGAGCTCCTGGCCCTGCGCATGCCGCCCTGAGTGACTGCGATGCAGCCTCCTCCTGTGGGATGGGGATGAGTTGTAGCTGTGAGCGTTGAACGAGTACGCCTGTTAAATCATTTAGAGCAGGGCCCAGCTCAGTAAGTGTTAGTTTGTTGTTGTTGTTATCATAGCTAGGGGAAGGTCAGATGAACATTCACTTAAAACATGATTATAGTGTTTTAAAATATTGTTTTATACCTTTGTAGATACTAGTATTAGGTTAAGATTATGATTCTCTCCCCAAATTCCCCCTCCTTTTTTGGTGAGGAAGATTAGCCCTGGGCTAACATCTGTTGCTAATCTTCCTCTTTTTGCTTGAGGAATAGTGTTGCTGAGCTAACATCTGTGCCAGTCTTCCTCTATTTTATGTGGGACCCACCACAGCATGGCTGATGAGTGAAGCTAGGTCTGTGCCTGGGATCTGAACCTGTGAACTTAACCACTATGCCACGAGCAGGCCCCCCACCCCCATCTTTGAAGAAGTCCCTGTCTGAGAATAATTGATCATGAATTTGAGTTTCAGTCTGTCTTGGCTTTCATAGTTTATCCTGAGCACAGCCAGTACTCTGAGTTCCTGGCATCTGCTATCTGGCTGTCATGTTAACTGATCCCTGGGATACTGGGGTACTGTTCGGGCTGCTCATAGTACAATGATAGAATGGTGCACCTGTGGTTCCTCTGCCTTCTCTTGGATTGGGAACGAGAGGAAGTGTTAATCATAATACAGAAGGGAAGAGAGACTGAAGAGGTTTCTGGTTAAACAGCAGATATTCTGTAGTAAAGTGCTCGTATGGAAGTTTTAAGTAGCAATGGGAAGGATCAAGTAAGCAAGTAGAGAGCCCTTGGTGAAACGGCGTTCTGCCCTTGGCAGGCTGAGGTGGAGGAGCAGCTGGCCCAACAGCGCGAGGAGGAATCCCAGCAGCAGGCAGTCCTGGAGCAGGAGCGCCGTGACAGGGAGCTGGCCCTCAGGATCGCCCAGAGTGAGGCAGAGCTCATCAGCGATGAGGCCCAGGCGGACCCGGCGCTCCGCAGGTATGGGCTACAGTGGGTGAGGGGGCATGACACTCCTCAGGTACTGGGCCATGGGGATGGAGGGGGCTCCACAGGTACTGGGCCACGGAGGGGGGAGGTGGCATGGTGCTCTTCAGGTACTGGGCCCCAGGGGGTGAGGGGGGATGAGGCTCCTCTGGTACTGGGCCCTGGGGGGTGGGGAGGCATAGCACTCCGTGGGTACTGGGCCCTGGGGGTGTGTGGGAGTCATGGTTCTCCGGGGGTACTGGGCCCAGGGGGAGGGCTGCGGCATGGTGCCCTGTGGGTACTGGGCCAAGAGAGAGTGGGGACCATTGCTCTCTGGGGGTACTGGGCCGGGGCGGGGGGTGCGGCATAGCGCTCTGTGGGTACTGGGCCGCTGGCAGCAGCATGGCTCTCTGTGTGCTTTCTTTACATCTCTGCTTCTCATTTCAGTGTGAAGGGAATAGGAGGAAGCCATGTTCCTTAGGTCCTGATATATTTTAATTTACTTTGAAATTAAATTTCATTTTAAGGTTGTTTGTATCCACTTTTATAGCCAAGTGAATGAAACAATTGATTTCATCAAATTGTTAAACTGTTGAGAAGTAAAAGTGATATTTCAGTTCATAAGTACTTTGTTAAGAAAACATCTCAACTTTTACTCTGAAATTGTCAGAGTTTTGTATAAAAGCTAGACATCTAATTTCTAAATACCTGCCATTAAATACTGGCATAAAAATCAGTGAATATATTATAATTCTGTTTAATATATTTGTGGTTGGGATTTATTATTTTCCTAATGCAGTTTAAAAAAAAAAATATACACCCTAACGCTTATAATGAGGAGGAATTTCACACATCACCCCCTGCCCCCAACCACCACGTTTCAGAGTAAATAGATTTCCCTTTCCAAGAAAGAAAATTAATCACATTGAAATATTTTGGCTCCTTGAGTTTCTGAATTATCTCTAAATACTTGATTTTTATTGGAGTGTGGAAGAATACAGAAGTTCTCATTAAAAGTTGCAGGAAAGTTTTAATATAGCAGATTCACTTTTTTAAAACTTTAGAAACATTTGTTATTTTGATTATTTCTAAAAACAAAGCAAAACTAGTCTGTAGGGTTCCTTTTTATGTAGGTATATATGTGGTTTGCATATTGAGAGGCATATCCATATACATAACCACTCTTTTCAGAATGTCATAGCACTGTTTGTAACAAAATATAATTAAAACACAACCACTAGACGCTGCTATTTCCTTGTGAAAGGAAAGAACTTAGTTCAAACTGCGAGGCAGTGATTAAATTTTATTTAGCTGAAAACAAAGAAAGGGAGGGAAAAGGGTGTGTTAAGTTGCCTTCACACTTTTTCATGTAAGTAATTATGTTGAGCAGGTCTGGGGTCTGAATTGTATAAGAAAGTATATTATATTTTTATTTTTATTTTATTTATTTATTTTTTTGAGGAAGATTAGCCCTGAGCTAACATCCACTGCCAATCGTCTTTTTGCTGAGGAAGACTGGCCCTAAGTTAACATCTGTGCCTATCTTCCTCTATTTTATGTGTGGGACGCTGCCACAGCGTGGCTTGATATGTGGTGCATAGGTCCACACCCAGGATTCGAACCAGCAAACCCTGGGCTGCCAAAACGGTGCATGTGAACTTAACCACTGCACCACCGGGCTGGCTCCACAAAGTATATTATGTTTAAATAAATGAAATAGGCCTATCAAATGCAAGGTAGTATAATAATTGTTAAACTTTTGGCTTCGAATCCAACATTTAGGGCATTTATTAACATTTCACTATAATTGGAATATTTTTGCCTGGCTGTGGCTTTTGTAACTGCAGACTCAGCTCACTTGCTGTCCAGTCCCTTCCACCTGTGTTATGTTGGACTGGCTGGGAGCTTCTGTGTATGACTGACCAGCGGCTGGGCCAGGCTCCTGAATGAGCAGGCTCTTAGAGCTGCTGTCCCTGATGTGTGTGAAGAAGCTCTGCAGTGGACAGAGCTGGCTTGATTATGGCTGAAGTTCGTTTCTCAGGGACTGATGAATGGAGTCATTGTTCGTATTCATGGCCAAGTTTCACGTTCCAGCATTTGAAATGCTGAGCTGTATCCAGTGTCATTCCATATAATATGTGTAAGATACTGGCTCATCTATGGACTCTTTCCTGTCCTTAGAAAGGTGCACTTCTTCCAAGGTGAGTGGGCACAGAGAAAGAGTGGACTGTTTAGGACCTTTAACATAAATGACAAGTTACCTGTGATTTTCAGTTAAGGAGAATTAAGTAGGTGATAGGACCACAACTGAGTAATTCGGAGATGCTCAAGCACTTACGACTTGGAAGGCAGAAGAGTTAGTTTTAGTTCTCCTGGGGGCATCCCTCAGGGTGATGTCCCCTCTTCTGGAATCCTCCTTTAAGTCCTTTCTGTCCCATCTTGCGGGACGTTCGGTTCCTCGAGAGCCTCTCCCCTCCTGAACTCCTGGTTATTCTACACTCTGTCCTGCAAGCATTGGCACTTCACTGTGGATGATGTTCTGACAGATTTCATGTTTCATAATTTGATCTTACTCCATGGGCTGTAACTAAATGTTTTTGAATGTTTATTTTACCTTTGTTAGCACTGAATTCTTTCTAACAAATTTATGAGTAAGAGCTCTCTGATTAACCCTGTTCTTAATATATAGCATGAAAATGTTGTTTTTGGGTTTTGTGATGCATTAAAAATGTGTGTAGATGAATTCTGCTGCAATAAACAATTTCAAGTTGCTTTTCTAGCTTGGATTCCCATCGAGTAACTCCTAAGTAAGAACTGTTTTTCTACATATGTAACATGTTTTAAAATATGATCTCAATCAATCACACATATGATCCTTGATGCAAAGTGATGATTTCACATTACCTAAAATTATAAAATAACATCCCACTTCTATTAAAAACAAGTAAACCTCACAATGTATGAATTTTCTAATCTAGATTTAATATATTTGTTCTTTAACTTGCATTGAATGCCTTTAATTTATTTTCTAATTATTTTTAATGAAGATGTTAAAACGTTAAAATTCTGAGTGATCTTATATGTAGGTTAAATAAAGATAATGGAGTTTTTTAAAGTCAATGAATAAAATCATTGAAACACAGATTTGGCGCAATCCAGATTTTCACAATTCAGAATTGGTTATAATATTAACTAAAACATATTCTTTTCACAGCATTGATGGAAGAAGACCCAAAATGACACCGTATGTTATTTCCCATTTTAAAACTTGATTTATTTATATAACCTTTTTAAAAATAGGTTGTGGATACTTTTTTTAGGAGAAATGGTTTCCTCATTGAAGCAAACTTTACATTATTTCATTGTATTAGGAAGAATGAGATAACTCATTCTTTTTCCGTTCTTTTTTTTGCCTGGGGAAATGTCGAGTGCTTCTCTGGGGTGCTCTGTCGCAGGAGTTTGATTTGGTTCCCTTCGTGTTTTCTAACTTTGTTTAAACTTTAACACCCATTTTGTATTACGTGTTTTTGATTATCTCTTACTTGTGTCTTTATAGAAGCAGATGTATAAATAAGATATTTAAAGTATTTGAGTTATAGCAGATAGCTTAGCTTTCAGTATATACGATAGTTCATTCTACTAAAGATAAAATAGCTCATAATCTGAAGTTATAGATGTAATCTAATTTTGGTGCTAGTGTATCTTTTTATTATGAAAATCTCTCCACAGGGAGAGAATCTTAAGTAACATTTGGATATACATATAAAATGTATTTTACATTTGTAAATACAATTTAAAATGTAAATACATTTTATATGTATACTATATATATAAAATCTGAATTTTAGCAGGTTTTAAGACCCCAACTATAACCTTTATAGTGATGGCTCTCAACTCTGTCAGACACCAGTACCAATAACAAATGTTTTATAACTGATGCAACCTACATAAATAATTCTCTCCAAACAGTACGTGTAAAAGAGAAGTAAAAGGACAGTAGCTTATAATAAAACAATGTTTATTTTAATATGAAAGTGCTTGCTCACAAATCAGGTACTCTGATGTTTTTCTTATACATAGAATCACCACTGAATGCGACAGGTACAAATGTAAATTCATAGAAGAATGTTCTATCAGTCAATTAACTGCCATGAAATTGTGAATAATATTTCGTAAAGTTCTGAACAGAGCTAAGTACAGTCTCCTCTCAAATATATAATAGTTGCTCTTCTTAGAAAAATCCTGTCAGCATTGAAACTATGCATTAAAAAAGCTGGCTTTTTTACATGTTACAGGTAAATTTGTTTATATGTAAAACATATGTATATGCTCTTTTCACCTCTGTGCGTCTGGTGGACATGTTAAAGTCACGTGGGGCATAGGGCAGCTCTTCCTCGTGCAGGATATTTGGCACCCCTGACCCCTCATCTCATCAGATGCCAGCAGCACACTCTCACATCAGTGTTACCACAGTGCACCAAAAAATTTGAAAATGTCTCTGACCAGGTGCTCTTGCCCTCCATTAGAACAGCTGTTTTATGGTTACCATTTGAGCTTGAATTTAAATAAGCCCTTCCACCTATATCTAAGGTGAAATTATGAGAATTTGCATATAGTTTGGGAAAATTAGAGGGAAAAAAGTAGCTGGATGCAGGAACCATTTCTATTCAGGTTTGGTGTTGGTCCTAGAGCAATTACGTAGGGTTGGGTGGGATATCGAATCAGTAGAGAGTGACATCCAGTATAGTGTTGGGGCACACAGAGAAGTCTCTGTGTGATCAACAGACCAAGTAGCAAAGAGCTTTGAAAGGCCATGAATTCCCTTGAAACCTGCTGTGGGAAAAGAAATGGAGCAAACTTTAGGAGAAAGAGATGATAAACAGAGAGACGCTCTTGGATACTAAGGTGGGAACCTTGAGGTAGGGTGATAATACAATTAAAAATATTTATCAAAATCATGCTGAGTTTGAAAGTTAGAAAATTCTGACTAGCCTAGAGAGAGAGTGATAAATGTATTGCTCAAAAGATAATTTTTATTAGATTATATTTGTGGTTTTTACTTTGTGCTTATTGTCCTCGATCATCAGTTTTGAAGGCTTACTTCCTCTCTGACTGTGCTTGCTTGGCGAGGCTTCTGTCAGGACCTAACCGTAGCCAGTGTTCACTACAGGAGCCTCCGCTCCGTTACCATCAGTCCCGGCTCTGGGCAAGCATCCAGCGAGCTGTGCTCTGAAGCGAACATATCATCTTCTTTGCTTAGGATTTTTACTGATTTTAAGATTTTGAGTTTACCAGAGTCTGATGAATAGAATGAGTGAGAAAATGATTAATTATAAAGGAAGAGAGCAAAAGACAGGAAAATAAATAAAGAAGTTAATGAAGTGTTGATAAACACATGAAACATCCATCCCATTTCACAGGATTAAACAAACATTGAGAGTGGTTACACTCTCCTGGGGAATAAAAGAAGTCTAAGTTTTTGCCTTTGGGAGATGTTTACCCTTGGAAGGTCAGAACACTTCTGATCTTTAATTTAACGAGTACTTGATGTATTTGAATTCTTTTTTTTAAAGAATGCTTTGAGTTAGAATTTTAGAGCTTTGAATATATCAGACTCTTACTTAAACTCTGACGCTGTAAAATAGATGAGCTTGGTTTATCCCTATTATGCCTTATCTAATTAATATTTACCAAGCAACCCCAGTGCAAAAATCTTTGCGTAGATCTCTATCCTGCTGAGTTTCCTGGACGTATTTAGAACATGCTGTTTATAGTCTATACATAAACAATACCACAGAAGCATGGCTCTCTTGAGATTTCATCTGAATTTTCTACTACAAAAATGGAAGTGTGTTCAAATAACTTTAACTGGATTTAAACAAAAATTTTGCTGTATTTTATGGCTATATATGTTGAAAAGTATATCATAGACTTTTATAAAGTAAAATAATAGTGAATGACTCATAAATCAATAATCTTATTGAAAATATAAACTTTTAATTATACTATCAGATCTTAATTTTAAGTAATTTATATAGTTGTCTTTTATATAACTATGTTGTGCTATCATTTTTCTTGTAGGGAACAAATGGCGAAAGAAATTTCAGAATTTTTGAGTAGGTTAGTGCAGTGTAATTTCGGGTAATGTGTCACCTCAAAATCATATTTTTAAATTGCTTTTCATTATTTGGATCAGAACCTGTTATGTGAACAACCTGCTCTTTCTATGTAAATTTTCTGTATAAGAAATGTTACTTCGGGGCCGGCCCTGTGGCCCAGTGGTTAAGTTTGTGTGCTCTGCTTCGGTGGCCCAGAGTTTCACCAGTTCAAATCCTGGGCGTGGACATGGCACCACTTATTAGGCCATGTTGAGGCAGCGTCCCACATACCACAACTAGAAGGACCCACAACTAAAAAAATACAACTATGTACTGGGGGGATTTGGGGAGAAAAAGCAAAAAAAAAAGAGATTGGCAAGTTGTTAGCTCAGGTGCCAAGCTTTAAAAAAAAAAAAAAAAAAAAAGAAATGTCACTTAGCCCTCCTGCCACTCTAACATAGAAAAAGATAAAAAACAGTGTTCCTCTAAATTGATGTTCTCAGTGAGGATACTGCTGGCATTTTGGATGGGACTTTCCCTTGTGGGTAGCACTGTCCTCATCACTGGCCCCACCGACTCAGTCTCAGTAGGGGAACTCTTGCGCTCATTGTGACAAAATGAATATGTGGAAACTCACCCTGGGGGTGGTGCTGCCTCCTGGTTGGGAACCACTGGGTCTGAGTGAAGGGGAAGGAGAGGAAGCGTGTGGCTCCCGAGGGCCTCCCACTATAGCACATGGTTTTAAACCTCTGGTGTAGAGACTGAGCCACCAAAGAGGGTAACTTTCAGCAGGATCTGGTCCACTGCCTTCATAAGTGAGTATGAATCAGTAGTATTTTAACTGTCTATTTTGAAGTTACAGAGTTAATTGAAAGTGTTAAAATTAATTTATTTTTTAAAATAAAAAGTTAAATTTACTACTGCCTTACTGTATTGTTTACATGATTGTCTTTATAACAAGTCTAAATAATCAGTAAGTTACACTTTATTTTACTATTTTAATAATTCCAGAGATGGAAGGGAAAAACATTTAAATGCATTTCCTTTGTGTACTACTTAGCATGCTGAATGTATTTTTTAGCAGGTGTATTTTTGTTTGAGGCAGTATGAATGAAAAGTTAGTGATATTAAAACAGCATTTTAAGCAATAATAATTTGAATTCAGTGTTTTTATTTTTTAAGCGTATCAAAACATACCTTATTTATGTTGACGCTTCATGTATATTCTGACAATCTGTGAAACTTGTATTATGTAAATTCACTTTCTCTTTCAAAAAGAATAGAAAACCCATAATAATTTTCAGCTGCTCTCCTAGAAAGACTCTTAGAAGAGCTAGGAAAAAAAAGAGAACTTTTTTTCTTTAGTTTGCTGAGTGGTAGTTGAGGGATGTAGAAAAGAATATTTGAATAAATGCTAAGGCATAATTTATCGTTAAGGGTAATAGAGAGACCTTGCTGACACACAGCTGGCCCTTTCTGAGCAATGCAGTTTAAAAGAAAAAGCCACGTGGAAAATTGCCAGTCACACAAGCCTCCGAAAAGTATAGATTCTGCAATAACCGTATCAAAGATTTTAGCCACAAAAATGCAGGAAGGACTAAATGGCCACACGTGATTCTTTAGCCAGGCTTATTTGTGATTGACAGTCATCCTGTCTAACAGTTTTTAAGTGCGTAGGGTGAGTATTTTTATTCTCTTAAATGAAAGCATAAATAAGCCTTTTAAAGAGGCAGAGGTACCTTTTTTCTTTCATCGTTACCCTTCACGTTGAAGGAATAGTTTCTCTTCTTTCGGGAAGAAGGGTACGTAGTTTCAGACATCGTTGTTGAGTGATGTCAATCGTATTCTGTGTTTGTGGCCTGTTTGCTAAGATTGCTGTTCTCCTTCAGAATGTAAGATGATGAGAAAAACATGAGCCCATTTTCAGATGTTATACTTGATCGTCCCTCTTTAATAGGAAATATTTGCCAAGTAGTAGATGATAGGCAAAATTCCTTGTATGATACTTGAAAAGGAATATTTTAGTTTTGTGTTTACTTCTAATATTTGTACCATCTTCTTTTCATGTCTTGAAATGTGATGTGTTTAAGTTCTTCTTTTGTTACATTGAGCTTAAAAGTCCATTTGCAGCTTATTATGGATGCCTGCTATGTGGCAAGTGTAATCTTTCACTGAAAAATAATGTTCATCATTACAGAAAAGGCATTTTTCCCATATTTGCTGAATAATTATTTTAAATTATGTGTGTAGAAACAGGTCTTGAGCCTGGAGTAGCACTGCTATGAAGAAGTTGAATTTATCCTATTTTATTTTTTAATTATTATATTTTATGTGTATATATTTTTAAATTTTTGTTTCCTCTTTCCCACTCAGATATTCCTACTACAGTGGGCCAAATACAACATTGTTCCCTTTGAAATCTCTGTTATCTGCCTCATGACCTAAAACCTCTTCCTTTAATTTACTAGTTGTCACATTATTACTCACTAAATATGAAGGCGTGATTTTATCTGCTTATAGAACTTTTCTAGGTGTTTGTTAACAGTGAGCTAAAATGTCACAGGAGTTTCCAGGTGCCAGCAGCTCTTTCAGCCTGTCCCTAACGTCTAATGCAGTGGCTGCATTTTGGCCATTCACATATGGCCCCTGTGAATATCCAGATGCCCAGGGAGATTCTGAGCCAGTAGGTATGGCTGGGGCTTGGCCATCTGTAGCTTCCAATAGTCTGCAGGTGATTGTATTGTGCAGCTAATGGCTCATAAACAAACCCTTAGTGTGCTTCTGATGATCTTTCAACTATGCTGAAGATTTATTTTTGATTTTGAGGAATACATATAAATGAATTTTCTTTTTTGATGCAGATTGTCCCTGAGCTAGCGTCTGTGCCAATCTTCCTCTACTTTGTATGTGGGACGCTGCCACAGCACGGCTTGATGAGCAGTGTGTAGGTCTATACCCAGGATCCAGACCCATGGACCCTGGGCTGCTGAAGCGTAGCATACAAACTTAACCACTACATTACTGGGCTGGCCCCATAAATGAATTTTTTTAACTTTAGTTGTTCATTTATCCATGGGTTAGAACGTTTAAACTGAAGTCTGGGAAAAGTCTGTGGTATCAGAATATTGGAATCAGAAGTTATGCTTGAAAACCTAATATGGCTATCAAATGGCACACTAGAAAATTTTGATTTACCTGGGCATGCTGCAGTACACCATTCTTAATCTCATCTGTCAAAGATAGAAAAATTATTATGGATGTTTTTCTAGTCATTATTTCCAGTTCTCAAGCTTATGCTCACCTTCTGGCCTGTTTAGTCAACATTTCATTCATGTTTCTAGTTTAAATGTGCAAAAATATATAATAATTACAGAAGTCCTGCTGTACAAGCCACCAAGGCAGCTGCTGGTACCAAGAAACATGATCTTAGTAAATGGAAGTACGCAGAGCTCCGCGACACCATCAACACTTCTTGTGGTGAGTGTGCGGAGAGGCTCGGCAGCGTCTGGGGCCAGTGCCTGGGTCGGGGCAGAGTTCGTTCTTTTGCATATAAATTAATTTAAGCTATTCTCTTTGTTACTCTCACCTTAAAATGAAGACCTAGTTTACTCACGAAGGTAAAAGAAAAACACACTTACTAAATTCATTTTGCGTATCTCTTGTCTAGGTCAGAGAGGAGCAGCATAGAGAAATTATGGTTGGACTGTATTAATGACTGACCCTCTAATGTTGCATAATAGTTACGTAACCTCTAGATCAGAATCTTTTGGTCCGTGAACACAAAGGGAAAAATGGCAATGCTGTCCTTCCTTTTTAAAGCTGTCTTTCTGCTAACAGAACAGAGGAAAATTCTCTACCCAGAGGCTCCATAGTTGTGTTTTTGTTTAAATCATAGAGTTTGAACTCAGGACACTATGACCAGGAACTAAATTGTCATAATTGTAAAAAACTCCTATGTTCTTTCCCTCCTCACTGAGTTTATCTGCATAGTTATAAACATAAAAAATGTCTTGCATGTAAATTTACCTTGCATTTGAGCACAGTGACTTTTTATTCTATTGCTGTGGCCTGTGACCTTGGACAAGTGACTTAACCTCTCTGATTCAAGTTCTTAATATCTAAGAATCTGTTTAGTCCAGCGGTCTTGTGTGGAGAAAACGATATAAAATAGTAATAATGCATAAGAAAATGCTCTGTGGGTATAAAAGATAATATTACCATAAAATGCTCATCTTTTAATAATTAGCTTACTTTTGGTTTTGCACTATTAATTTAAAAATGAAAACTTTATATATATAAATATATGTTTATGCCATAGAATTATTGTTAGATAATAAATTAGAGATGTTAATTTTTTTTTTTCTTTTTTGGTTCTTTCTATGTAATTGATAGATATTGAGCTCCTGGCAGCTTGCAGAGAAGAATTTCATAGACGACTAAAAGTGTATCATGCTTGGAAATCCAAGAACAAGAAGAGAAATACTGAAACAGAACAACGTGCTCCAAAGTCTGTTACTGATTATGGTAAAAACCAGTCTGTACTTTTGAATGTTCCGAAGTATATGTGTTTAAATACATGTAAATATACATAAGACATTTGGGTAAAATGTCCAATATAAATTTTACTGTGAAATTGTGATCCACTGAACCTAACACAACCATGATAGCTTGTGTTTCATAGCATTATTTCTATTAAATGTGTCTTTGAAGTCATATTTGTTAACATGTATTGAATTTACTTGTCAAGAAATTCTAGAGGTAAGAATATTATTGTCTATACTGAAGAGGTTTGGAATAATGTTACAAATGCATGTTTGTTCCACATATAGTCATGCATTGTTTAATGATGGGGATACATCCTGGGAAATGCGTCATTAGGTGATTTCATTATGCGCACATCAGAGTGTACTCATACAAACCTGGATGGAGAGCCTACTGCACACCTAGGCTATGTGGTACTGATCTTGTGGGCCCACCGTCGTTGACCCAAACGTCCTCATGCAGCACATGACTGTACACATATATACACATACGTAAAGATTGCGTGTGGAAATGTAAAGATTGCTATGAAAAAAAGAATGTTTACTGCAAACATCATTTTCCAATACTGTGAGAATAGAAGAGCGAGAAATAGTACTTTGGTTTTGACCAGAGTTTTGCCTAGACCAGGATTTGATTTTTTTGACTGAGACCCTAAAAATGAATTTTGTTATGTAAAAGGCAAAGTTGTGCACTTGAAATTGGAAAAATAGAGGAGGATAGACATAACCTAGTAAAAGCATGTACTGGCTTTAACATTAATTGAGAATACCTGTGATATAGGAGTTGTAATTTCAGTCTTAAAAGCAATAATTAGAATTTCATTTGTTCAACTTGTTACTTTTAAACTGGCACAATTTATTAGCTTATTTCTGTTTAAAGTCAAGGTGTCAGTATATTTAATGTCTTTTTTTTAAAGGGATATATTCCCAACACTTGATATTATAGTTTAGCGATACATGACCCAAGTTGACTTAGAAAATTTTTGAACTCTTGGTTACATTTTGCCTCCCTTACCACCTTCCTGGCAAATAAAAGTAGTATTTGATTAAAGTCAATTAAATGGTGGAATTTTAGTGTTTCTAAGTCGTTGCAAAGAATAGAGTGAGTGAGGGAAATATTATTAATGAGAGAGATGTTGGTGCTGGTGATTGTTCAGGGCCGTCATCAGTTACCTCTGGGAGGGCAGGCAGAGATCGCCTGGAACCACGAAGTGGCTCTTGGAAGGCCCTCTATCATTCTTCCTGCAGCCACCACTGCCTTCTCTAGTTTAAAAATTTGTCTCTGGCAGTTGAAGATGACGGGATGCTTCCATTCCCTGTTTACTTTCTGTACCAAGTTTCTAACCATAGTTACCTTTGTTTTGTAAAAATGGCAATAGTCTATTCTTTTTAGCTGTAATGTTCTAATCATGACCTTTAGCTGATAGGTTTTCATTATGTTTTATTTCAAAATTTATACGTCTGAATGATTGCACTTCTTAAAACAAGAAGAAATTAATGTTGTAATATTTGGCACACACATTTTTAATGAATATACAAATATTTCTTGTATTTTTAAACCAAACTTTGATACCTTACTCATCCAACTCTGCCCCAGAAGGAGCAAATAATATATAGCTTACCTTGCTGGTTCTCATACTGTTTCCGTTCATAATATACTATTTGGAAGAACAAAAGTGTAGGTTAAGAAAATTTCCCAAGTCCCATCCAGATATATGAACAAATTTAGGAATTCTATGTGAACACACTCCACATATACGTGGACTTCAAAGAATTTGATTATAGACCATTTTAGGGATCAAATGTAACTTCTGCTTTGAAAAATTCTTTCTTATTTTTCTCTTTATTTTTTCCTCACATAAAATTCATTCTGACCCAGGAATACAGTTAAAAGGAAAGGTGAAGGGCACTAAGATGCTTAACAACTCAATTGAGAAAATTCTGTACTTAGATGGTTTCCTAATGGGGCTGCTAATCAACCTTTAAAAGGAGCTGCTCTGTAGTTTAATATTTAGAAGGATTAGAATTCATTAATTTGAGAAAATAAAATTATGACAACTTCCATGGTTGACAAAAATATAACTCGATATTATTGCCTCTAAGAGTAATATATTGACAATTGGTGATGAATTCTTATAATTAGGAGTGGGGAGCCTCAGGCCCTCTAACTATGTGCAGTGCTGGGTGACCACACTCTCATCACATTTACTACAGAAAGAGGTTTTCAGAAATAATTTCTGGGGCTGCAGTAAATTATCCAGTAAAGATTTACAATATGTAGTTGCTTAAAACAGTGACTTTCGAGAGTAGTTTTATTTTATAGTTCCTGAAATAAAAATGACACGAATTTAAGACTTAGACAATTTGAGGAATTTAAAACATACTGAATATATGTAAACGTGGCAATGCTTTTTCTCTAATGCATATAATTTTTTGATGAATTTAGAAGTTATTCTCTTTTTTTATACAAAAAATTCTAATAATGCTTTAAGGCTCGATAAACATTTATTAAGTCATTTAATAAATAAGACATTTATTAAGTCATTGTTTTGGATTTTTGTTTGGATATTACTGTGTCTCAACATTACAAATGAAATACAATTTTTGTAATTTTGGTCCTCTTTATATGTCCATTAAGCAGAATTTTCTAAAACATAATCAAAACAGCTTTTTTCTTTTTTTTTTAAAATCAGAAAGCAGCATCTACTTGTAGGTAGTTCCAAGAGTGTTTGGCTATGGATAGGCTATTTACTTGTTAGTCACCGCCTCAATTGATGGGAAGCCGTTATAAATTAGAAGAATGCTCATTTAACAGTTTTGGCATTTTTATCTTTTCTTCAACATAAAATATTTGTTCACAGATTTTGCACCATTTTTGAACAATTCACGTAAGTCAATGGGTGGTAACTCATGAGCTAACTGGAAGATGGGTTAAAAATACTTTATAAAATACTAACTTCTATTAAAGATTGTTTTGCTACAATTTTAAGTGGAATTGTAGTACATTAATGTTGGTTTATCTGTACTAAGAGATTTAATTTGAGATGATGCTTTCATTTGGATCACTCCAAAATATATTTGCAGAACAAAATTTATTTGTTTTATCAAATTAATTCCTTTAAAAAAAACTAGCATTTTAAACTGTGAGTATACACAATTCTTATTGTAGCAAAACTCTATCTTAATAAGCAGCTGATCTTTTAGAATAAAGACTAACTTTAGGTGCTGGTTTCAAACACTGTGATGGTATAAGCCTTTCTCCAAAAGATTTGAGTTCTGTATGCTAATGTACACAGGTTTAATAGGATAACCCCTAACAGGAAGAGGAGATTATTGTTACCTTTATAGCTTCCTATGATGCACCTTTTTTAGTAATTTAGAAGCTTTGAGTCATCTTACAGTACAGTAAATTTCTTATAGAATTCCTTGAACAATAATGATTTGGATATAATGCCATATTTATTTGCCAACTGGTTGGACCTGATTTCTTTTTAAGTGCCTCTGGTAATTCATAGGGTTACATTTGAAACTTATTTCACACTTTTGAAGATGATGCAATTGGATGTGAAACAAAGTTGTTTAGATTAGTCTCAAGCTTTCAACATCCGTATCTTTGTATTTTTCCAGATGGATATTCGTTTCCAGGCTTCCCTAATACAATTTCAGTTCTCACATTAGAAAAAGACATCAGAAACTTTCCATTGGGTTTCTCAGTTTTACCCAATATATTAAGTTACAGGAGATGTTATTTTAAAAGAAGAAAGTAGCTGAATTTAATGGGTAGCCATCACTATCGTCATGAGCTTCCTGTCAAGTGGTCATCGAATTCTAATTCACTGCTTAGGATGGAGGGGAGGGTTTTTTTTTATCCTTTTAAAATGTCTTAGTTTTGAGTTAGTGTATTTTCTGCAGCGTAGGTAATTTTAAACTTAAAATGGAAACACTGAACTGTGAGTAGTTTTGGGGGAACAAGAACAAAAGAATAAAGCAGCTCATCTCTGCTGACGTGCTAAATGCGGTGCGGCTTTCTGCAATCACTAACAGCGCCCCTTTCACGGGCATGTGTCGCTTCGCTCCCTGCTCTTTGCTGTCTCTGGTTTGCACAGAAAGAAATCCAGCTGCCATAAAGCTTTTGCTATTAGTGTAAAAAGCAGAGTAAGAGTATTTTCACCCTTTCAGTATTTGCAAATTCTCACAAAAGCTGCGTGACTGTTCTTCACCTATAGATATTATGTAATTTTTCTGTGGCGTACTTAGCTTTTCAGTGGGATTCTTAATTGAGCTGCAGTAAATGGTTGATCTACTTTTAAAGTTATAAGTATAAAGCATATTAAACAGACTTGCCAAATTAGGCTGCTGAAGATGTCAGGTCATTGCCCCAGAGAAAGATGTATACGTTGCAGATAAAATAAAAACCTGTTTAGTAATGAAAATTGAGCAAGGGAAAGAAGATTGATAGGAGAGCAATGCCCAGTATTAGCAGAAAAGCAAGGATTTTTTTCTGTTGGTGAAGAGAACCAAACATTATACACTTTGCACTTATTTCAGTGGATTTTTTTCCAAGAGAAATCTGATTTCAGAGTCAGTCAGTCTCTCTGAGGGAAAGTTCCTGCTTACCGTTACAGTTTTGTTGTTGTTGTCATGAAGTTGTCTCAATATTATTAGTAAAAGGTCTGTGCTGTCTTGGCTGTTTTAAATCCCAGAGTCAGTTGGCAAAGAGAAAACTCATATGTTGTCCACTTTTTTGAGGAAATTGTGATTAAGTTGACAAATGTCTATAATCCTTCACACTTGTGAAATTATCATTTGCTTGTTTTATCATAAATAGTCCCGTTAAAGTTATGCTGAACTCTTTGGAGGAAAAATATAATCCAGTCAGTAATACCAGCTGGCTCTCCTGCCGTGTGGGTTTATTCTAGGTTCCTGATGTGGTCACTTGTGGGAGTCTGCTAGGGCTTGGCCATTGGTGGTGGTGGTTTGTATGTGTGTGAATGTGTGTGTGTTTGCAATGCCAAGGAACATCTTCAGGGAGAGAAAATTCTAAGTCACGCTCTGTATTCATTTGTAGGCAATTAGTATTTACATTTATTATTAGGAACCTCTCTTCTTCTTCTTCTCCTTTTTTTTTAAAAAAGAAACTTGTGATGCATTTTAGGATTAAAGGCTGTTTCCGTTACCCCCTGGGCAGCTGGTGTGACTCTCCCTGTTCTCTAACAGCTCAGCAGAACCCAGCGGTCCAGCTTCCTGCGCGGCAGCAGGAGCCGGAGCGGCACCGGCAGCAGCGCTTCTTCCGCATTCCGTTCATCCGCCCTGCCGACCAGTACAAAGACCCCCAGAACAAGAAGAAAGGCTGGTGGTACGCCCACTTCGATGGACCGTGGATTGCCCGGCAAATGGAGCTCCATCCTGACAAGCCACCCATCCTTCTTGTGGCTGGTGTGTATGATTACATGAAAAAATTTATAGAGCAAAAAAAGGATTATAAACCCTCCGAATGAAATAATTTAATATATAATATAATTCATTAAATTTCAGGGTTGAGGGATGGAGTTTCGTGGTTGTCACATTTCCAATGAATTGAGTTTTAACTTATTTATAATGTGAAATCACCTGGATTAATTATGTCCTTGGAGACGGCAAAGTTGTCTGTGTCCTGAGACCTTTTCATTGGTGTTTAATTCTATCAGTTGATTTGCAGTGGTTTAAGGAAACGTAGCATTTTTACTAACCGTGGTGACTTCTTTGATCAACTGCAGCGTTAATACATTTTGAAAGGGATCTTTGTGGAGGACAAATTTAAGTTGTTTCTGGTGAATTTATTAAGCAGATTTAATCTTAGAGGAAGAAAATAGAGTTTTAAAAGTTCTCAAAACTATGGGAGTGGATAGCTATTTCAATAATAAAGTTTATAATAAACGGGTCTGGAAAGAGACATGGTGATTTTTCTGCTGCCTCATCTGTCAGGTAAGGATGACATGGAGATGTGTGAGCTGAATCTCGAAGAGACGGGCCTGACTCGGAAGCGTGGGGCTGAGATTCTGCCGAGACAGTTTGAGGAAGTTTGGGAGCGCTGCGGGGGCATCCAGTACCTCCAGAGCGCCATCGAGAGCAGACAGGCGCGGCCCACGCACGCCACGGCCATGCTGCAGAGCCTGCTGCAGTAGCGGCCGCGCCCGCCGGCCCCGGCCCCCGCGCCGCCCACGAGCGCGCGAGAACGCCCTTCGCGGAGGGAACAGAGTGCATTAATCATGGCCTGTGTTAATTTAAGGTTAATTATGGTAGTGAATTTGAGGTCTAGAAATTATTTTCCTGAATCCAGCTGTAACTGTTAAACCTCTCATTATTCTAATATTTGTTACACTTGGACGGATTCTGATATTTGTCATCCTTTGCCAACAGACTACCTTAAATCTGTCATCATTGTTTAAAAATTCAAAATACTTGCTTGTTAAGATGACACAGTACCAAATAATTGGAATAATGAAACTTGACTTAAATTTTCTTATAAAAATTAAGACACTTAAAATGATCAAAGTACCAATATTTTGATTTGAAAAGCTGTGTACTTTTTACTCACTTTTTCAGAAATTCATGGAAATTTCCATCAAAGGTGGAAATTGTTATTTTCCCCCCTCCTTTGCCGGTGTCTTAGTTTGAGTAAAGCAGTACACCTGAGATTCTAGCATTCCGGAGTCTTGATGTATGCTATGTACTCCTTGATAAAGAAGGGGTTCACAGTATCCTGCACAGATTTTTCTTTTCTATCACATTGTGTTGCTAAAAGACAATTTTTCTTACACTCCATGGACAAATAAAGGAAGTTTAGACCATTTAAATGCGTAAAAGTTTTGAGATAATGTTTGTTTCATTTAGAAAAGGAAGTAGGTTTTAGGTGGCATTGTGGCTTAGCCGGCCTGAACTCAAATATTCTTCAGCTTCATCTCAATTGCAATTTTTGTATCAGAATCTTGTCCAGCTTGTTTCATATGATTTAAGCTAGTGTTGTGCTTCAAAACATGTTGGTTTTTAAAAAATTCCTGTGTCTTTTCTGGCCTTTGAGATTTTGGTAAATGTAGAACTGTTGTATAAGCTTTGTAATTCAAAAGCCGTTGTACTTAGTAATGCTTGTTTCGTGTAACTGATAAATAGTTTTTTTGTGTGTTGTTCGTTTTGATCAAATGTCAGCGGTTTCAAGCCTGATATCCATGACTTCATATTAGGAATTTGGAGACAAAAACACATCAAGGAATTAGGTTGACATGATCCTGAGGAGTCTTGTTTGTATTTTAGAATAAAATTAGAAAATAAAATTATTCTCTGCACTTTTTTCCCGATTGTTAAAGACCCTAACCTTTGAAATAAATTTCCAGTGATTTTTCCTAGAAAGAGGACTTCAGTTAGGGAAATATTTCTCAGCTGATTAGCTTGGTGCTTGTGAGCCACAGACGCTGTTTTCAGAATTGCTTCTCTCATCCTGTGTCTCAGTACAGACGTACTTATTTATTATACTGTGCAAATGGTTGTCTTCGGTTAAATTTAATGGGTCCTGTCTGTGCTACTGAGAATGTGAATGTGATTTTCTTTTGAAGGCTGTCTTACTGCACGGACTCACCCACCCTTGGGTCATATCATCGCTGTGATTGGTGACAGAAGGTCTGGTTACTGAAATAAATGACCTGTTCTCGCTCTTCTCATCGCTTGCCTTTAATTGGTGTTTTTATTTGTGTAGGATAATAAATGATAAGCTTTCTTAACTAGTAACAAGTCCTTGAAGAAAATTTAGTAACAGATTTTAATGACTTGTCTCTTTAGCACTGTTTCCAGAAACAGTTTTATGTATCTCTTAGGTACATATAGGCACTAGATGGAAAACTAATCAAACAGGTGGAAATTATTGTAATGAGAGAACTTAATGTTTTGAAGAATTTGTAAGAAATATATCACAGCAAAGCATTGGTACAAGTCTTTATAGTTTTTTACTTGAATAGTGAATAAATATAGTCTTAAGCCATTTTGTTGCTAATGATGCCACACAGCTGTCCTAGCACTTATCTGTTTAGTCTCCTGAGTTAGTTTTGGCTGCTGGGAGAGCTGCCCTCATTCAGACAGACTTACAGCGACCTACACACAGTAGATGCGCCTACACACAGAAACCCCTTTTCTGAAGAAATTTAGGACTCTGTTAGCCGTTAGGGAAAGAGCAGAAATGGTGTTGCTAAAAGATGTTGACGGACCGCTTTACATGTTCACAATCACACCCGTAAACTCTGGGTGAAAACTGTAGGAATCAAAAGTAAATTCATATTTTAATCAGTCATTTTAATTGAGATTTAAAATTAGAAGTTCAAACCAGCTTATTGTATAGTAAGAATAGTCTCACTCAATACCAGTTCCTTCCTTAGTGTATGCTTTGCAAAGGTAGACATATATAAAATAAAAATGAGAGGACAGTGTTTTCACATTCAGTTCAATTATACTGTACTTCCTAATTCCACTAACACATTTGAGATCTGCATTATGAGCTGTGGGTACGCACTGAGAGAGTCTCTCTGCTCCACGTGTGTCAGGAGAACACTGAGGATTCTTAGATGTGAAGATGAGCAGATGGCCCCTTCTCAGAGGATCATCTGAGGAAGAAAGAGAACGATGCACTCGGGAGCACAAGCGCCCATGGAAGACAGTCTGCTGTGGCTCACCTGCTGCTCCTGACTTTTCCTTAGCTTGTTCTTCCCAGGAACATGTGAGCCCTTTTGTTTTGCAAGCAACCAAGAAAATATCATCTTAAGCAGAAAATAGATTGTATTTGTGGAAGCTTAGATAAAGAATAGAAACCCACGGGTGAGAAGAATAAGAAGGATTTATTGTTTGTAGAGTTTTATTAGTTGGATCTTTTCAAAAGACATTTTCTTTCACAGGCTATTACTATGGTTCTCAGGGTATCCAAATATGTAGATCTTTGGTTTCTTAACCTGAAGTACCTTAAGAGTTCTTGGACCAGTAGAGTAAATATTTATTGAATGCATCCGTCAGTCAATTAATACAAAGTTAGTGTAGACCTGCCTCCTTTTGTAGAAGAGAGAACAGAGATCAGAGAGGTCAAGTAATGTAGTTGTACACCATGGAAGAGAGACGAATGCCTTTGCTTCAATCATGCAGAGCAAAAAGAATCCAAAGTAACTGTTTTGAGTAGCCCCCTCAGCGTTTACAAAGGGTTGCCTCTCTCCACATCTTCAGAAGGTGTGACAGGTTTTCTTTTTCATTACCAGCAACACCAATTATTGAGAGTTTTAATTTCTCCCAGAAGATAAACTAACAAGGGGAGGGCAGAGGATCTCTAAAAATGAGAACAAGGACAAGTTAGGGGGAAAGTTCTAACAGCAGGGAAAGAGGAGAGCCGCGGCGGGAGAGAGAGAAAAGGGGTGTGCCCCGAGGACAACGCCCCAGGCTGAAAAACACCCATATGTTTTAGGGAACAAAGCACTCCGAGACTCTCGCTAAGTTTCAGAATGAATTGTATGTAATATCAGAGCAGAACCTATTGCTAAAACTTGGATCAAGACAGACCTGATGTGTAGGTCCCTAGCGTGGGGAAACGGCACTGTCGCGGCCCACGAGAAGTGGATGTTGTGTGCCTTGGCCTCGGGAGGGCGCAGGGGAGACATGCAGAGCAGAGCCTGCCCTGCTGGGACGGGGTCTTTTGCAGTTCAGTTCAGTGCGAATCGATGCATTCTTCCTTCTCCATCGCTAACTTAGTATATGAAGTAAGTTTGGTGGTTGTAGTTTTAAAGAGATAATCAGGAAAGAAATTCATATCAAAAAGAATATTTAGTCCTAATTTGTACCTATGCAGAATCTCACCTTCAAACCTCAAATAGGCTTACCTGATTGGCCATTTTATTTTCACTTTTGAAAACTTGTCTAATAGCAACTGTTACTTAACTTTTCCTCATTTCCTTAAAACTATATACCTTCCTAAAACGCCGATGTACCGAAAATACAAATAATAAATGCTTTCTCTGTAGAACTCCCTCTTGCATCTTGTGTTTTTAATACAGTTACAGGGTGTTATAAACAAAGACAATTGTAAGTGTTGCACGTGTTGCCCTATGTCTCAGATGGAACAAGTTGGAGAAGTCTGGGATCCTGAAGCTTCATGCAGTCACCAGGGCTGGAAGCGCCATGCTGGGCGGCTGTAGCAAGGGGCGAGGACTCAGGTGATTGAAACTTCTTGAGCTTTGGGTCCAACTCCTTTGGGACTTCCATCCAGGGAGCAAGCAAGACTGTGTGTGAGCTGTGACTACTCACTTTGCCTAAATTAGAGAAAAACCACATCTTGGCTGCCTTTCCCCAGGCCCTTACCCAACTGTTTGTGAGAAGACAGGATGTGAAAACAGGGGACCCAAAGAAGAGTCCTTCTCCCTAAGGCTTCGAGTACAGCTGGCCTAGAGAGTCACCTCGTGTCCCTCATCGGGAAGCTCCTGTGATCCTGGTGGGTCTGCTGAGTGCAGAGAGACGCCGACTGTGTTACCTCCACAGCTCCTCTCTGGCTGGTTGGAAAAGACCAACCCAACAAGTGGGTGATGGGAACAATGAGAGGCACCTGCTTCAGAAGGGGACTTCCCCACAGGAGATGGGGTGTCTGCTTACTTGCCTTTCTCCCTCAAAGACGGCATTCTCTGCAGTTGTTAGAGCACAGCTGAAACGAAGGGGTGGACAGCCCATTATGGGAGGTGATTACATTCGGTTTTCATTCTCTCTCATGATGGAATTTTTTTCACGGGCTTTTTGTTGGCCTGTCATGCATCTAACAAGTATATTTTCCTTTGGGAAGTTCCAGGGATATGGACGTAAGTAGGTACGTCTCTTGCCACCATTCTTTGGTCTGTGGCACTTTTATCACCATATCCCAATTTGAATCCTTGTCCCATATCAGCTTCTCACTTTGAGGGACACTTGGGGTGGGAATAGGGGTGAAAGCTGTGCATCTGCAAGGGCGCGTGAATGAATTTTCAAGGGTTCGTAGCCATGGGGAAGTATGTCTTCCCAAAAGCCTGTCTCTTGTCAGGAAACATTTTGTTTTTATTTCTGAAGCTTACTGTTTAAATGTTGCCATCAATGTTTAATATTTTGCTATCTTTTGGCAGCATTAAAATCATGCTTGAAATCATTTATCATCCATAAAGCAAATCCAGGGACTATTTAGTAAAACACAGACCCAATTTTATTATAAATCTATGAACACAGTGCTTATATTTTATTGAAATTAAGGTTTACAGCAAATTTGATAATGGAACATTTGAAAGAGATACAGAGGGATTCATTTTTCATTAAGTAGCACATCAAAAACTGGCTGAACTGGTCTACCTTGAATCCAGTCTGCCTATCCTCTAGATGCCAAAGTTAGCGTAAAGAAGTAGTCAACAAACTTATTAAATTATAGGAAGACATAGTTCATCTGTGGTGGAAAACAAGAATTGGTCATGTCACAAAGTACAACCTCACTTTTTCCCCAATATGATGTCTTCCTTTACAATAGATTTACGCAGCAACAAGAAAAGTAAGATTTTCCATGGTATGTATATCTGAACCCCAGTTCTTTTTTGTTTTAAAGGAACAAGTCAAATTATTGGCAACAAAATGATCTACTGTGTAAGCAGTACTTTCTTATAATGTGCCTAAGAACTGAAGGAGTGTGTGTGTGTGACAGACACAGAGGTGTGGAGCGTGTATACATGTGTGTATATTGTCTATACATTCATGCATTTGGAGAGGCCTGCATCTCTTTGCGTAATCAGTCAACCTTTATGTAACATATAACACGAGCTTTGCTTCTCAGGATATTGTTCACCCCCTCCTCCCAAAACAATAAGTAAGTTACACATGTTGTAAATGATCTGTGAGCAATATTTTAAGGGCAGCTGGAAACAAATCTGGTTTACCATCACCTTGACTGTCATCCAGGAATAGCCAAATATGTTTCACTGATGGTGTTTTCGATTTTAATTATATAAGCATCATTTTCTTCAGAATTTACCAGTCATCAAGTATCCAGCTCTTCTCTACTGGAAATGTGGCGTGTGCTGGTTCTCAGTGTTGACTATATGCCTGGATTCCCATGACCAGTGAATATCCCTGCCTATGTTTTCAGGGTTTTGACGGAGTGGATACAATATTTCTTGAGAAAGCAAGCCATCTCTCTTGAGATAGATTAAATGATAATTTGTACATTTTCAGTTTTTAATTTCCTTCCCAATCTTAATGGTTAAATTCTTCATATCCTACAGTCTGTAATTCAGAATTTCTTTTCCTGGTTACCTGGAAGAAAAATAGTTTTAAGGGCTTAAAAAATGCTACCCAAGGTCAAAACAATGGTTCATTCCAATATTACCTCTGCTGGGGGATGAGAGAGTATGCTTGCCATTTAGGATATCTTCTTTGAAAGATTAGAGATGCCCCCCAAATATTCTTAACTTTATAACCTACTAGGAATGTATTCTATTTCTTCTTAAACCTATTTAGATTCTCAGGCTGCACCGTCTCCTGAAGCAGAGGTGGCACATATTTGGTGAACCAGTCACCATGTTCCCTTCCAGCCATAACAGACATCATTGTCCCATGTCGCTTCTTCATTTGGCATGTGGTCCTTAATTCTACCTGGCACTTCAGGATGTAGTTGGTGTTTACTTCATCTGGGCATTTTGTTGATCCTGTGTCCCATTGTTATTTTATGGCCTGCGTATGAACTTTTTCTGTCTTCATTTTTCTTTGTTTCAGGAAATCAAAATGGCACACGTTATTCTCAGTGAGCACTTGGATACAAGAAATTATGATTGGCATTTGGTGTGATTGCCTCCGTACCCTTCTTGATTGTATATTGACTGTAATGACTTGTTTCAACTGCCAGCTTTAACGTATTTGTTTCCATCCAACCCTCTAGATCTCAGGTAGAGTGGACACTGGCTGATTTTCACTCATTTTTTACCATTAAAATTTTTAGGTATAATTTTTGAAACTAGGTATATTTTTCCAAAAGTTATTTAAAAATCTATTTGTAGGCTATATTTAACCTGGTTCTAGATAAGTTATTTTCCTTTGTAAAATAAAATTATTTTAGTCAAATGAAGTGATTGGATGAGTATTTTAAAAGAGACATCTAGGACACTGGAAGGAACATTTATCTGAGGATGAGCTTTTAGGAATTTTTTTTTTTTAAAGATTTTATTTTATTTTCTTCCTTTTTCTCCCCAAAGCCCCCTGGTACATAGTTGTATATTCTTCGTTGTGCGTCCTTCTAGTTGTGGTATGTGGGACGCTGCCTCAGCGTGGTTTGGTGAGCAGTGCCATGTCCGCGCCCAGGATTCGAACCAACGAAACACTGGGCCGCCTGCAGCGGAGCGCGCGAACTTAACCACTCTGCCACGGGGCCAGCCCCGCTTTTAGGAATTTTTGAAGTTACTCATTGTTCACAAATCATGTTCTACATTTTTTTTTAAAGATTTCATTTTTCCTTTTTCTCCCCAAAGCCCCCCGGTACATAGTTGTATATGTTTAGTTGTGGGTCCTTCTAGTTGTGGCATGAGGGACGCTGCCTCAGCGTGGCCCGATGAGTGGTGCCATGTCCACACCCAGGATCTGAACCAGTGAAACCCCAGGCCGCTGAAGCAGAGCATGCGAACTTAACCACTCTGCCACGGGGCCGGCCCCCTACATATTTTTGCTTTAGCTGATTATTTGAAATCAAAAGAAGATATTTTACAAGAATATAAAATTATTCAGTTCCAGTAATATAAATTATTATTATGACAATTTCAACCTTGTTGAAATGCATTTGATAAATCACATGTATATTTTTACAAGAAAAGGTTAGGAATATTATACTTGGATTGCTTCTGTTATTTTATTGTTTTGTTTATACATTTCAGTTAATGCCAGACTTCTGTCTCAATCCTTTCTGCAGCAGGAAACGCCCTTTTCTCTCTCAAAATACTAAATTAAAAAGCCTGGCAAATATAGGAAAAGTGTTTTTACTTATCTCTATTTAAAACAAGAGTAAGGCCCAGAAACGTTTTTAATTTCCTCCAAAATTCAAACTCAGTAATTAAAACTGACATATAAAAATATGATCTTTACCTTGTTATTTTGCTCATATAGCACTAGTTTTTAGCTAGTTTCATTATGCTTGATTTTTAGAGTGATCTGGTGACCTGAAGAATAAAGCAAAAGCAAGACTTCCTGTTGCCTGGGCTTATCAACATTAATAGCAACTACAACTATCTATTATTTTAGTTTTAAAATTATTATGACAAGTAAAAATGGATAGCGTATTTTTGCAGGTGCCTTCTGTTGGGGCTGGAGGAAGTATGCTCTCTGCGTACCCCCTGAGTTTTGCCTTCCAGTTGGCTCACTGTTTCTTAAGCAGTGGTCTCAGGAGGATGGGAGAGATAAGTGATCAGTTCATCTCTCAAGAAGTCGAGTTATTTTTAAAGTCAACTTCTGAGTTGTGGTTGCTGAAAAATATCTGGTATAATATACGAAGGTGTAATATTTGGGAGATACCTTCCGATATACGCTCCCTTCTCAGTCAACTGTTTTCTTTCTTCCAACATTCTGTCCATTATAATTCCAGGGAAAAGGGGAAGCAGGGTTTCACTATGGGAAGGAGGGAAAATAACATCCCGGTCTCAGTGCTTCATGGGAAGAGGGCAGAGGAGAGAGGAGTAGTTGGAGGAGGTTAAGTAGTAAGTCCCTTGTTCCTCCTGCCACCAGCTAACGTAGCATTTTTGGTTCCTGCTTGCCCTGGTTCTGTGATTTGGAGGCTCTGAGACTGCTGGGGGTCGGGCAGATGCCTGGAATCAGAACTGAGAGATCGCAGGTGAGGGGAACATGGGAATGGAAACTTTCCAAAGGACCTAGTGAGACAGGGAGAGCCACCCTCCTCACTTGCCGGACCTGCGGATACCACCTTGGAGAAGAGAACGGAAAGGAGAGGATCTCTGAGCCTGACTACATGTTCCAAGGGAAGTGAGCTGCCGAAAGTGACTGCTCAAACTATTAATCAGACACAACTTTAGAAACCGGGTTGGACCATAGTAAACTCCAACCGTTCCCTGTCTCAGCTCTCTTGGTCCACCCATCCCTCGCCCTACCCACCGCGCCCACCTTCCCATCCAGTGGAGAAAGGGCTCAAAAAGGAGTTAGGAGCAGCTTCTAGAGGAACAAAACGAACACCCCCCCCCCCCAACACCTGAGGTGTAGCACGAGTAAAACTGTGACCTTGCTGTGGTTAAAACAAGTACTTCCATACTATTAAAACTCCTCATAAATGTCACTTGGTACCATCATTTACTTAATCTGGCCCCTATATTTGTAAACAATTTTCATTATTATAAATAATGTCACACAGAACACATTAGACCTAAGTTAAAGAACTAAATGAAAATTTTTAGATCTGAAGAGGAAAAGTCATGAATAATTTATTCTGTTAGATCTAGATTTGCATTTACTGTGTATGTATAATGATAATTGTGATTAATAAAAATCAAACTCATTAAACCAAAAAAGGGAGGTTTGAAAACGAAATTTTGTTTATTCTTGGGAGAATTTTGCTAAGTTCCTAGTACAGCTGATTTGGTATATAGAACACCTAAAATTGAGGGAAATGAAAAATGTGTGGAGTGTATTCCTAAATACTGATTGGAGGAGAACCGAACAGAAGGAAGAGGTGAAAGTATAATGAACGGCAACGACTTGGCAGAATGAAGAGAACTGCCCCAATTCAAAAAGCTCATTGTGTGTCAGCGCACTCAGCACCTCAGGGCACCTGCCCTCAACGTGATTTTCCTGTCTCTTCACTTTTAGGGAGAATAACAAAAATGCAGCCGAGTTTACATGTTGTTTTTAAAGTTACGCCACTTAGTGTTCTCAGCTGATACGCATCTGGGTCTGGTTTCCAGGCCTGAGAGGCACTCGCAGGGGTTCCTCCCACGCTCCCCTTTGTTGACCACCAGACGGCTCCACTGCCACTGGGCTAGCAGTTGACACTGAGGGGCAGCGAAGACAGTGCTGACCTAATCCCATGATTCATTCCTATTATCTCTATTATATAGGTGAGGAATTTGAGGCTTACAGGGGGAAATGTTGCTCAAGGCACAACTAGTTAGGCATGGAGCTCGAACTGGAATTCAGGTTTCACGTTAAAGCCTCTAATCTTAATCATTGTCTTAATCTATGGTTGGTAAGGTCTTGCCATCTGATCCTCATATAGGTAAGTTGTCAGAGTCACCAGAATGGCATCGTGTGAGGAACAGAAGTGACTGACACCAGGGCTTGCCGGTGTCGGGGCCTGAGGGACTCTCAACACTGTGCACACAGGGTTCTTCTCCACTGAGAGGCTGTCGGAAGCAGCTCGTGGGGGCAACGGGGTTTGTCCGCCTGCTGAGGAGATCAGGCCTTCATATTTAACATTTAAAACGGAATCTTTAATCAAGGAATTGGAAAGGGCAGAATTGAGGTGGTGTGGGGATTTTTCTCTTATTCTCAAAAAGAAATTGAGTATCTTTCTCTCCTTCCTTCTTTCTTTCCTTCCTGTCTTCCTTCCTTCCTATCTACTGCCCGGCAGCTAACATGGTGACTCAAAATGCTGAACTGAACTGGTGTGAGGAGTATCGGATTCCCGTGAATGTGAACACCACAGGTCCATCCTGGCCCCCAGAGGCAGGCAGAGGTGGACGGAGTAGAACGCCCGACTTGGCGAGAGCCGTTCTTTTCCAGATCACCCTCTGCCTTGCTCTGTTGATCTCAGGGAGGGCAACCTGGAATTAACGTGATCTTCTTACTCAAGAAAGGGAGTTGTTTAAGATTACAGCCTGTACAGCTATCTGAAACAGCAAATAGGGCTGATGAAAACAAAAACCGAATGCCGTACACTACTGTTCATAAAAGCCACATGCAAGCCCCTTCTCCTCATTCATCGTGCTCATCGACTGTTTCTTCCTCCCCAGCCCCCTTTCTTTTAAATTATACAGTCATTATTAAAAAACTTGGACCCAATTCCACTTCTTTCATAAACAGAATCTATGATCCTGCAATTCTCTTTTCTCATCTAATGAAATGTCTTGGCCTTTTTCTATGGCAGCTCTGGTAGAGCTGTGTTCTTGCTCTCCTTACCTGTTGTGCTCCACAGTGACTAATACGCCCCCCATGGATGATTTAACTATTCCCTACAGATGGGCTGGACAGTTGCTTCATGATCCAAAGCAATAATGCTGTGCACAATTTTTTTTTTTTTAAGTGAGAAAGATTAGCACTCAGCTAACATCTGTGCCAATTTTCCTCTATTTTTTGTATGTGGGATGCCACCACAGCATGGCTGATGAGTGGAGTAGGTCCATGCCTGGGATCCACACCCATGGACTCTGGGCCTGAGGTGAGCGTGAGGAACTTTAACCACTCGGCCACAGCGCTGGCCCTGCTGTGCACATTTTTTTGTACATGTATCTTAGTGCACAAGTGCAACTATTTTTGTAGGAATAGTTGTCTGGAAGTAGAGTGAGTCAAATTTAAAATTTCATAGATACTAACAAATATTTCTTGGAAAAAAGGGTTTCCAGTTTACACATCCACCAGCAATGTTTGACAGGACAAATTTGCCCTGGTGTCACCCACACTGGATAGAATCAAGCTCCTTTTGCAAACTTGTGAGTGACAAGTGACAGCTCATCAGCTTGGACTGCCCTGACTATAGTGAGATGGAGCATCTTTTCCTACGTTTTGCTGGTCATTTGGATTTCTTCTATGGATTGCACCTCTGTATTCTTTGCTCATTTCACATTCACACGCTTGTCTTTTACTAATGTGTAGGGGCTCTTATTAATATGGCTGTTCATCATCTAAGATATATGATTAAGATATATGATGAGTTGTACATATTTTCCTCCCACCTTGTTGCTTATAGGTAAATTTTACTTCTAGTGCCTTTTCCCTGTGGCAGTCCTCTTCTTAACGTCTTCTGGGATGAGATCTTAATTAGGGGAGGTTTTTTAGCCCAAGATTATAGAAATATTCTAAAAAGTGTTTGTCCTTGTACTATCATAGTTTTGATTTTAGGTTTGTCTCTTTGACGTAGAATTGATTTGTGTGTAGTAAGGAACTAACTTTATTTTTTTCTAAATAGAGGCCAATTGTACTCTAATCATTGTGGACCAGTCCATATTTTCCTTACTGATTTGAAATGCCTGTTAAAATAAATTCTCTAGTACATAAGGGTCTGTTTGGGGCTTATATTTGTTCTGTTAACCTATTGTCTATCTTAGTGTTATAAACAGAAATACTTTACATATTGCTTCTTACAGAGCAACCTCCTCATCATCGTACTTCAAGATTTTCTCCTGCACATTTTCATTCCCAGAGGAACTTTAGAACCAGAATGTCAAATTCCATAAGGAATCCTATCAGCATTTTAATTGAGATTAACTTGGAGAAAATTGACAGCATTGTCATAATCCTCATTACCTGAATGAATACTCTGTGCTTTATGTTTTTTGTAAAGATGCTTTCTAAACGCAATTTCAAATACCCCTTGCAGTAACCCAGCCAAGTGGGTTTTATTAGTCTCATTCTCCAATGAGGAAATTAAGGTTTAGAGAAGTTAAGTAATTTGTGCAAGATCACTCAGTAGATTGCTAAACCTAAATCTTAATAACAATTTGACTCCAGAATATTGCTTCTTAACAACCATAGGATAATTGTCTTTAAAGTGTTAATACTTTAAAGGAACAAGGTATGTTTCATCAAGGGAAAGGTTAAATCTCTCTTGTTTCTTGTTGATTGGGTATGGAAGCAGATGGCTACAAGTCCCCTTGGTGGGAAATTAGAGACTATGGCCACTAGAATGAGTAAGAGGACAGTAAAAAAACCCAGGATGGTCTAATGAAGACATGGGTCTGAGGTGATCAACACTGAGGAAATGTCCAGGTGTGTGAGATGGGAAGCCCGTGACTAGAAAGGGGACAGGCTCACAGAAGCCTGCAGAGGCGGAGGCCACAGTGTGGCCCATCTGGATGTCACAGGACTTGGAGAAGAATTAGGAAACTTCATGTTCCCTGTTTATTCCTAAAGCCGCCTACACCTTAAAGTCTGGTTTGCGACTAGAAGGCCCGTTATATCTCGCCTCCTCTCCCCCTCCTATGGAGCATCTCTTAATCTATCTTTTGGAAATGAAGGATTGATTAGACTTATAACAACTATAGAATGGACTACTATGTAATCATTAAAAATGATACTACAGAAATTATTTAATGGCATGAGGGAATGTTCTAAGTAAAAAACTGACTAAAAACAAGAAGCCAGTCTAATTCCAATTTGCTTTAGAAAAGTCTATATAAACATTCTATATAAACATGTACACCAAAAGATAATAGCAGTTAATGTGATGAATTCCACATGATTTTATCTTCTGCCTCATAATTTTCTATATTTTCCAGCTTTCTTATGAAGAAGGCAATTACGTTTGCAAACAGGGAAAAAAACAAATATCATACACACACACACACACACACTCACACACTGCACACACCTGCACATTAAGGTAATAGACCGTGTGGTTTTCTGTCTTAAAGCTGACACAGGATCTTTTTTCTTCCCTTATTTATCTTAAAAAAATACTGCAGAAAGGCTTAGAGCAGTGGTTCTCAAAGTGTGGTCCTTGGCAGCAGCCTTCTCTGTGCCCCACCCAGACCAGCTGAAGCAGAAACTGCGCCCAGCAGGCCCAGCCATGTGTGTTCTAACAGTGCTTTTCTGGGAGATTCTGATTCGCCCTGAAGTTTGGGAACCGTGGGTTTAAAGGCCCTTGTGAAGTCATTCCAGCAGTAGGTTTCTGAGAAACATGAGTAACAAATTCGTGGGGCCACAACGTTAGTGTGCCCGACCCACCTGCAGGGAGCTCACATTCCTCTCCAGGGGTGCAGAGGCCCACGTCCCCGCCGTCCAGGCTCCCCTGGCCCTCGCAGCCCCGTCGGCAGCGACACTCGGCTTCCTCGGTTCGCTCATTCCTCACACACTGCGCGGATTCTCCGCAGGCCAGGAATTTGCAGGGGTCTGCTTGATCAGCTGTAAGAGAGGGAGCAGATTTAACGAATGATGGCGCCTGAGCAGCGGGACTGGCAAAAGTCAGAGGCCAGAGACCAAGTATTTTGCCATCACCCCATTTTGGAGTGAGTTGTATAGCAGTGATAAGGGGCTGGAGTGAAAAAGGAACCACATATCTCTGTGCCTTGAAGAGTGAGTTTATAGACAGGGGTGATAACATATTTAGCTCCAAATGTAATTATGCATAAACTTTGTTGGGCGTCAGAATCATCTGGAGGCCTTGTCAAAACACAGATTCCTGGTCCCATCTTCAGAGTTTTTGATGCAGGAGGTATGGGATGGGGACTGAGAATTTATTTCCGGGGAGGTCCCAGGTGGCACGCATGCAGCTGATCCGGAGAGCACATTTTGATACCCAGTGCATTGGAGAACTAAGATTTTTTCGCTATTAGTTTTTTTAAAGGTAGACATTTTTTGCAGAGATGAAGTGTGAACATATATTTTTAAGATCAGAGGTACCTTATAAAGTAGTAAAGTAGGCAGTCATTTATGTGGACAATTCTGAAAACTCAGCATGATTTCCTGATTTAAAAAACATTTTTCTCTTATTCCCTGGCTAATTCCTAACACCCTAATGTTAGAGACTCTTTCCTTTGGAAAATCAAATAGACCTCTGGTATCTGGGTCTTCTTTGGTCATTAATTGTTCTCTTCTACTCTATTCTGAATTCTGTATGATTATCTCAAATTCTTCGTAAAGTGGATTATAAATCAAGAGAAATGTACCCAGATTCTTCTATACAAGGAGCCCAGTACCTCGTCTGCTATAAGAGCTCTAAATACAAGCTCTAAATATAAGTTAGAGCAGAGATCACCACGGAGCGGATTGTCCGAACTGAGTATTTCAGGTGGGTTGCGTTTGTATGTGCGGGGACTACGAAAGGCCTTCCGACTGGACCCAGAGCACAGGCACAGAGGCGGGAAAGCAACAGACGGATGAAGAGAGAGCAGGGGAAGCCGCGACTCGTGGCCAGGAAGGAAGGGAACTGGGCCTGGAGAGGGAAGTGAAGGCCAGACTCTGGTAGGCCTGGAATGCCATGCTAAGGAATTGGGACTTTTCAGGCAGGTGGGAATCACGGCAGAAATGGGGGGGGGGGGGGGGGTATTAACCGAATTGTGCTTTAGAAGGCTTGTAAATAGAACTCAGAATTTTCAGAATTCGGCTTATTTCAGTAATCATCTGATCCAGTATTTCCCAACTGGGAACATCTGCAGAGCCCTAATTCAGCAAGACTCAGTAAGTTTTATAATAAGAAGAGGTTTGCTGGCTACACAATGTTTTTTAAAAAAGCAAGTGAAACCAACGTAACGGGTTTCTTTCTTCTTCCCTCATTCTTTCTCTTTTTCTCTCTTGCCAGCCTCACCCCTTCTCTTTGTACTTCTAACCGCCCTGGGGTTATTAATAAGCTAATGTCTATTGCGGCTATTCAAGCGGAGAACACAGTTGCAGCTTCGTGGAAGTTACGACCACGGACTGTGTGCGTGGGCCGCTGGGGCACAGCTGGCGGGCAGAAGGGCACTGGTCCTGAGGTTTGCTGTCCTGATCCCGCACCTCTTGTGGTGGGAAAAGCCAGAGTGAGGGAGATGAGTGGGCCCAGCCCAGGCTGGGGCCAGAGCAGGTCCTTGAAAACCTGTTTTTGGGTCTCCCAGCAAGGTACACCCGCCACAGACTCCGTGTGAAGTTGTACATCTCTGCAGCTGGAGGGGCCCTCCTGGACGACCAGGCTAATATGAACCAGCTCGCTCTGCCTCGCAGCCCCTGAAGCTGGACATGTCAAGGGATCCTTGTCACTGTTTAGAAGGTAACTCAGATTTCCCCTGACAACCCAGCTGACTCAGGTCCAGGGCCTGGTTTGATATACAACAGCTGTCAGCTGGTTTACACTCCGGACTGCGGTCTTGAAAACAGCAGCCAGGAGGCAGGAGTCAGCGGCTCCATCTCCCTCTCTGCAGTGGAGAAGTCAGTTTAACTTGGAAAGCGGACTGAATGCACTGATGCTGCCCCTCTGAAGAGGAATGGGAAATGTGTGATAACCAAAGGAGTTTCCCGTTAAGGAGATATTTCTGTTTTACCATAACTTCCTTCAGCCCAGCCACGTGTAGTCTGAACAGAACACAAGAAGGCAACACTGGAGAAATGAATTCATCCAAATTTGGGTATATTTGAAGAACAAATGCACCTAGCTCATGGAGTCCTTGCTTTCCCCACAGTACTGACTCAGGACCAGCCTACAGAGACGATGTGGAGACTTCACAGCGCCGACCGCAGTTTCTATTCGTTGTGCACAGCATCTATTCATCCAACAAATAGCCACTTGGCCTTTCAAAATCGTCAGCACTAAGAATTCCAGACCAACTAATTGCTTTAGATTTTTACTTTATCCATATATAAAATTTTACAATTCAGATAGAATTTTAGAGCTAGAAGGTATTTTAGAGACTTTCTCGACTGAGTTGCTCACTTTGCAGAGGGGGAGGTGAGACTCAGTGAAGCTGCGTTACCAAGATCACGCCTGTCTGGGCTCAAGTCCTCTGACTCCCTCCCCCGCCCTTGGACTGCGCTGGCGGTTCCAGGGAAGGGCAGAGCCCAGGGCGCCGCCGGCCTGTGGCGAGCCAGGGCATGCCGCCGACTGGAGTCAGAACGGAAGAGACCACACTTGCAACTTTAATGTGTGAAGCAACTGCTTCCGCTCCTCTACTACTTAAAAACATTCTCCCTAGGTATGCTGACGACCCTCCTCACTTACATATCACACCTACAACTTTGGGCTTTAGGTAAAGACTGAGGACAGAGTGTGAGCGGATTCTGGGGACGAAGCGTCTCGGAAGAGAAGTGATTGGCTCTGTGAGGAGCGAAGTTTAATAGTAGAAATTTCTCAAGCAAAACTTTCCCTATGTTGTTGTCATTTTGCTTGTTTGTCATATGCTAAAGACATTTCTCCTTAGAAGGATGGACTCGTTCACGGGTAGGCCATACAATGGTTTGCCTTTTCCTTAACACAGCCCCAGGGATTTGCACAAAACAAATGAATCTGCACTTCCCATTCCTTGCCCTTGATTTGGTCAAGATTAATAATATAAACATTATGTAGCAACAACCTAAAATGTTCTGTTCTAAACACGCTCTGTAGCTTGAAAAGAGGGAGGACAAGGAGACTGGAGATCAACAGTCAATGAGGAAGAGAACAACTGGATGCCATTTTCTAGAGGAATGTTTTCAAGTCATAATCAAGATGCATATGGATTTGAGGAGGTGAAGTCCTCATGCTTGCTGTATAGACTAATTGGTCTGTAATTGCCTTATCTTTTTGGATTTGCTTAAACCCCCTTTAAATAGATTATTTCTATGGTGGGTTTCTCCATGAGTCTGTACCTCACCCACCAAAGACCTAGTATGGTCTGGGGCCTCCTTTGGGCTTACTACAATTGCCTGCTGGAAAAATGACTTAATTTTCTGTCCTTGACCCGTTTGGACAGCTCTTCTGCAGAGCAAACTTGGCAATCTCTCTGTAGAGGCAACCCAGGGCACTTGGATAGTGAGTCGAGTGGTGTCAGTAGCTGCTAGTTCGCAGCTGGTGGGAAAAATCCAGGTTCATCCTGGCACCCAGAGGTGCTGGCCTAGCCCTCAGCTTCCCGTGTGGATTCAGGCCATAGTCAGAGCATTAAGGTCATTCTGTTTCAGGCCTTGTCCCTGACTTGGCCCAGGGATCATGAGCCTGAACCTCCAGCTTCACCAGGAGCTCAATGACAATTATTTACACAAACAGGGAACTCACATTTATTGAGGGCCATTTTGTTTTTGACACTGTAAACATGTCTTCATTAATATTCACAACAAGCATCCAAAGTGGATATTGCTGACCTCATTTTCGTATGTGGAAAAATTAAAGTCCGTTTGAGCTAGTAAGTATGACCCAAGATTGATTAATATCTGTATTCCTATTTACAATGTTCACTTTTGACAGCATTCTAGTAGTTTGCAAATATGGGATTTCCAGGAGACACCTCAGGGCTCCAAGGGGCCAACAGGGGATGAGAGAGTGTGCAGGAGGCCGGACCACGCCAGCATCTCCTCTCTCATCAGTTCCCACATCAGACTTCCAGGAATGCTATTCTTTGAAGGAGGGCTCTCCCAACTAAACCCAAGCTCAGAACCATCATCTGGCACCACTCCTGCAGGAGGCAGAAGGTTCCTTCTAGAAAGTACAGGCTGACGCTACAGTGGCTCCACATTTGTTTCTGTTGTTCAAACACGACAGCAGTGAACATGGCTTGAAGTAAGTGAGCTGCCCTGTTGGGCTTGGAAACATTTGTATCATTCTGGTATTTCCAGTGGAAGCTCATTTTCTGTATCAGTTTCTCCTTTGGATTTGCTTATGTGTCTTCAGTGTGCATTTCAAAGGTCCTTAGAAGCGCTCCCAACTGGCTGGCTGAGGAAGGCTTTCTCTTGCTCTCCATCTTGTGATCAAAAAGTATTTAAATGAATGTCCCCTGCCTGCAGGGTACGCTTTGAGGCATTTTACAGTTAGAGTTAAGAAGATTATGGTCCTGATCATCAAGAAGTTCATAAATTCACGGAGGTCATAGGTCCCTGATGGTTCCTGTCTTTTTCAAACTTCCTGTTTCTGGTCCCCAGGGCACTCACGCTTGTCAGCCTGAGAACAGGCTCTCCCTGTCTGCCAGGCTCAGGGGGTCTCAGGTCTGCATTTCACCAACTCCAGTTCATGACGCCACCCCCTCCCACACCCCCACCTTGTCCTGTCACTTGCCTCACATCCTTGGGGCTGTGTATTGATTGCTTTTCTGCCTTCTTCTTTATCACTTCTTTGTCATTCCATCATCCCCTTCTCTGGTGCTGTCTCAGCACCGACGTGTTGGACAGGAAGTGGAGCACCTCCTTGCACTGGGTCCCGTCCTAGGTCGGGATTTCCGCTCAGGTTGGCTGGAACTCAGGCTTCAGCT